AAATGTTTTTTTTTTTGATAGTAGTTTTGAACTTTTTTTTAATAAATAACAATTTATTAATATTTTTTTTAAAAATTATGTATTATTAATATTCTATTGAAAATATTTATTTTCTTTTTAAAAACATTAGCATCTAGGTATATATTTATATTATATATTAACTTATAATTATTATAATTTAATTTATTTAATATTATATATATAATATCATATATATATATATATAAATTACACATTAATTTTATAAATTACCAAAAAAAATATATACTAATTTATTTATTTTTTATTCAAACTAATTTTAGATAGTATAGATAGTTATTCTACCATAATTAGCCTGGAAACTTTAATATTAGTAAATTAATATATATATATATCTATAATTAGAAATAAATATATTAATATATATAAATTATATAACTTATTAGGCAACTTTTCTAGTTAACTATCATATATATATATATATATATATAATTTGATGATAATATAAATTTATATTTAATGATTATTTTTTTCATATATATATATATATATATATATATATATAGACACTCAATTTTAGTTTTATATTTAAATATTACCATTAAATTGTATAATGTATATTATAATATAGTATACAATATTGTATTAATAATAATAATACTAAATTATTTTTTTTAATGATGATGATGCCATTTATATATTAGAAAAAATAATTATCAAAAAATAAAATTATCAATAAAAATAATATTATCAAAAATTTTTTTTCCAATTATAATTTACTGTTTATTATATATTAGTAATAATAATAATAATATTATTATTATTAGTTGTGTCTCACATTATATGTGATTAATAATTTTAATAATAATAATAATAATAAATTATTTATTATATATATATATATTTTTATCTAATTAATAAATTATGCGTTTTTTTGTTTTTGTTGAAATAAATTGTTAAAAAAATGTTTTTGTTTTTTATAATACAAATATACAGAGAATAATAAATTAAATAAATAAATAAATAAATAGTTAAATAAATAATAGACATAATAATAATAATAAATGATTATATAATTTAAATTTTAAAGTATATATATATATATTCAGGTCATAAACAGGACTTTAGATAGCATTTTCGTCGCCGCTGTGGTCTCAGTGATAGTTCACAATAATTTTTGGCCACTTTGTGGCCGTCGGCCGAAAAACAGTCAACTTTTCGCCGTTGCTTTCCGTTACCGCACATCGATGAACACTAAAAGACATTAACAACAAAAAAATACATTATTATTATTATTATAAAATAATTACTATTATTAACAATTTTTAACAAAATAATTAACAATTTTATTATCTTAAATTAATATAAAATATATATAAATATATTTAAAAAGTTTTGTGTAGTTAACACATATTTAACACATATTTTTAAATAATTTTATTTTAAAATTAATAGATTATTTATTTTATTAATTAATAATAGAAAAAAACTTGTGTTTTAAAACTTTAAAAAATAGTTTCAGTGATTATTAAAAAATTATTATTATTAAATAATTACTATTATAATAATAATAAAAACAACAATTTTGTTATAATTGTATATATTATCTTAAATTCTTATAAAATTGATTGATTTTTTTAAGTATTAAAAAAAGTTTTTATGTGTAGTTAACAAATATTTAGTATTTTTTAAAATAATTTTCTTTTAAAAAAACTTGTGTTTAAAAATAGTTTCAGTGATTATTAAATCACTGAAAAATTAAATAATTATTATTATTATTAAACATATAATTTTTTTTATACATACCTGTGACCATTGAGAGGTTTTCCATACGAAAGCACAGGTATCACGTTTGCAACGGCCGATGCTTTTCGGTTTGAGTGACGGATCGCAAAACTGATTGGGTACGACCCGATGTGTCCAATCGATACACTGGATTGGCCTGAATTTGAATCCCTTACCGCACGATACCGAACACAGTGACCAGGCAAACGATTTCCATTGGAATAGACTACACGATCGATAGCATGGTCTGACCGGCGATGATCGTGGTTTTGTATGTTGCGGACATTGATAGTCGCCTCCGGCACCGGGATGTGATTGTTGTTGGACGGCTCCCGTGGCTGCTGCTGCTGAACACAATAGGATCCTTGATTGAGTACCGTTACCGCACGATACCGAACACTGTGACCACTTGCCGTACACCCATTTGGGTTCATTGATATTATTATTATTAGACGGCGGAGGAACAGGTGGGGGTTGTTGTTGTTGTGGTCGTACAGGTGCTTGTGTTGGTGGTTGTGGCAGTGGTGGTGCTGTTGGTGGTAGTGGTGGTCGACGTTGCTGTCGGTTATCATATGATTTTGTTGGTCTCTGAGTTATTGTCGGTGTTTTAGTAGTAGTAGTAGTAGTAGTTGTTGTTGTAGTTGTAGTAGTAGTAGTAGTCGGAGTTGTTTTGTTAATTGATAGCCAATATTGATATTCAATTCTAGGTGACGACAGATTACCGACACTTAATATCTAAAAATAATTTTAAAATTAAAATTAATTATAAAACCCTAGTCTGATAGCTAACTGACCTCAATATATAACTGTCTTTTCAATGGTTTGCTTGTCTTAATTGTTTCAGTGATTTCATTGGAACCGCTGTACTCGATGGTAGTGTCGCCGTATTGGACACTCTTTTCAAACAGACTGACCACAAAATCACTGGAAAAAAATTAATAAATTAATTAATTAAATAAATAAATTTATTGTTACTTTTTGTACGAATAATATTAATAATAATATTAAATTAATAATAACAAAAAAAATAAAATAAAAGTTAAATATGATATTATTATTATTATTATATTTTTTTGTAATATTTTAAATAGTATTGTGATTACTGATGATTTAGTTTTACTATTTATATAATTAAAAGTAGAAAAAAGTAATGTTATGTTATATATATAAAAATAATTTATATTTATTACTAAACTTATTATTTAAATGATTAGTTGATTAGTTTTAGTTATTTAATATACTGATAGCATAAATTGAACTTGATAAATTTATCGTTACAAAAATTAATTAATTAATAAATTTAACCTCACAAAACAAAACAAAAAATGGTCCATGGTAAACTTACTATTTCTAGAAATACAGTGTAATAGCTTTATATTATATATTATTGTATTTAATACACTATTATTAATAAAAAAAAACTTTTATTAATAAAAAAAATTATTACCCATTCAATAGATAAGCCGAATCGTGGGCTTTAATGGCCAGATAGTTATCATCGGTACTGGACGGACCATGCTGAGCTATACGTAGTTGGGTGGCGCCAATCGGTACCGTAATTACCGAATTATAGCCATAGCGGACACTGTGTTGGCCACCAAATTGGCCGGCAATCAGTTTGCAGGTACTGTTGTCGCCGTTGCATACGCCGCACAGATCCGGTCGGGCAGTACTTCCCAATATGTGATCGCAACCGGATGTCTATCGGATGGCACCCAACAAACAAAAACAAACAAAAATTGTTTTCTTTTTCATTATATAGACTAAAATATTTTTTTGTTATTAGTTTTTAATTTTATAAATATATAATTTTTTTTAAATGTAAATTGAAAATGAATTTTTTTTTTTGAAAGATAAGCTAATGTGTGAAAAACTTTTTTTATTAATAATTATATTGATATATATATATATAACTATAATATTATCAAAAAAAACTAATTATAAAATTAATACAGATTTTGAATCAATAAAAAAATTTTTAGAAATTATAATTATTTATATATTCTGTACAGAATATAATTAAAAAAATATTTTTTTTAAAAAACAACTAATATGTATTTAAATTTATAGTAAATTAAAAACTTATATATTTATTAATTATAAAAAATTTAATTTATTCCTATTTGAATAGTCAATCTTATATATAATTTAAAACTCATTATTATTGTTATTATTATATTTTTTTTAATTGAAACTGTATCAAACTTTCTAAACTAAATGTATCATGATCATAATTATAGTTAATTATAATCAATTAATGTTTAGCAAAATATATATATATATATTCTATGTTTAATATATTATAAATGTTTACTAAATACATAACTAACCAAAAAAATTAATGATAAATAAATTAAAAATTTAAAAAAAATAATAATAATTAAAATAAAATACTAACAATACATTTGCCTTTAATGCATACATCATACGAATTGGGTGAACAGGGAGTTCCGTCAATAACTTTTTGTTTGAGCAAATAGTAGGCACCGGTACCCATAACCGTACAGTACAGCTTACAGTAATCATCTTTAACTATATAATCACAACAACAAAAATTACTTAATAGATAGGTATGTATATCAATATATATAAAGTTTTTTTTTTTAAAATTGTTTGAATTGATTGGATATACCTGTTGTATAATATGGTTGCCATTTGACATCATTGGGCAGACCATAGATATTGAATGTCTGGCCATTGAATTCAAGGCATTGTTCTTCGCGTACATTCATGGCATAGGTGTCGCACTCGTGTGTATTACACGATCGATAGCGGATCCGTTGGCCGATACAGTATTTGCCACCAAATTGTGGCCTTCAATATAGGTGTAAAACATTTTTTTTAGTTAATTTAATTTATTTTTAATATTTAATTTTTTTTGGTTAGTTTTATTAGATATAATTTTTTTTAAATAATCAATATTTTATATTATTTAAAAAAAATAAATATTCTGTGTATTGAAGCAATTATTCACTATCACTAATACAGTAGTAAATCTATTAATAATTATTAATATTGATATTTAATTATTGATAGATATATTATTACATAAATTAATTGTGAAATATATGGTATCATTAATATTATTATTATTATTATGTAAATATATATATAAATACTATACCGTATAATATATAAATTATTTACATAATATACTGGCATTTATTAGATTATTTGATTAATGCTATTAATCATTATATAATATATAATATTATATATAAATATAAGATATTAATAAACAAATATTTATATTTAAATAAATAATTTAAAACATTTATCAATATATTTATTTTATTTTTTGATAAAATTTATTTTGTTATATATATATGATTTTAGTAGTAGCTTTATAAATGATATATCATTAATTTTACAATCAATTTATTTATTTAAAAAAATAATATTACTTATAAAAAAATACTATAATTAAAAACTTGATTTATATATTTTTATAATCTATAAAAAGTGGCATTTTAATTATTGTCATTTAAATTATAATTTATAAACTATTGATTAATTTAATAACGAATTGAAAGAAACTATTGATAATATAATTAAATCTATTTATACTAACTTTTTTTAGATCTTAAAAACAAAACAAATATCAATTGAATTAATAATTCAATTAAAGTTTTTTTTTTTAAAAAAACTATTATTTTTTTATGTTTAAAATCTAATAAAATCATATTTTGTGTTATCTCTACCAATTGATATACACTTAAATATTAAAGTTTTATATATTTAAAAAAAAAATATTATTAAAACTAAATAATATTATTTAATAATGCACTTGATCATTTTATAAAAATAATAATAATACTATTTAATAATCAGTTTTTAAAAAATTAAAAATATAAAACAAAATTAATTAATAAATAATAATATTAATATTAAATAATTAGCTTTTTAAAAAAATTAATATCAAACATAAGTAATTAATTAATAATTAACTAAAAAAAAATTAGTAATAAATATTTCAAATACTTAGGCACATCACAGTCACGAGTGGCCAGTTGTACGCCACCGCCACACGATCGGGAACACTGGCCATAGTGAGTCCATTGACCCCATTCGCCATCAATCGGATGCGATTCAATTCGGTCAATATCGACACAGTTACCGCGTTGACACCATTTATTATGGGCACAGGCAGTACCGTCAGCCCAGGGCATATGTTGGGTCCGACAGCCGGCACCTTCGACACTGATCGTACACCACAGTCGCTTACAGACAGGCATATAGGGACACACTCGGGATGTCCGGCCGAAAGCCAGTTGGCACTGGACATCGATGTCGAATAGTTCGCCCGGTTGTCTCAGTTCGAGCACTGGTAGCTGTTCGGTACGGGAACGCCATTCAAGTTCGTAGAGTAGATTAGCTGATGGCTTATCCAGTAGACAATCGCCATTGCCTTCACTGTCCAATATTCAATGATAATAATGATAATAATAATAAAAGCAAATAATAAAATTTAATATATTTAATTTGTTTTGTTAATAGAAATAGAAAATTACAATAACTTTATAATATTTTTAATTTTTGTTAAAATAAATTTATTTTATTTATATTAATAGTTATAATTAATTTTTTGTGTATATATTTTCAATGCAAATATGATTTTTAAAAAAAGTTGAATGAGTTTTAAAACAACAAATTGTTTATTAATCTATTGATTATTACAGTATATATTATTATTTAAAAAAACTTTATATATATAATTATTTAACTCTCTTTAAGTTTTTTTTTAAAAAAGGTTAAAATATATAATTATTTTACTATTAAATTATATAAATTTTAACATTTACTATAATTATTATTTTCATACGACATGCTTTAAAAAAAAAAATTATTATTATATTAATAATAATAAGTATATTATACCTAATATATCAATTGCAGGTAATTTTTTGTTTGTTTAGTGGGTGTGTGGAGGATGCGGGCGATAATAGCGGTTGACTATTGCGGAGGTTGTGGTGGTGGTGGTGGAGGAGTAGTAGGAGGAGGAGGAATAGGTGGAGGAAGAGGCGGTTTGATTGTCACAAAAAAACTCATGCGATTGTATATCAACAACAAAAATATTATATCATCTAATTAACTAATATTTATTTATTTTTATCACACAATTTAGTTGTCATATATTTAAAATTTATATAACGCCATAAAAATTATTTTTGCTATATATTTGTATCTGAAAATTATTATTATTATTTTATAACCATTATATATATATACAGATAATATATCAACAAAATAAATATTTTTTAAAAAAAATCACCAATTAATTAGACATTTAGATTATAGACAATATTTTTAAAAAATAAAATAAATATTCTAACAAAATACAAATACATGTATATATATATATATATATATATATATATATTAATATAATCTATAAGTATAATCAAATACAGCTTTAAATTGTGTTAATTAAAAAAAATTATGATTGATTGATAATATCGGTAAATTGATTAATACATTAAAAAAAATTAAATAATTTAATATAAATTATTGTTTGTTTTGTTTGTTTGTTTAAATTACTTACTCAAGAAACTGTGTCATATGATATCGGGAACACTGAGACCAAGTCCACGGATGACTTGTATAGTCCAACATTCGGGCCATTATATGATGTCTTTGTTTTTCTTCCACATATTTTTCGCATTTGTCGTCGTCGTCGTGAGGAATACTTAATCTTTTTTTTTAAATTAAATTAATTTTTTATATATTTAAAAAAAATTATTAATTCATAATATATATTTTTTTTGATAATATAAGTAAAATATTATAAATAAATTTTTTAAGTAAGTCTATGTTTAATATGATTTTAAATATTGAGAAATTAATTAAAATTTAATTGATATATCTTATATTATTTGTTAATAGATATGTTTTTTCAAATTTATTTATATTATTATTATTAATAATACTGTATTTCTGATAAACAAATTATTTGATGATAATTTTTTAAAAAATAAATAAATTTATAAAATAGAAAATTTAAGTTATACTGTATTTTCAATTTATTTTTATAAAAAAAATATTCAATAAATTTGCAAACTATTTACTTCAACTATATTATAATATAATAATAATAATTATTATTAGTATTATTATTATTATTATTATTATTATTATTATTATTATTATTATTATTATTTCTGATAAACAAATTATTTGATGATAATTAAAAAAATAAATAAATTTATAAAATAGAAAATTTAAGTTATGCTTATAAGTTAACTATTTTTAATTTATTTTTATAAAAAAATATTCAATAAATTTGCAAACTATTTACTTCAACTATATTATAATATAATAATAATTATTATTATTAGTATTATTATTATTATTATTATTATTATTATTATTTCTGATAAACAAATTATTTGATGATAATTAAAAAAATAAATAAATTTATAAAATAGAAAATTTAAGTTATGCTTATAAGTTAACTATTTTTAATTTATTTTTATAAAAATTCAATAAATTACTAACTATTTGCTTCAACTATATTATAATTATTAAAAAAAATTGATAATTAAATTTATTTATAAATTTTATTTTTTTTTAAAAACTCATAAATAACTTACACGTGTGCCAACTCGTGCGCAATGGTAAAGGCAGCGCTCAGACCGTTGTCCTCAATGACCGCACAGCTGGCACTCGGATCGCATATCTGTGCCGATTGGGCCAAACCCAGTGTATCGCATGTGTTGCTCATACGGCACAAGTCCTCCCGTGTCAACAGTATGGCTGTGTCGTAGTGTTGAGGATGACTGTCGTTTGGCTTGTTCTGGATGTACTGCCACTGACAGAACTGGCGAAGAGTTTTATGAGCCGATGAATAGATTATTTGTCGACTCTTTTTTCAAAAAAAAAATAAAATTATATGATATTTTCAATTATTATCAGTAATAATAATCTAATCTATTATTAAAAAAACTACAGTACAGTATATGGGGGGCGGGCACCCTATAGGGTACAGTTATCTACTACATACCTGTTCATCATCGAGTATATCCATCTTAACCAATGCAATACTGATGGCATTACCGATGCTGGCGTCCTTATAGATTAGTTCAACCTAATTAATTAAAATTAAATTAATTATAATTAATTAATTAATTAATTAATTAATTAATAATAATATCTACTGACAGTGGCCATCAATGCCAGCAAATAATGTCGAAGATTGTGTCCATGATATTGGGCCATCTTTGCGTCGGCGGTTATCATTACTTCAATGTATATTTCCCGTGAATACCAATGTTTTTCGCGGGTCATTGACATGGCTTTGTGGTGCTGGTGTTGGTGTTGGTGTTGGTGGTGCTGGTGGTAGTGGTGGTGGTCAGTGTTATCGGTGGCCAAACTTATAGCTAAAATAATAATTTTTTTTTTGGTAGCAAATAATGCATTATATTTGTAATATAATTTTTTTCAAATAATAATAATTAATTAATTAATTATACCTATTATTGCTGATGATATAATATTAATTAATATTATTATTATTAATAGAAATTTGCCATTAGTTTTCATTGACCACATTATCCAAATTGATGGTCCCAATTGGAGACTACTGTCACCTCAACAACAACAAAAATAGTCAAGGTAACAATAATACCAGGGTGCTCTAAAAATTATATATTTATATGTGTGTGTGTGTAAAAATTTGATATCAAAAATTTAAAAAAAAAAATAAAAATATATAATAAATAAATATTATTTTTTAATTCAAATGCAAATATATTTATTCTATGCATAGTATACTAGCATATACTGTATCTAATGTTTATGTTAGTATTATTATTTTTATTTTTTCCAGCAAAAAAAAATCAAATAAAATAAATAATAAGATATCACATATCATCCACCAAACAGATCCAATACTCACCCTTTTTTTATATATATATATTCAACAATATGGGTATATATATATAAATAAATTATATATATATATATATACTGTATATCGATAGCACTGTTATCACAACTCAATACTAGTATTATTATTATTATTAATAATAATACATATAGTAGTGATGATGATGTTGTTGATGATGATGCTGATGATGATGACTGTAGGCATCACTACTAGTTGTAATAGTGGCCACAAAATTATTGTCCACTTTGCACATCATCGGTAACTTTACATTTTCACAGTATATATATATATATCATATATATAAATAAATATATATTTAATTAAATTAAATATATATATTATGATAATAAATGTCAAAATAATTAAATGCCATGTTTTCTGTGTGCTGCAAGTGTTTTGGGCTTAAAAGTATTAGTATTAGTAGTAGTAGTAGTAGTAGTAGTAGTAGTCGTCTACGACATGTGGGATCATCACATCATCAACTATTAGATGGTTTGGTATGGGATGGGAGTTCAGTAGTCAGTCAGGAACTCATATAACTTTTATGGGTGTGACATGTGTTGCTTAGGATAAGTATTATTATTATTATTATTATTATTACATAACAGTAGTAAAGGATTATATAATAAACAACAAATTTACATATAATATATATATATATACAGTATATATATACAGTATAAATATAATCACCAAAAATATCTTAATTTAGCCAAAAAAAATTATTGTATATAATATATATACAGTATACTGAATATTTAGTTTTTCAATTATTTTCAATAACTTATAATAATAATAATAATAATAATAATAATAATAATAATAATAATAATAATAATAATAATAATAATAATAATAATAATAATAATAATATATTCTTGATTATAGAATTTATCATATGGTAATAAATTAATTTTTAAAAAATTAATTTATTGTATATATATTTTTTTCTAACAAACAAAAAAATAATAATAATAATAAGAGATAATAATCATTATTTAAAATTTATTTAATTTATTAAGTTTATTATATTAATAATAATAAGATATAAATATTTTAATTAAAATTTATTATTATATATATATAGTTTTTATTATTATTTCACATATATATTCATTTACTAATTAGCATTACTAACATTTTCAGTATTTAAATACTGTAGTTATTTTAACTGTATATTTTAGACTATACTAACAATTATTATTATATGGTATAAATGGTTTTTAAAAACAGTTTACTTAATATTATTATTATTATATAAATAGAAACAGTAATTTACAGTATATTTTAAATGTATGTTTTTTTTTGTTTTGTTGGGTACAGTGTATATATATATATATATATATATATATATATATATATCCTATAGTTATATTTGTATACAATTTAAAATTATATCTGATTTAATAATGAATATAAAACACAAAAAATATCAAAATTTTTAAAAAATGTTGAAAAATGAATTAATTAACTAATTAAATGATATTTAATTATTAAAAATATAGTCTATTAAAATATGTATATACTGTATATACTTTATATAGTATTATAATTTAGGGTAAATTATTTTTTTTTGTATAATAAATTTGATTATTTTGTAAAATATAACAATAATTAAAAAAATAATCATGGCTAAATTAATAATAATAATAATAAAAATATATTAATAAATCAATTAATAATGTTTATATTTTATTATTTGATGAAAAATTTAATTGATTTTAATAATCAAATTATTCAACAACAAAAAATAAAAGCAACATTTATTTTTGGTTAATATAAAATTACTGTATATATAAACTTTATATATTATATATTAAAAATATTTTAATATAAAAATTTAATTATTTTTTTACTTACATTAACTGTAATACAGTATAACACTTACTTATAGTAAAAAATATATACTAGATGAAAACTATTATAACATTATCGAAAAATTGTTCAATGTCAATTTTTGAACATAAAAATATATTTTAATTTAATTGTATATAAGTTTTTAGCTTATATTCAAAAAATTCAAGTATAAAAATAAATCTATAAATAAGAGCACCACACAAATACAATTTGGATATACATATATAAAATAAAATAAATTTTTTTATTATTATATATTTAAAAAAAGTTTTAAAAATTTACAACAGTTTTGTTTGATATAATTGTATATAAAAAAAAAATTTTAGGGGTTTTTTTGTTGTTTCAAAATAAATCATTAGACAAAACATAAGTTCCGTTAAAAAGAAAAACAATTATTATTTTTTTTTAAGAACAGCTATTTATGTGAAAACTATATTATAATAATAAAAAAATATTATAAAAATTCGTAAAAATACCAAAAAAAAAATGATAATAAAAATAATGATTTAATAGACAAAATAAAGTTTGTCTAACAAAAAAAAAAGATTCAATAAATAATCTCTATTTATATATACAAAAACAATTCGTTATATTTGACAATCTATAATAATAATGATAATAAATAATAATAATATATTGATAATCACATTATTATTATTATATCGCTTTTTGTTTGTTATATTTGTTGAACAAAATTGATATTATTTTTTTAACAACAAAAAAAAACAGATAAATTTAAAGGCAAACAGTTTTGTTTCGATGTTTTACAGCAAATATACAGTATATTAACGGTATATAAATATATATCAATAATAATAATAATAAAAAACAACAAATGCTTGTAAAAAAAATTCTTAAGTAATAATTATAAATAATTATTTATCAAATATATATATAATATGAATATATATATATAAAAAATGAGTTTCAAAAAGTATTTATGAGATATATATATAAATATAGATAAATATAATTATAAAACATTTTATAATAATAATATAATTCTAAGTTATGATATTTAAAAAAAAAATGATAAGTATAATAATAATTCAATGATAAATACATAAAATAATAATAATAATAATAATATAATGAGACCTATAAATCAGTGACAGGAACTGTAGGCTTGGATGGTGTCTGACGGAAGCATTTCAATTCATTTTGATTGAGCATTATATTGGTTTTACTCTGTCGATGATTGTAGTGACCAAAGTATTGCTGCCATCGACGCCGTTGCAACTGTTGCTGACGCCAACGGCATACAACTATACAGGTAATCACAGCTACCATCACAGCCAGTCCGGCAATTGATGTAATCAATACAGTCAACTGGTGACCACTGCTGCCGCTTAGAGCTTCAGCTTCAGTGTTGTCTACCGAACATTTCGGTAGCGATCCGTTCCAGACACCACTGGGCAGACAGACAAGCACTGGACTGTTAGCTAAGGAGCTGCTACCGGTGCAATAAAACATGGCTCTGGTGCCCACTTTATAGCCGTTACCTTCGACTGGTTTCAATGTTGTATTATAGTAGCCGTCGGTTGCGGCTGAAAATTCGCCCAACAATGTCGATGGACAGTAACTATTTTTTTCGGGACAATGAGGCGGTCCGCGTGACCATTGGCCATCTGACAGGCACTTGGATGAAGCTTTTGTCTTGGAACTTGTATCACATGAATAGATTATCACATCGCCGGGCCTATAGCTGCCACTTTTGGGCCGTGAAGGCAATATACGAAGACCACTGTGCGGACGGACGGGTGACTCGCATCGGATCATCTGACATATCGGTGCTCCTCCTCCAGCAGCAGCTGCTGCTGATGCTGGCGCTGCTGCAGAGGTTGTCTGGTTAACGTCATGCAGATCGCTCCACGAGTCGTCCTGACGACAATACCGAATGGCCGATATTGTCATCAATTTGTAGTTTGAATTGCATACGTACTCGACTTTACTATCGGTACGTCTCATCGGATCGCTATAAACCAATCGACCGTTATCTATGTCGGGCAACTCTGGACATTGTTTCACTAAAAAAAAAACAAAACAAAAACAATATTACAATAAATCTTAAGTAAACAATTCAAATAATTATTGTAGTATTGCTTTTCAGGCACACATACTCTGACATTTAGGTTTTTCCCGATTCCAGGTACCGTTAGCCCGACAGGTCAGCACTGGTACGCCGATCATACGGAAACCCTGATGACATTCATAGTTGACATTTGTATTGTAGCGCAATTCGCCGGTCACCTTACGCGAACTGTTGTCAACATTTCCCGGATCTGTACACTTGACGGCTATTTAAAACAAAAAACAAAAAATAAATATTTAAACAAACCGTTGCAATGGCTGACTATATATATCATATATATACACATACGCTGACAAATGAGATCAATTGGCTGCCATCGAGGTTTCTGTTGGTCATCGATTTGTACGCATTTGGTTTCATCGTTACCCGACTGTTTACGGTAGCCGTTATCGCACGAGTAGACAGCAATTTCGTCCAATTTGAATACATGATGCTTCTGGTTGCGCATCAAATGTGAGACAGCGTTGGCTACCGATGGCGGTTCACCGCAAAATACTTCGGGAGAGATAACCAATAATTATCGGATCAGTTATTAATTGGTCACCAAGTTTTCAATTTACTTACAAAACTGTGTGTTACGTTCAAAACCGCTACTGATATGATTGTTGTTGTTGTTGTTGAGGCCGCCACCGATTCCGCCGCCCGATTGTTGACCAACTGATTCATTGGTGGCAATCACTGGCCGATGGCCGCCGGCAATCATCAACACCGCAACGATTACAACCGTAACTGTTTTGGTGGCGACGACGGCTGCGGCGGTGATGGTTGTGGCCAACAATTGGCGATAGTTATCAACGAATGTGTCCGTCATGTCATTGTCTGTATTTATTCGGTGACCAACAATTCTTCGGTGGACAATGTTTTCATCGGATCCGATGTTTTAAGTTTTAATTGATCTCTTGTTGTTGTTGTTGTCGTTTGGTTTTCAATGTCAACAGTCATTCATTCAGACATCGTATACACAAAACAATACAAATGTATTAATACTCAAAACTCATTGTGTATTCAATAATACAATATTATTATTATTATTATACAGTATATTGTATTCATAGATAGGATTTACTGTATTATTATTATTGACGACTCATTTCTCGCTGTAATCTCAACATACCTTTACATTACATACATTACATCAGACTTCCAGTACATAGACCACACTAAAACAATACAGATTTCAAACTTTATATTAGATACTGTACTTAATATTTGGCGCCCCTTTTAGTTTTAAGTGATAGCTTTTTTTTGTGTTTTCTCTGTATAACAATTACCGGTTACTGTACAGTATTATTGTGCAGTTGAAGTATTAAAAAAGATCTCTCAATAAATAAAATACACGGAACAGTAGTTTTTTTTTTTTTAATACTTGGAATACACTGTACTTATAGTCTAAAGTCTACATAAAGTTTGTACTAAAAAAAAAATTCAGTGCAATGTATGGGTTGGGCTAACATTACACACACACACACACACTGTTGGGCTTAAGTGTAAAGCAATGTTTCTTTTGGAATAAATTATTATTTTCAATAGCAATATATAAAAAAAAAGTAATCGATTATATTCAAAACCAAAACAATAATGGCAATTAATATTCATTTTTTTTAAATTTATAATTGATAATAAAAATTACATGATTAGTTAAATATTTTTTATGTAATTTTTATTTAAAAATATATAATTTAATATAAAGTTTATGGGTTTATTTCGGCTTATCAGCTATTATTCAATATATTGTTTTATTTGATTTCAACTTTAACTCATTCATTCAAAATTTATTAAATAGTAACGATTGTTTGATGCATATGCTGGCAATATAGCTGGCAAGGGGGGGGGACGGAATTTTTATAAAGCATAGACTATATGTTTGCATAGTTATTATACACACTATTTTATTTGTATGTACTGTATATATATATTAAGTGTAATCTATGTGCTTGTGGTGCTTATACTATTGTTTTGGTTTTGAATAAAATCGACTAATTTTTTTACACACACACACATACAAACATAACAATACAGTACTATTGGTTTAATACACATACAGTAAAACACTGTAAAACTGTTTTTAACAACAAATGTCGACATTTAATACATACAGTGTTTATACACATAAATACTGTAAACTTATAATAACGTAAACATAAAACACGTGTTGTTTTTTTAATTTTAATTTAATGGTTAATGCGATGATCATTGACTACAAAAAAATAAAAATTATCATATTTTAGATTATGAGCCAACAGTATCTGATCCGTATTCCCGATAGTTTGGACAAACAGCTACTCGATGGTCAACGTATTGATCTGTTTGGCGGCGGCGGCGGCGGACAACATATTATCGGCGGCGGTAGTGGCGGCGGAAGTAACGATACCGACGATTCGCCGACAATTATTGGCTACAGTTGTCAGTGTTTTCCGTCGACCAATCTGATCAAATTGGACCGATTGGGCGGCAACAGCAGCGGCGGCGATGACAATGATGTCCAGTATTCGTCCACTTCGCTTATCGACGGCTACATTGGCTTTAGACTGTGTCCGCGGACGACGACGACAAACACCGCCGCTGCCGCCGCCGATAACCGACAAAATGATGCGGAAAATTGGCGGCCACTCGACAAACGACATATTGTCGAACCAATTGAAGATGTAATCAAATTAAGATTGAATTCATTACAAGAATCACAACAACCACAACAACAACAGCACAAACATCGGATCAAAAAGGAAACAAAACGAAGAAAACATTAATTAATTAATTAATTATATAATTAAATAAAATTATGGTTTTATTTGTTGACAAAAAAAATTTGTTTGTTTTGAATGTTATGATAATTTGTATTCAATTTAAATAAAACAAAAAAAAATAGTAATAATTTATATTATAATTAATAACTAAAATGATATTTTTTGCGGTAAATTATATTAATAATAATAATAATAATTGTAATAAATATTTATCAAAATACTAATTATTAATAATTAAAAAAAATATTAAATTAATTATTAAAGTTCTTCGTGCTCTTCATGTGTCAGCTGTAATCAAAAACAAACAAATCATTGAATTAAAAAAAAAGTTTTATAATAATTAGTTATATATAAGACTACTGTACCTCTTGTTCGGCATCTAATGTCTCGATATTATCACTGCCTTTATTGCCATTATTGTCATCGCCTTCATCGTCATCGTCCTCATCGACCTAATCAATAGATAGATATAGAGAGAGAGAGAGAGAATGAATTAAAAACACGAACCATATTATTATAAAGAGTGAAATCCCAAAACACATACCTGTGCCGACTCGTCGACGCCCAAAGTCTTACGCAATAGTGTCTCGACTCGTTGTGCAAAAGACGACGTATCGGCCAACATAAACCCTGACCTCAGTGTTGCCGTTTCGTACATCAATAGTGCCATATTGGTGGCGGTCGGATCCTGTTTGTCGGCTTCTATACGGCGCAACAGTTCTTTGATGAGCGGATGTCTGGGATTCACTTCGAGTGTCTTCTTTTGGCTTAAATAAAAGTCACGCATAGTGTCCTGCGATTTCGAGTGGGCATTACTTCGGGCCAATCGTTCCATATTACCGGTCCAACCGAATTGAGAGGCTACCAGTGCGCAGGGCGAGTCATGCAAACGCTGTGATACCAGTGCTTTGGCAATCTTGTCTTTAAGTACATCCTCGGTCAGCCATTTGGTCAATGGTTCCAATTCTTTTTCCAGGGCTTCCTGTTTTTCTTTGGATCGTTCGTTATCAGTCAGTTTTAGGCCATCTTTGGCTACATTTTGGAATTTCTTCGACTCAAACTCTGGCAGAGCAGAGATGGCATATTCGTCGACAGCATCGGTCAGATAGAGTACTTCGTAGCCTTTTTTCAGTAGTCGTTCGACAAACGGCGAACTGGAAACCTCCTCATAGGATGTACCGGCCATATAGTAGATCATGTCTTGTTTGTCTTTCATACGGCGCACATAGTCGGCCAGCGATGTCAGCTTAGCTGATCCTACTGTCGATGAATTGAATCGCAAAAGTTTGGCCAATCGAACCCGATTGGTAGTGTCTTCGATGACACCGAGTTTGATATTAGTCGAGTACTCTTTCCAAAACTTTTCGTAGTCTTCGTCCGATAACTTTTTCAACATATCCAACGTTTTGCGGACCAACTTCTTTCGTATGACTTTCAATAGTTTGTGTTGTTGGAGGTTCTCGCGGGAGACGTTCAATGGTAGATCGTCGCTGTCGACAACGCCACGAATAAAACTCAAATAATTGGGTATAATATCTTGCATGTCATCCGTGATGAATACCCGACGGACATACAGTTTAATGTTATCGGTTTTTGTACCGTATTTGTTGAATGTATCCGATTGTTGCGATTTGGGTACAAACAGCAGGGATTTGAATGTTACTTCTCCTTCGGCAATGAAATGTGTTTTGGCCAGTGGTTCGCCGGAATCTTTGGTAATTGATTTATAAAATTCATTATATTCTTCATCAGTTATTTCATTTGGTTTTCGGGTCCAAATTGGTTTCGAACTGTTCAGCAGTTCCCAATCCCAGACAGTTTTGTCGATTTTTTTGGTTTTTGGCTTTTTCTCCTCCTTTTCATCTTCAACTTTGACATCTCCATCTTCGTCTGCAGCAGTAGTTGTTGTTTTCGATTCGGTTGTCTGATCCGAATCCAAATCGTCATCAATTGGTTCTTCTATCGACTCCGTCTTACTCGACCACAAATAGATTTTGAAATTAATAAACTGACTGTATTTGCGAATCAAATTTCTTAGAGTGTCTTCTTGTAGGAAATCTTTGGCCTCGTCTTTCAGTGCCAACGATATGGTTGTTCCTCTCAGCAGAGTATCGCCGCGCGGATCGTCACTAATGGTAAACTCGGCTGAATCTGATTCCCAGATATGTTGTACAGGATCTTCGTTATTCTTCGATGTTACCACCACTTTGTCGGCTACTAAAAATGCCGAATAAAATCCGACACCAAACTGGCCAATCAAATCGGACATTTCGCCCGAATCTTTTGTTTCGGTCATCTTTTTGAAGAACTCGGATGTACCCGATTTGGCTATTGTTCCCAAATTGTTGATCAGCTCTTGCTTGGACATACCGATACCGGTGTCGGTAATGTGCAACATATTGTTATCTTTGTCGGCTTTGATCCTAATTGTTAGCTCCGGTGTCGAGTCCAGTGCACTCTTGTCGGTCAACGACAACAAACGGATTTTATCCAAAGCATCGGAAGCATTGGATATCAATTCACGTAAGAATATCTCTTTGTTTCGATACAATGAATTGATAATCAATTTCATCATACGATTGACTTCGGCCTGAAAGACAAACTTTTCGGCCGATTCGCGCATCTGTTTCATCTGCGATACGGACAGACCATCCAATTTGATGGCCTCTTCTTCACGGGCTACTACTTCATCGTCAGTTCGCGAACCTTCTCGTTGGGCACCCAAGTCTTGATCAACTGTCACACCAATTGATTCGCCCTCGACATCATCGTTGGCCAAACTTATGCCTATTTAAAAACAATTAATTGATTAATATATTATCAAACAAGTTGTCAATTATTTTTTTTTTTGGATGTCCTATCACTTACCTATTAGTGATGATACTATTAACAAGAAAACTAGTGTCTTGTGTCCAATTGATCCCATAATTGTGACCACAAATAGTCTAAATACCGGCTAAACGCTAGTCATGTATACAACAAAAAGTGATGACAATTAACACTAGTATTCAATGAATACTTTATATATACTCCTCTCTCTCTCACACACAATGTATGTATTGTATTGTATATGAAAATAACATTAGCCATCAATAACGACTGCATTGTTTTCAATACCCTATAATTGTATTGAATTGTAAAACAATTCAAACTATAGATTATAAAACCGGACGTAATTTATTACCATTTGAATGTAAACAGTCAATGATAGCCAATAGAAAAACTACACATTTTAAAACTAATTACTTGTCGTAATACTATTGGTTGACTGAAAAACTAGTTTTTTTTTGGCGCAAATATTTGAACGAAAAAAAAATTATAATTTTATTTTTATATATATTTTATTTTTTATTTTATTAAATATAATAACAATTTGTTTGTTTGTTTGATAAAAATGATTTTTTTTTCAAAATGAATAATTATATATTGAAATTGTTTGCATAATTATTATTTGTTTGTTTTATATATATATATATAAAATACACTATATTTTTCTTAAAATTACTTTCAATAAAACTATATATATATATATCTATATCTACTTTATATATATGTATATGAGATGTATATATTTATGTTAATAAATCTACTATTTTTAAAAAAAACTACTATTTTTTTTATAAATATAAGCTATAATACTGTTTTAATAAAAAAAAACATATGATTTGTTTGTAAGTTAATTAAAAAGCAAATATTAATTATAATAATAATAATAATAACAATAAAACGTTTCGATAAAATCTTTTTAAAATTTTTGTTGTTGTAATAAATTGCATGAATTTTTTGTTTGTTTGTTTGATTTTTTTAAGTACATTGCGGTCCCGTAAATGACATCATCTCGTCGTAAACCAATTCTGTATATAAATAAATATTTAAATTTTTTAAAAATTAAATTAAAATTTTATGTCCAAAAAAAAATTGGTTTACTTTTCCATTCATTAACCGAAAGCTCTTTTTCTTCAAACGACTCGTCATAACGATCTGTAAATAATAGTAATTATAATTATTTTTGTTTTATATATAAAAATAAATTATTTTTTTTTAATTATAGTATTATATTTCAATTATAAATCAATTTATAAAAAAAATCATAATATAATATTCAAAATGTGTGCACTAAAATTAATTGAATAAAATTATTTTAATTAACTCATTACACTGTATTAATACTAGTATATAAATTTTATATATTCAATATATAATTAATATGTATATAATCTAAGCAATTATAATTGTAATATATTTTTTAAAAATATATTTTACGGTATATTAAAAATATTTTTTTAAATACAGTAAAACTTTTTTTTATATATATTGTAAACCAATAAACTTATAAATAAACTTAATTATTGAAGGATAATTAAATATATATATATATATATATATAGACGGTATAACCAAATTATATTGAAATATTTGCTATATAAACAAATTTTTTTCTAATTTCAATTATTTTTAGCAAATTGCCAAAATTCAATGAGAAATCAATATAAATATAGTAATAGATTAAAAAAATTTATTATTATTATTAGAGTAATGTAAATATTTTTGAAAATCAACTTTTAACCTTGTTTATATGTTTTATTAATATATATATATATATATAAATTTAAATACAGTAGAATATTTTGGATAATTTTAAACCTAATAATGTATTGCTTAAATACTTATTTCTAATTATCGGTAAATAATTTTATTGTAATTAATGAATTAATTAATAATTGTAATATATATATACTGGTAATCAAAAATAATGATTATAAACTTTTTTTTTAATAACTTTTTAATGATTATCTTATCAATTGCGGTATCATTTATCATAACATAAAACGATTATATAACATAACAAATATTTTTATTGCGATAATCATAATTATTATATGATATGATACTGTATGATATTAACCACTAATATTTTTTGTTACCGGTACTATAATACAAGTATAATATTGTGTTATTTGAGAGGACAAACACAAACACACACACACACACACACACACACACACACACACACACACACACACACACACACACACACACACACATACATACATACATACATACATACATACATACATACATACATACATACATACATACATACATACATACATACATACATACATACATACATACATACATACATACATACATACATACATACACACACACACACACACACACACACACACACACACACACACACACACACATACATACATACATACATACATACATACATACATACATACATACATACATACATACATACATACATACATACATACATACATACATACATACATACATACATACATACATACATACATACATACATACACACACACACACACACACACACACACACACACACACACACACACAAACACACACACATACACAAACACACACAAACACATACCTGCAATGGGCTCATCGGTGGGATCATAGTATTGCTGAAGATATGGATGAGCTAATGCCTGTTCAGCAGTTGGCCGCTTATCGGCGTCCAGTTCAAGCATTTTCTGTAATAAATCAATGGCTATAAAGGATAATAATTTTTTAAAAAATTAATTATAATTTCAATAAATTTCAATTTACTAAATATATATAAACAAATCAATCAATCAATCAGTTAAGTCAATACCGTGTGGATTGGAACCACTGAAGACATCGTTGAAACTTTTTTTCTTCATTGTCGGCAAACTTCTGATGTAATTTCTAGCCTCTTCTGAACTGATCTTTTTCATAAACTCTTCATCGGGAGTACCGCACAGATTCATAATGCGAAGCAATTGGTCAATGTCTTCAACAACAACAACAAATTATAGACACATATACAGTATGTGAACCAATAAGTATCGGTATATATCAATATTATTGGATAAAAACTTACGGTCAGTTCCCGGAAACAGTGTCTTCGATGTTATCAATTCAGCCATTATGCAGCCAACTGACCAAATGTCCACTGTGTGTGTGTGTGTGTGCGGGTAAATCAAACACAAATAATTACCGACATATAATATATAGACAGTACGGTAAGTTATAAATACCGGTTAAGTTATAATGCATCCAATTGAGCATAATTTCCGGTGCTCTATACCAACGAGTGGCCACATAGCCGGTCATTTCGGCTTCGGACTGTCTGGCCAGACCAAAGTCCAGTATCTTGAGCTCGCAGTCCTCGTTGACAGCTATATTGCTTGGTTTTAGGTCCTAATTTATTGGATAATAAATCTATTGTTATTACCAATGATTATTACGGTAAAATGATTTAGTCTATACTCGATGTATAATTCCCGCCGAATGTATATACTTGAGGCCACGTAGTATTTGATAGACCAGAAACTGGACATGGTCGTCGCTGAGACGTTGGGTTTTAATTATCCGATTCAGGTCGGCGCCCATCAAATGGTTGACCAGATATAGCTCCTGGAAAACATCGAGCGATTGGCTGGGACTGAACACATCCAATAGTCCGATCACCTGTTTGTTTGGTGGTTAAAAACAATCAATCGGATCAATTGGATGGGAAGTGATTGATATAATAATAATAATCTATACATACGTTTTCGTGGTTCATGTGCTTCAATAGCCGTAGTTCACGGTAAGTACGTTTGGCGTGTATTGCCGATTGAAACGGTCGGTTCAACTTTTTGATGGCCACTTTGATTTGTCGTTGGCTGTCGATGGCAGCGCTATTTTTTTTAAATTAAAAATAATTTTCAAAAATAACAAAATTATCAAGTTAAAATATATATCATTATAACTATGAAATTAGGATATATATATATATATATATTAAAATAATACTGACCAAACCTGGCCATAGGCACCCGAACCTACTGGTTCAAGGCTCTGGTATTTTTCGGGTACTTCCCAAACACTTTTGTTTAGCTCGACTTTAGTGAATCCGGGTTTCATTTTTTTTTTGGGTTAATTATTATTGGGTACCAAAAAATATACGGTAATTATTTAATTATATTTTTAAAATTAATATGATGTGTGAAATTTTTTTGAGACACAATTGAATTTTCAATTTATTTAATAAATCAATTTCATATAATAATAATCACTATGTGTTTGAACCATAAGTTGATAATCATATTCACATTATATACACACAAATAATATTTCACATTCAAAAAAATATATATCAAATAAAATTAAAATTTTTTTATAGTCTATTAAATGTTGATTAAATATATTTAATAAAATTAATTAAATATTTTATGCAATAATAGCACTATTATTGTTGTTTTGTGATATTAATTATTAATATATATCAATATTAAGTATAATAATAAATCAATATCACTATCAATAGGAATATTTAATAATAAATAAATTTTTTTTATCAATTCATTCAAATAATAATAATAAATATCATTATTAAGTAATAGTTATAATAATAATAATAATAATTAATTCATTGAGTATATACAGTATATACTGTATAATACATATATTTCCTACTATTTTATCATAGAGTCAATTAATAATAATAATAATAGTATACATTAGAGACTGAAAACTGACCTGATTTTTCAGGTCAGGTCAGGTCAGGTAAAAGTTAGGGCTCAGGTCAGGTCAGGTACGGGTCCGAACACCAAAATTTTTTGGTCAGGTCAGGTCAGGTCCGAAAATTTTTTATTCATTATTTAAACGACAATTATTACAAAATATGACAATCAAACACAAAATTTATTAAATTATTATTTATAAAATATTTGTATAAATTAAAGATAAAATATTACAAAAGATGATGGTTTTGATCTAATAAATAATAACATATTAACTTTATTAGAATCTAAGTTAGATCTACTATCAGTTATCGTTAATCCCGAGTAATTAAAGTTAATTTAGACAAATTTGTTGCGGGTATAAAATAAATAAAATTGTTTTTTGATAAAATTATTTTCGGACCTACATAGTCAGGTCAGGTCAGGTCAGGTAAATTTGTACCCTATGTTAGGTCAGGTCCGAGTCCGAGATTTTAGGTATCAGATCAGGTACGGGTCAGGTACGGGTCCGAAACTTTTCGCTCTCTAGTATACATGTATAAAATTTTTAATATATGATAATACTAGTAGTAGTAGTATTAATACTACAGTACAGTATATTAGCAACTATTTATAAACTACAGTACATTTCAATACATTTAAAAAATATTTTAAAAAAACTTTAAATGTATACCATTGAACACTACAATAATAATAATAATAATAATAAATTTTTAATGTGCGCTTTTTTCAAAAAAAAATATTTATAAATAAAATTGCATAATATTTATATACATATTTTTTTTTAAATAATACATAAATTCAAAAATATATATAATTTTTTTTGTTGTATACCCTAATAAATTATATCCATGTATAATATTGACAATTAATAATAATAATACTTAATTTTATTTAAATTATACTGTATTAAATATATATATATAATTTATGTTGTTGTTGTTATTTTATCATGGTACTTTTTTACTAGTTTTATTATACGTCCATATACATATATATATATATTAAAAATTTTATACTATAATTAAATTATTAAACATTAGTAAAATCATATTAATTTTTTCATATATATAATACAATCAAAATTTATAACTAACTTAACTAAATAACTAATAAAATAACTAAATTATAAAAAATATTAAATACAAATATTAATATACTGTATACTGTATTACAGTATGTGTTAAACAACATAATTGATGTACAAAAATGTGTACAAAAAATGTTTAAATGCGATAAACATTTTGTGATAAATAAATACAAATGTAATGTAAAAATTTAAAATATACTTTAAAAATACTATTAAAATTTCATTATTAATAATTTACAGCTAAATGTTATTATAATAATAAAAAAAATAGTTTTTTTTTTTAAATAAGTGATTGTCAATCAATAATAATAATAATAATAAAAAGTTTTTAATTTTTTCAAAAACACAATTAAATTATTTGACAACAAATGGAGAAACAATTGACTGACATATCAAACGAGGCGTAAGTATTATATTATTATTATTATTATTATTATTAATATATCATATGTTTATCAATAATAAAACAAAATTTTTAAATAATAATTAATTTACATTATAATAGTATTAATCATAAAAGTATTGCTGGCTTTCAATGTATTGATAGCAATGGACTGTGTCTTACGGGTAAGTATTTTACAATTTCAATCAATCAATCAATCAATCAATACATCAATTGATATAATATATGATATTTTAATATTAAATTGTATTTTCAAGTAATATCTCTTATATTATAATAAGTTACTAAAAAATATATATTATTTATAATTAAAATTTAATTAAAAATAATAACCTAAACACATAATACCAGTATATATATCATATGTCATATATATCGATATATGATCTGTTAGGGGATGGGGTCAAAGGTTAGGCGCCCATTGATTGCCTTACAATCTCATTCAATGGGCGCCTAACCTTTGACCCCCCTAACAGGTCATATATCATATATATATATATATATATATATATATATAATATGTATAGAGTATACTGTATATCCATATATGATATATTGTGTACTAACTTATGGATATATATCCTATAAATTTTTTTTTTATATATATATATACAGTAATCATATGATTGATATTTAATCTAAAATTTTTTATTTTTTGATATATTATTATTATTTAAATTTCAATATCAATATATAGCCAGTGGTTTGGCAGATGAGAGGACCAGCGGATCCATTGTTGCCATTGCAAAGTTGGCCCAAAAACTTGATCCCAATAACAGTGTAGTTGTTTGCGTTGAATCTGTCAATAGGTTTGTTATATAATATTAGATATATCCTTACAAATGATTATTTTATTTTTTTAAAATATATTATTTAAAACTTAATAAAAACTTATATTTTTTATTATTATTTATATTATTTTAGCAAAATATTGATCAAACAAAACAATCACTTAACCACTGCTCTCTACACCAAACATTGAATTAATTAATTAATTAATTAATTAATAAATAATAATAATGAAAATAATTAAATGAGAAAACTCTGGGGGAAAAAATCATTAGATTTTTTTTGTTTTATTTTTCTTTTTTTCTAAAAAAAAATTTATTGTAAATAAAAAGTGAGATTTATTATTATTATTATATATAATAATTAAGTACATTGTTATTAATTAATTAAATTAGTATTGCATTTGATATATATATATATAAATTAATTATATATATATATATATTATATTAAATATAAATATATTTTTAAAAAAAGATGACAATGTTTTATATATTTTTTTTAAAAAAAAAATCTGATACAAAAAAATATGTTAAATATCAGGTATTTATTATTATTATTATTATTATCATTATATATGTCATATCATATATCGTGTGAGTGTTACGCCTGACACGTGCGGTATTCACGCGATCTCATCTCTATATGGTTCAGATGACCCATCATTTCGTTGTTCAAGTTATCAATGATTTGCTGATAATCGGTAAGTCGTTTCTCATTTTCGTGAAACGAGTCCTCCATTTCTGTTTAAATTAAAAATTAATTTAATTAATCAATCAATCAATCAATCAATAAATCAATTAGTTATCTAATTGGTGTCAAAAAACAAACAACAAATGTATGGATCAAATTGGATCCAATACCTTGAAGTATTCCCAATCTAGACTTGACATCTTCGGCCAATTTTTTAGCCCTTTCTCTCAATGTTTCCGCCCGTTCTTTGACGGCACCGCTAGCTCTGGCTTTTTCATCTAATTTATCGGAAGCCTTATTGAATCGTTGTTCAAGTTCTTGAGCCGCCTATTAATAAGTTTGAAAATTAATTAATTAATTTTACCGATAATATAGTGACCAATACTACTACTACTACTACTAGTACAACATACCAGTCCCGCTTCTTCAGCATTTTTGGCCGCAATGTTGGCCTCATTATCGGCTTTTCTCATTTCCATTTCATTCAATGCAAATCTTCGCTTCAGATCATCCAATCGTTTCTGTAGATCACTGATACCGGAGCCGGCCTTTTCTGAATTAGCCGCCGCCGACTGGGTCTCACTTTCAATCTGAATCAATCAATTTTTTTTGGGTCAATTAACTATTTATATAATCGGGTGTTACGGGACTTACTTGAACCAAATCTCCATTTGCACTGTTAATATCTCCGTTAGCCTTACCGATGGCCGCTTCGGCTTTTCTCTGGGCATCAGCCGCCTCTTTGAGTGCATTTTGAACTTCTTCGGCCTGACCTAGGATTCCATCGGCTCTTATTCTGGACAAAAAAAAATATCGGTAAAAAAATTTATAAATATATAAATAATACACTAATACTAATCAATTACATACTTAGCTCTATCGGCTCTATCCTTAAGACGGTTGGCGTTATTCAAATCGCCGGCCGTTTCCATCAATATTTTCGTTATGTCCGTCAGTCCGGCAATTGTATCGTTAATCTGTTTGGCCAGATCTTGGATCTGCTGTGGCCGTAACGATATGTCCAATGCCAGACACTCTTCGGCCATTGTCCGGATTTCCGACGGACGCGACGCTTCTTCGCCCAGAAACGCTTCGATAGCGTCGAGCAGTTGCTGTACCTCCAGAGTAGTTGCTTCCGAAGTATTTTTGGCCGCAATGGCCCTGTCGTAGGCGGCTCTGGCCTCACGTAGGGCTTCATCTGATTTATGTTTGGCTTCGACAATACCGTTCAGTTCGTTTCGGGCATTCTTTTCCTTATCTTTTAAGGAACTATCGGCTTTTGTGGCCAACTCGAGTGCATTATCGGCCTTAGTGGTGGCACCGTTTGTACAGCTAAGGCCACCGCATTTACCGCAACCGGCACCGCCGCACAACGAATCGCAACTGGTTACCGTTGCCCGACCGTCGCAAACCATTTCGTTGATATTCGGTATCTTGTTCTCCAATTGGCCAATCTTTTGCGATATGGCATTCAGCGATGCCTCGTTGTCATCGATACTGCCATTGTATCGCTGGGCCACCTGATCCAGTAGGCGCTCGGTTTGCCGCCGTTTCCTCTCCGACTCGTACAGCGTTGGCATTGTCTCCCGTATGCGCTGTTCGCTGGCCCGACTCCTTCGTTGGGCATCTTTAGTGATATTGAAGGCACCCTCGACGTTGGCCTCTTGTAATTTGGTTGCATTCTCCCGCAGTGTGTCCGCCTGAAACTGTAGGTCCTGTGACTTACGCCGCAGATCCGATAGGGCCAGATTTGCTGCCGTTATACGTTTGTTAACCGAATCCATTTGGCCATCGAAACCATTCAATATATTTTGAGTATCGGTCAAATTTTTTCTTAACTGTTCAATCATTTCCTCAATGGTTTTAATGTCGGCATCGGTTATATTTTGACCGCCAAGTATCAGTTCGACATCGTTCAGACTATTTTCGATGGACGTAAACTCGTTAGTATAGGCACCGGTAGTACCGGTTTGTTTGATACGTCGGGCCGAGTCCAACAATCTCAGGGTATTATCCTTTAGGGTAGTTATAGTGTAATCCCAATTGTCGAAACATTCGCCACAAGCTTCGCAATGCGGAGCATTGCCAGTGAATCCACGGGCACAGCGATCGCAGCGGTCACCCGATATGCCACCGATGCAGACACAGGTGCCGTTATTTCGTTGACATTGCAGTGTTGCCGATCCCGACGGATTACATTCACATTCTGTGGCCAATCAATCAAATAAATCAATCAATCAATCATCTAATTTACGGTTACTTACGGTAACATTGCACCCGAGGATCGCCCCAATAGTTAGGTTGACATTCATTGCAGCGGCGACCACCGTGTCCTGGCCGACAGTGACACTGGCCGTCAAATTCGTTACATTTCAATGTGTAGGCTCCCTGTGGATCGCAGTCGCAGGCATCGCATCCCTGGCCGCTGGCAATCTTCCAATGATTTACAGCACATCGATCGCATGATTTACCTAAAACATTGGGTAGACACGGACACTGGCCAGTTGACGGGTCACAGTAGCCGCGACCGGAATCGGTACCCAACGGATTGCATACACATTCGACACACTGTTGTCGGGTGGCGTCGCCCCAGTAGCCGGGTTTACAGGTTTCGCAGTGCGGGCCGCCGGTATTGTAGAGACAACGGAGACAGTCGCCGGTACGACCATCGCAGTTGCCTATCTGTGCAATATCTATGTTGTTGTTGCACTGGCACTGTTGACATTGGCCGCCGGGAACGTTGGGATCGCCAAAATAGTTGCTATCGCATCGGTCGCACCGTTCGCCCGTATAGCCACTCTTGCAAAAGCAGAGAACATTTTGCGATCGGTTATCCAGTTCGCAGGTTTCGGCGTGACTCATACCGCTACCCGCTAGGCCTGGACAGGCACACGGCCGGCACGGTATGGCAACATCGTTGGCCAACAGTAGCGGATTGCCGTAATAGCCGCGTTCGCAGCGTTCGCATTGAGAACCGGTAGTAAAGTCGCGACAGTTTTGACAGACACCGGTCTTCGAGTCGCAAGTGTCGGCGTGTCCGCTACAGTCGCACCGTTGACAGTTCGGATAGTTCCAGTAGCCCGGCTGACATTCGTCGCACTGGCGACCATAGGTACCGGTACGACATTTGCACTGACCGGACGGTCCATCGCAAAAGTTGTCCAACGATCCGATACTATGACAATCGCAAGCTATTAGACAAACAAACAACAAATAAAAATTAATTTTAATTATCAAATTAAATGATGGATTGGTTGGTTGGGGCCATACGTTTGCAGCCGTCGGGACCGAAACCGTAGAATCCTTGCTGACATCGGTCGCACTGACGGCCAGTTATATGCGGCCTACACGTGCACTGACCGCCCAAATTGTTGCATACGGCGCTTACCGAACCAGTTGGATCACAATTGCAAGCTATTGTAATAATAATAAATAGTTTAAATAAACAAAAAAAAAAGATAACAATTTTTAGTATAACAGACCATAAGCACCGTCGAAGACATAATACGAGACACTGTATAACATTTTTCGGCAAATTTCTGGCGGATCGGTAGGTCTGCCCATTGAATAATATGATGATCCGCACCGAAAACGATCAAATTCTTGTAGTTTATATTCATTTAGTTGATTGCCTTTGAAAAACGGAATATCTTCTATTTGTGGCATAAAAACTATCTGTAATTATCCGGGAAATAATAATAATAATAATTTAAAATATTTACCGATAATTAAACAATTAAATTATCAAAACAATTACCGAATCGATTAGTATTGAAGCTCTTTCCCGGTCAACATTACCGGTGTATTCGTTAAATTTCAGATCAATCTTATATTGTTTGCCTCTCTCGAGACACAAGTTGTTGGTCAACACAAATCGATCGGTCGATGGCATAGCTATGGTTTTTTGGGAACTACCGGCCAACGATTGATTGCACGGTCCGCGCGGATCGTACGGATAGGGATTATCAATGGTAATGGTAACCCCTTCCCAGACACCGGGCATCTGTGGCTCGTATCGGATAACCATATCGTATTCAAGACTATCGGGTATATCAGTTACGTCAAACTCGAGATGAGTGCCGGGAAATACACGCTGAAAGCCGCTGCCAGTCCAGGTTGGCGTACGGTCGGCGTGCGGCTCACGGGGTGTTATCTGTGCGTCGGCCGATCCCTTAGCCAATTCGGCTTCGTGTGTGATATAGTCGAGATAGGGGGCAAAAAAGCCCTGTTCTGGTTGATCGCATCGTCGGCCGCTAACATGAGGCCTGCACCGGCACTGGCCAGTGGTTATGTCGCAACTGTTATCGTAGGCGCCGCCGACATCGCAATCGCATGCCTTACAGCCCTCTTCATCGGAGCTCAAGCCGTAAAATTCGGCCTAAAAAATAAATAAATGTTATTTTTAACAAAAAAAAAATCTAATTATTTTAAACAGTCAGTCAGTCAGTCCCGTACCGCACATTGATTACAATCACGTCCGACAACATTGCGCTTACAGACACACTCTCCAGTGTGGACATTGCAGCCCAGATTGCCAACGGTTCCCAATTGATTGCATGTACAGGCTTTTACCCAAACAAACAGATAATTATGATAATAATAATTTGTAAATTAATTTTTCACAATTAAATAGACATACGTTCGCAGCCGTCGGGATTGGATTCGGCAAAGTTCCAGAAGCCGGGCAAACAGCGGTCACATCGGCGACCCTCGACATTACGTTTGCAGTGACATTTGCCGGCCTCGAGTCCCGACAGTACATCCTGGTGTTCATCGCACAGGGCGTCGTCCAACGATCCTCTGGGATCGCAATCGCAAGCTATTTACGGGTAAATACCGGTAAATACCGGAAAAATCAATCAATCATTAGTTAGTCCCAACAATTGACAACAGCAACAACACATACGTTGGCATATCTGTGGATCTTCAATACGACGACCGGGATCTCTGTAAAAGTATGGTTTACATTGTTCACAGTTGCGGCCCATTGTATTGTGCTGGCAGTCGTCGCATACGCCGCCGCTAACTTTGCCGGTGGCCTCGAAAACGGCCGGATCAAAGTGACAGCGATTGGCGTGACTGTTACAGTTGCAGACTATAAACAAATAATAATAGCAATTAAATTGCAATTATTATAATAATAATACTTACTTTTGCAGGCATTGGTTTGCCGACCGATGGCCGGTTTCCACGGGACGTCGTGATAAAAGTCGTCGCATTGTTCACAATTGAGTCCCTTGGTCTGATGAGTACATTCGCAGCGGCCGTACACCATATCGGGTATAGTTTCCTGGCCGGGATCGGCAATACAACGGCTGGCGTGTCCATAACAGGAACACGAACCTCTGACCACCATATCGTAGATGGAATAGTAGTATTTTTCTTTGATTTCGTCGCGCGAGTCCAACAGATTGTCGCCCAAATTATGTAAATGTGTGAAATTGATCCTCAAGTTTGTCATTTTCAGCAGATTCTGTACTTCAGGACTGTACGGATCGTCGATACGGATGTTTGGCGGCAGAACACGAAAGATGACTTCGCCTTCAGTTGATGGTTCGACACCCGAATAATGTGAATCGCATACAACATCGGATATCTTCTGGCGCGGACCAACCGGTATACCCGGGAACGAGTCGCCACAATCGTAGGCAAAATATTGGTAGACATTCCACGAGCGGCCGAAATCGTGCGACCGCTCGATCAGCATTGCCGACGGCCTGAACGTCTTGAACGTTATGATCAGATGAGTAAAATGAAATTCGGCTTCCAGGTCGAACTCGATGGCCACATGTTCGTGGCCGTTTTCGGCCTGCCACCAGGTTTGCTTGCGTTTTCTACCGATCCTGTTAGTTGGTTGTAGATGGAAAATAGGTTAGCAATCAATCATCAAATTGATCCAATCATCATCAAATTGATCCAATCAACAAACAAACAATCAAACAAACAAACCTTTGGACTATATTTTCGATGCCGTGATAGAGTCGCGGATTGTTTTTGTTTTGTGGCCGCGAATCACAATAGAAACACTTCTTCTTTTCCTTCAGATGACTGACAATACAATACCTTTCCATCTTTGACAGACCGCATGTCGATGAAGATTTTAGTTTTTCTTCCCGACCGATCAACAGATTACCAGTGGCCGGATAACAGGCCTGTAGTTCATCGCAACGACCCGATCCATAGATTGCTTTTATATAATTATATAATTTAATTATAATTATTATATAATATTTTGTTTTTGTGTAATAAATCTTATAGTAGTTTAAAATTATAATAATTAAAAAAAAGTGATTATAAAAATCTATTTTTTCTAAAATAAAATTTAAAGTAATTAACAATAATATTAATAATAATTAATTAATTAATAGCTAATGAGTGTTTGGATGACTACCCAGAGGGTGGCGGTCATCGAATGGATAGCGAATAATATCGGTTCCATCCCATTCCTCGTGAGTATGTATATCATATGGTGGCGGTCTCAGTGTTGTCGTTGTTCCGTCTAAATCGGGATCATATTCACGGGTCCTATTAGTAGACCAATGCCAGGTCCTATTTTGCCACAGTATCGGTGTCTGATACGACTGGCCATTGGTCGAACCCGAACGACTGGTACCGACACTCTGGTTGTAGCGTCGGGTCTGATATGTATAACTGCCGCCCCTGTAGTCGGGACTCGACTGATTGCCGAGCAGAGCATCGATCGATGAGGAAAGGCTGTGTCGGGACGGAATTAGCGGGTCGTCAGTAGTATTATACAGGGATTCGTATCGTCGGCGAGCAGTTGTCCCGTTCCGGGGACTCCAACTACGGGTAACATTTGGTCGCCGATATGTTGTCTGGCGTTGATAGTTAGTCGACGACTGGTCGTAATTGTCGCCGTTTCGACCACTACTACCGCTATGTGATGGCCAATCTGTGCGGTGTGTATGTGAACGGGACAGTCATATAAATATACGGTATATCCTCACTAATAGTTCGGGTAATATGGGGTATTATTAGCTAACCTCTTATCCGGTCTCTGGATGTCCAATCAAATCGTTGCGGCGATTGATACCGGCGTTGTTGTTGATTATTATTATCAAAATACGAGTTGTCCACTACCGGCGGGTTGTCTATATTGCCCGGTCTGTCCAATCCTTTAGTTTTTATTTTTCATTTCAAAATCAATTATTTATTATTACAATTCTGATTTATATTGGATTGTTATAAAACTTTTTTTTTGTTTATTATTATTTCCCGATAATCCGCCACCAAATTAATTAAATATATTATTTAAATTATATTAAATTTTTTAATTAATTAATTTAATTAATTAATTATTAATTTTCTTACCCGAAATTTGATTTATTTATTTTTTTGTTTGTTGTTGATGTATATCCAAAAAATTAATGAATATTATTAACAGTGAATAAAAAGTGTGTTAATATATAGTAATTTATTAATTTATTAATTAATTGTTGAAATTATTATTATTAAATGATTAGCTTGAATAAGATGATAGTTTGGTTATTATTATTATTAATAATTTGATTGATTGATTGATTAATTTAGTTGTTGTATCCATTGTTTTATCCAATAATTTTTATCCACTTTTTTTTGTTTGGGTTATTAAATGTGAATTTTAAATATTAAATTAATTAATTTTTTAAAATTATTTATTTTAAAAATTTAAATATAATAATCAATTCAAAAACAAAAAATCACCCAAATATACCGCCACCATATTTTAGCTATTTTTTTAATTATTATTATTATTATAATTGTTATAATTGTTATTATAATTAGGATAATTAAAATATAAAATGTTATATTATGTTATAGATATTAAATGTTATGTTATATATTACATATTATATTATATTATTTTTTAAATATATATATTAAATGTTATTATTTTTTTGATTAAATCTATAATATAATATAATTAATTAATTAATTAATTTTTTTATTAAAAATTAAATACCATTTCTATCGTCTTCAAAACGACGGTCATCTGTGTGTCTGTTTCTCTGTTGACATAATATATCTGTATTTTTTTATTTTATTTTTTCAAAAATAAAAAATAAATTAAAAAATTTAAATCATTTAGATTTTAATTAAACTTTTATTTTTATGCATTATATAATTATTATGGATTATGTAATATATTTTTTTATTGTTAGTTTTTTTATTTCTATATACCGTATATACTGTGTATATAAATTTATTTTTATTTATTTTATTACTTTTTTCATTATTTTTTGTCATTAATCAAAATAAATTAAATACACTGTATTTATCATATATGGTGTTTTTTTGGTTAAAATTTTTATTAAAAGATTTATTTTTTGAGATTAAAATGTTTTATAATAATTTGAATAAAAACTTTTTATATATAACGTTATAATTTTTAAATAAATAGCCTAAATTAATGTCTATTATAATGTATATAAATATAATTAAAAATTATAATACTATAATACTATAATAATGTATTTAATATTTATATTTATGAGTATTTATAACTGATTTATAATATTATATTGTATATAATATTAAATATGATTAGTATTTATATGATTTTGATATATAAAAATAGTTTTAGCGTTGAATAAACCCCAATAGTATAGTTAAAAATTTTATTATTATTTGTAGAAAATCTAGTCTCAAGGGCTCCTTAACTATAAGTACTGTATATATATAATAATAATAATACTGTATATATAATATAACAACTTTTAACTGTTTAACTAATAACATATGGTTTTTATCATCGCTGAAAATATCTCAAAATTCAACTCTTTTTGGATAATTATCGATTGAAGTCATAGAAAATTATATGAATTATAATGAATTGTTAAGAAAAAAATAATAATAATTATTATTTATTAATTATATCCTTCCGTTTTAATTGAAAATAATACTATTACTACTATAATACTACTACTTAACAATTATACAACTTTTTTTTTATATAATATATATATAATACAGTATAACTTTAATACATAGCAATAGTAGGTTATACATGATATACATGTATATATATATAACAGTATATACAGTTAAAAAATAAATAGGCATTAGATGTTTATATTTTATATATATATATATGCCCTGGATACATTTCAATTATATATTTTTTTTAATTTATATATATATATATAATAAAACTTACATGTTGTTGATAATAAAATTAGACAAAACAATGTTGATGACAACAAATTGCGATAAAACATTGCACCTTATAGTGATGATAGTAGTCAAACATGCAATCAATTGGGATTTTTTGTTTAATCAATGATGAAAAAAAAATTTATATATATTTTAAAAATAATTCACCAGAGATTTCACAATTAAAATTTTTTTATCACTATTACAAATTACACATTTGAAAACCACTCCCCAAAAATAGACAACACATTTGTAGCCATAATATAATATATAGATATATATATATATATATAAGTCTTATGTCTTATAAGTTATAATAACAGTAAATGCGGGACACTATCTATATATACAGTATATACTGTATATATAAATGTCTTTATATTTTGAGAGTATGTACGGTATGTATGTATGTATATATATGAGCTCAAGTTTTTTTCCTAAAAAGTTTTATAAAATATACGGACAAAACAAAAATAAATGCCTTTAGTTTCTCACTCTCTATCTCTCAAATATCTCTCTAACTAAACCATTAGCTGCTGCTTGAGAGGAACATTAGCCTATAGTTTATGGGATTGACAGCCCAACCACACCATTGGATAACAACATACACTGTGAATGTATGTATGTATGTATATATTGTAAGTAAGTTTATAATATAAATAAATGTCTATATATTTAAGTAAAGTCTCTTAACATTTCTCTAAAAGGAGTTTATGAGTGGGTAAACAACACACACACACATACACACACACACACACACACTCACTCACACACACACACACAGTGATTGCATTGATTAGTTAGTCTATAGTTTATATAGTGAGAGCTAATTGCTTGGAGGCACTGTACTTTTTTTCTCTCTCCCATACCATACCATACCATACCCCCATATATACCAGATCCCAGTACCACAATATCAATGATAGACTACATACCACTGTATACTAGTATTATATCCTCTCATTACATAACCTAATAATATATATATATATATATATATATATATATATATATAAATTTTTAAGTACAATATATACCGTAGGTTTCTATTATTATCAAATTGTTAGTTAAATTTTTAAAAACATATATACAGTATATATATATATATAACAATTTTATACCGGTAATAAAATAATAATAATTAAATAGATAATTTAATATATATATATATATTAATAGGATTATTAATATTCATTAAAAAAATATATAAATAAGTTTTTTTGTTGTTAACAATTATCAAAATTACAGTATTATATATATAAAAATAATAATTAAAAAAAAATTATCAATTTTTTTCCCAATACATAATTTAAGGGTAATTGAATTTTGTTGTTGTTGTTGTTGAATATATTGATATATATAAAAAAAATATATAAATTAATATTATTGATTTTGATACCAATTTAACACAAAAAAAATATATATATTAAACAAAAAATTATTTATCAATTAGGTGGTAGTGTCGATGTCCAATGATTCATATCAATTCTATTCAATCTATTATATATATATATATAAATAAAAATTAAATTAAAAATTATTAATTAATTAATATTTGATAATTTAATAATAATAATAATAATAATAATTACTCTGCAGTTAAACTGATATTTTCTTGCATTGCCAGCCAAACAGCTTTAGCCGATTCTCTCAAACTATCGAGTCTATCGATAATAAAAAAAACAATTTAATTAGTTTTAATAATACTAATAATAATAGTTAATAAATATATATATATTGTATATATACTGTATATATATTATATACTAACTCTTGAGCTAGAATTGGTGGTAACTTCTGGTTAGAAGAAGAAGACTCATTGGATTGGACTTCACTTTGTTGTTGTTGTTGTTGTTCAACAACCAAATTGTTGTAAACAATTGGCTGATTATTAGCTGTTAACGGAAGATCCAGTAATTGATGAGTTGGATCAGCTGATGTTGTTGTTTTGGGTGCAATTGATTGCAATCGTTTGATAATTGTTTGCCAAACTTGTCGCTGATCTTCTTTAATCTATAAATAATTATATAAATCATATAAAATAAGTTACCGATAAATTACACCCACCCCCTCCCCCATTGAGTAGTAGTCAAATCTAATTACCTGATCAATCATTTCATTTAAATTGTTCAAATCAGTCATAAATGATCCGGTTATAACATTTAGCAGGCACTCTGATTGTACAATAGCTACCTGAGCTCCACTATTTTTGTTGTTGTTGTTGGTGGTGGGGGTGTAACAACATATAAGTTAAATAAAAATTGTATTTTTTTAAAAAATTTTTTGGATATAATTATAATTAAAATAATAATAAATACTTACGAATACCAATCGTCTAATTTTTCGGTCATAATAGTAATGCCGGCGTTTGACTCTTTTATTAGGACATCATTTAATTTTTTGCAATTTGTGTCCATTTTTATCCTAAAGAGAGAGAGAGAGAGAGAGAGAGAGACGGTTAATACGGTAGTAATAATTTGATTAATTAAAAAAAAAATATATAAATATTTTAATTACTTTTCCAATTGATGTAACTTTTCCTCGTTTACCGATAGATTAAGAGCTATAAATCAATCATAGAAAACAAATTAATTAATTTAATTTAATTTAATTACCGGTAATTAAATATATATATATATTTCATATAATTGTTTTCACACATATATTATTATATAATTTAAATAAACTAAACAAACAAAAAACTTGAACCGAGTGTAGTACACAACATATAGCGATATATGGTTTCATAAAAATTGTTTATATAATTTGTATTTAATTACCAATAATTGTATATCAAATTATATATATATATATATATATATATATAAATATAAAGCATTTTATATATATAACTATATCAACAATAACAACAAATTTATTTTTTAAAAAAATAAATACAAATTATATAAACAATTTTCACACACACACACACATCTCGGGTGTCATCATTATACCCGTCCAAACCACTGATTTTATTTATTGACAGCACTGTTAGATTGCTGTTAGACTACTGTTATATACACTGTAGTGTTTAGAGATTAGGATGTGCTGTATATATCGGTAAGTGTGTGCTACCGAAACCATTATACCAGTTGTCGGGGGATATGTGTCCGTATACACCCCCGGGTATTCACTTAAAGTATATATCAGTTTACAAAAGTGATAACACATTTTCATCACCAAAAAAGTAAGTTTTTTTTAAAAACTATTTTTTAAATATACAGTAATTATCGATATCACGGGTAACCTCTACCCCTCCCATCCCATACCTCTCGATTGTTTATCTTTGTGTAGTGTTTGCCAACTTTCCCGGATCTTATTGCAAAAATATTTCGCCTTTGATTGAGCACTGGATACATAAGCGCTAGAATTTTGCGACTCTTTAATCCAATTATCTCTCAGATTGTTCACTTTGGCTGTCATTTCTGATGATAGACCCGTCCAATCTTGAAGAAGCTATTATTTTAATCAATTAATAAATTAATTAAACAACTGAATTATTGAAACAACAATTGTTTTTTTTTATTAAAAAAAAACAACAATTACTGTACTTTTTGATATAGTTGTGCCACTTCTTCGTTGATGATTGTATTGTCAATATCCAAATGAAGCGATGATACCAAACGATTGATAATTAGATTACTAATTGGAAGAAACAACAAAAAAAAACAACAAAACAATTATCAATCAAATCATCCAAAAAAAAAAAACTAAAATAATAAAAATAATAATTACTTTTCGTTTAATGAATCCAATTGATAGTTCAGTGAATTTAACATAAATTGACATTTTTGTTGTTTTTCAGTCAAACGTTTGACATTGTTCTCGATTAATGACCTTTTAATTGGAAAATATAATTATCGGTCAAAAATAAAATAAAAAATAAAGTGAGATTCATATAACCCATTGATTAACCCCCACCCACCCCACACCCCTGATAGTATCAATTGGTTGTTGTTTTAATATCCTTACATAATATTAGTTGGCGTCTCATTAGCCAATCGATGGTTAAGCGCACTCTTGTCGACACATCTTTGGATCGAATAGGCCATCGAAGCGCATAGTTTGGCCATTTGTGCGTCAGTTTCGCAATTAGTCGACGTATTGATAATATCGGGAAACTTGTGGGCTGTTGTGGCCGATGTTGTTATCGCTGATGTCAATGTCGACGACGACGATGATGATGACGATGATGTCTGTATTGTCGATGGATATGTTGCCCGAATCTTAGTCGAGTCCGAATTCAATAGGAATATCGGTTTATCGGCCGATGTCTGGAAATCATTGACGGTTAGGTCGTCGGATATTTGCTTTTTATTCCATATCATTAGTTGACTACCGGTTCCCAGTTTGACCATAGTTTCCAAGCGAGTCTTGATTTCAATTAATCTATTTTTTTGTGGGGGTTTTCAACAAACAAATAATAAAATTTATTTATCGGTTAAATAATTAAACTAAAATATTAAAAATACTTTTCATTTGGATAACAGTAGAGACAATGTAGCGATAGATTGTTGGCATAAAATATATGTATTGTTTTAAATGTTAAGATATTGGTTACACTTTTGAAGAACTTATCGAAAGACCACATCCGGCTTTCGTCGCACTCTAGAAGTCCGGCCAACAGTTGTGTGACCAGCGGTTGAAGTGAACTGATTTTTTGTTGTTGGACAATTAAATTACGGTAATTTCAAATTAAAATTTACGGGTAATTAAAGATTGAGAGTGACCTTACTTTGTTAGTAAACATGATTTCGGTAGTGTCCGACTCCACTCGATTTCACCGTTTTCAGTGTTCTGGACGCCCGATATGATTCCCGACGATTTTCCCGTTGTTATCTTATACCTTATTTTTAAAAAAAAAAATAATTACCGGTATTATTATTATTTAATATATTATTTATAATATTATATATATATATCTTATACATACATAGTATCCTTGTTTTTACGGCCACCGTATGGCCTGAACGGTAGTACACCGGTAGCTATATGATAGAGTGTAACACCAATAGACCAGAGATCGACATTGGCGTTAAACGATTTGCCCACTGATTTGCGTAGGACAGCCCTTTCGTACATATCCGGGTGCTATATAATCATATATATATACCATACCATTACTTTTTGATAAGCTATAGTTCCTGTATTATTATTATTGTTGTTGTTGTCTATTACCAGATATTCTTCAGTACCGTAGAGCGACATAAACTGTTGGTCGTCTTCTAGTTCACGGGCGGCCCCAAAGTCGGTCAACTTGTAGATGGATGTATGATCTTCGCAGACATATTTCATAATATTACCCGGTTTTAGGTCCCGATGAATGATATTCATGTCGCGCAAGTGTTTCATACCGGCGGCTAAAAAACAACAACAATAATAATATTATTAATTATTATTTGATGGATCAGTTCATCCAAACAACTTTGCAATCAAATACATACCGACATGTTTGAGAACAAGTAGGAACTCCTTCTCGTCGAGACCATAGTAGTTGATCGGGTCGTCCAATATGTTGAACAGACTGCCGCCGGTACACAACTCCATTACCAGTACTTTATGGTGACTTTCATTCTTTCAATAACATGGAAGAGAAGATATAGGATTCAAATTTCATTATTTCATTATCAGACACACACACACACAACTGTCCCCCACCAAAATGGGTGGTCAATCCATAGATATATGGGTGTAATTATGACATTCAAACAGACAGACCAATTAAAACCAAACCCCCCCCCCAAAAAACACAAACCTCTTCCTCGATGGCCAATAGTTTGACAATATTCTGATGATTAACTTTTTTCAATACTTCAAACTCTCGCTTCTGTACCTCATAGGGACGCATATGACTTAAATGGTTGAACGCTTTTACAGCCACCGCATCACCAGTTTGTTTGTGAAGACCTATATATATATGATATCATATATATGAAGACATTGCGGAAGACATTTAATAAGTGGTTAGGAGTTATATGTATGATATCAATGATAAAAAAAAATTACCAGCAAAGACAGCACCGGTAGCACCCTTTCCAAGGACTGCATTGGTATTCCAGATATAGTTCGGGGAACTCCTTAGCAAAGACATTGATTGTCACCTAAAAAAAATCACAAAAAAATCACAAAAAAATCACAAAAAACTTAATGATTAACTCATTATTTAATAAATAAATATTTTTTTAATTAATTATAACAATATTTGCTATTCATATGCAACTATACGACTGACTTATTATACATACACTGTATTACACTATATTATAATCAGTCACTCATATGATGTCATAATAAATATATTTTGTGTTATTATTATTATTGGGTTTTTTAAATACTGACTGTCAGTACTATAAGAGAGAGAGAGAGAGAAGAGTCTTAAATATCGGTGACCGGCGACAAACAGCGGCGATACTATTAAAGTTCAATTATCTGGTCAATAAAAAAAGTGACCAAGGTGGCGCAATGTTCTATATAGATGATAATTTTTTTTAAAACTAAATAAGATTGGTCATTTTTTTTAATTAAATTAATAATTGCATGATTGGCTAATATAATATATACAATCAACTGTTTAGAAAAAAATAATTGTAAAAATGATAGTCGATAGGCAATTATTATTATTTATTTTTTTTTAAATGACCAATTACAATTTTAGTTTGAAATTATCGACAAACATTGCGCAATCACCTTTGGTTACAGTTATTGGATCCAACAATATATTGTTGACCAGATAATTGCAATTTAATAGCATCGCCACCGGCGGCGGCGGCGACGCTGTTTAAGACTCTACTGACTATATGTTTGTAAACATATGTCTACTTTATATACAGTATTTCAATGCATTTTACTTTACATTTACATTCAAACAGTCAATACAATACACAAACAAACAATACAATCGACTATTTTATTATTATTATTATTATTAAACAGTAGTTTTTAAAACAATTAAAATAATAATAATATTTTTTCAAATGTATTTAATTTAAACTAAAAATAATTAATTAATTTTGTTTATTGAAAAAAAAAATTATAATTGCAAACAAGTTTTTTTTTTAAATTTTAAATTATTATTTAATAAATTATATTAAAATTATAAATAATTTTTTTTTTGTTAATCAATTGATATCATATTTCCTAAAAAAAAAAATTATTTTTTTTTTTGATTGACATTAAACACTAATCACTGGTAGTTATCATAACTTTTTTTTTTTTTGTTGTTTTGGTGGTAACCCATAATAATAGTTGGGATCAATTAAATGATTTTTTTTACCGCAGATTTACCGCAGAGATATCATGAGTCACTTAAGTAGCGGCCGTCTGAATGTCAGTCACATCAAACTGATGGCCAAACATGAACTGCTGGATCAGTTGGACAAACTTCAGGGTACAAAAGCTATTGTCTGGGATCCGGAACTCATTGGTAGGTTCGGATTGGTTGCCGACTATCAGCTACTGAAAGAGCATCAAGTGTTGCAAATGTTTGAACTTAGGGCCGGCCGACTGACCGATAACTGTGCGGCCAAACATGTTGTCTATATTGTCAAAAGTCGGCTGGAACTAATGGATACGATTGCCGATAATATATTTAATGAAGTGGACAACAAAAAACGGCCGACCAGTGGTGGCGGTGGCGGCGGTAGTAAAGACTATCACATTGTATTTGTTCCGCGAAGAAGTATTCTGTGCGAACGTAAACTACAAGTACTGGGAGTTTACGGTAATTTCACGACAATTGACGACTATTGGACCGATTTGTTTGCATTGGACAGCGATGTCTTGTCCATGGAATGGGATAATAGTTTCGGCGACGTCTATGTCGACAACGATTACAATTGTATCTATCACGCGGCCAAAGCTATTATGACCGTACAGACCATCTACGGTGTTATACCGAAAGTCTACGGTATTGGAAAGTCGGCTAAACTTGTTTTCGATTTGATTACCCGAATGCGTAAGGAGTTGGCCTCCAATGAACCGTCGATTACGCCGCAAATCGATGCCATCCTATTGATTGACCGATCAGTCGATTTGCTGACACCGATGATGCAACAGAGCACCTACGAAGGTCTTCTCGACGAAATCTACGGTATCAGTCATTCGACTATCAAAGTACCGCCGGAAAAGTTTGTCCAACAAAACAACGCCACTGGCGGTGATGACCAACAACCAAGTGATCAATCGGCGTCGTCGTCGCGAATCGATCAGCCGACAGAAGCCAAACATTTTCATCTGAATTCATCGGAAGAACTATTCGCCAGACTAAGAGATTTGAGTTTCAAAAGTGTTGGACCAACACTGAGGACGAGTGCCAAAGCACTGTCGCAACAGTTTGACGAAAGACATAACGCCCGAACTGTTCGCGAGATACGCCAGTTTGTCGACAAACTGCCAGCTCTACAGTTGGCCCGTAAATCGCAATCAAATCATACATCAATGGCCGAACTGGTCAAAGAAGTGGTCGATAAGGAGTCGTTCTACGAGACCTTACATACGGAACAACAGTTTGTCAATTGTCTGGAAACGGATAAATCAAATCCATATATTGAAGATTGTATATCGAAAATGGATCCGTTGGACAAAGTTTTGCGACTGATTTGTGTACAAAGTTTCTGTAATAATGGTCTGAAACCGAAAATCTTAGATTTCTATAAACGCGAAATACTACAGACTTACGGCTATCGACATCTCCTCACATTCAATACACTGGAAAAGGTTGGTCTGATTCGTCTGAACAGTGGATTTGCGGCCAAGACATACAATGTCTTAAGGAAGACACTGAAACTGACAACACAGGAGACTACGACCGGTAGTACCGCAACCACCGGTAGTAGTAGTAGTAGTAGTACTAATGGTGTTGAACAACAAGACATATCATACATCTACAATGGTTACGCACCGTTAAGTGTACGACTGGCCCAATATCTGGAACATCCAGGTTGGCGGGCCATACCTGATGCCCTCAAACTGTTACCCGAACCGATTATCGAAGAAACCCAACAGATAGCGGTCGGTTTGAGAAAACGCCGCAATTCCGGTGCATCCATACAGACAGTTGGCGGCGGCGATGGCGGCGACGATAAACTAATTGCCGTTTTTTTCCTGGGCGGCTGTACCTATTCGGAGATATCGGGTCTCAGATTTCTGTCCCAAAAACATGGTTTCAATGCCGACTTTATTATCATTACCACCAATATTATCAATGGTACAACATTTTTGAAGTCATTGTGCAGTCAAACATTTACCGCCGCAGCCGGTAAACAAACCGACCGGTAATTAGTTATACAGAGAAAAAAAATATTTATTTATTTTTTAAAAAACAAATGTTTTATAATTTTATAGTTTATAATTGTTTTAAGGTGTAATAAGCTATTGATAAAATTAATAAAATAAAAACCAATTACCGTATCCGAGAAATTATTTGGTAAATTTTTATTGTATTTACCGCTATATAAACTACATTATACGGTAATAATAATAATAATAATAAAAATATGTGACAATTATTATTACCCGTAAATAAAAATACTAAGTGATTGTTATTACACCTAATAAATTTGATTAAAAAAAAATTTTTAATAAATTTATAATTTTTTATTTATTTAAATATTTGATTTTTATGTACATTAAAATTCTGTGTGTGTTTTTTTAAAGTGAGAAAACTGTTTGAATAAAATATCAAATAAAATACAAGAAAACAAAATGATAGATGAAATACATTATTAATAATAATAATAATTATTATTATTATAATTAAAAATTAAATAGTATTATTTGAAATTATAAAAAGAAAATTGTAGTAAAAATAATATTTAGGAAAAAAAACCAAAAAATTATTGAATATAAAACTCGACATTTAAAGATTCGATAATAATAATAATTATTATTATAATAATACTATTTTATATAATTAAGTAATTATTAGTTAATATTAAGTAATAAATTTTCATATTATCATTACGAGAGAGAGAGAGAGAGAGGGTGGGAGGGGGGTAGCGGTTAGGGATAAGCGAACGTATTTATTTTTTAAATAACTATATGCGAACAATTGCGAACATAGGGGAGGGGAGGGAGGTCTAGATTTGTGATAAAAAGTGCGAACGTAATATGTGAACCACTTAATTATGTTTGTGAACTTTTACAAACTTTTTGTTTTTTATAAAACTAAAATAAATATAATAATATTTTAAATTATAAAACAATTTAGTTTACTGTATAATATAATAGAAATAACATTTAACATTAAAAATACATGTATATTGATATATAGATACACTGTTATACAGTATATACTGTTTATATACTGTATATATATATATATAGTATTAATAAATAAAATTATATAATAACTTTCTATTATTTTATGTTATAGTAATGAATAATAATAATATTTAAAAAAAATAATCTCATATTTTATCTATTGGTATGCTTTTTAAAAAATGATATGAAATATCTTATGAAATCTAATTTCTATTGAAAATAAATAAAAATAATATATATATATATGAAATACAAAACTGTTTAGCAACCAATTCAATGGTAAAAATAACTAAATTGATAAAAAAAACTATACAATCGTTTTTTTATTATTCATAATTATGACTTCAAAAAAATCATATAAAAACAGATATGTTATCTTCAAAAAAAAAAAAAAAAAAAACAAACCATTTCCAAGACATCAGGTCTGGACAACAAACTATATATCAATACTACTATTACCGGCACAAGTAGTCAACTAAACCAATATTTACAGTAATACCAGAAATAACTGATAATTTTTTGTGATTAGTTATGTTTCTCAATAAAAAAAATAGTTTTTTTTTATTAAAGTAAATCCAAACTTTTTTTTGTTTGTTTCTGTAATCAAAACTTTTTTGTTTTAGTTGCAAAATGTAGTTTCAATTTGAGTTTCAATTTTTTATTTAATGGTACCAATGATTTACACCCACAACAAGTCTATTAACAACAACAACAAAATCAAATAAAAATTAAATGCAAAACAAACGAAAAAAACAAATTTCAGTCAATATTTTTTAATTAATTATTTATTTATTAATTATTATTAATAATAATAATGATTTTTCTTTTCATTTAATTTTTTTTGAACAGTAATTAATTGAATTATATAAATAAATATATCTTTTTTGGTTTGTTTATTGTTTAGACATTTAATAAATTGGCACAAATTAAATAAATAAATTTCATTAATCTCTTATTAAGTTATTATTATTATTATTATTATGTTTGATATACTTATACTGTATATTATTATTATTATTATTATTATGAATCCAATTATGAGAGACTAATTAAAATCTATTTAAATTAAAATGTGTTTTATATATTGATATATATATATATATATATATGTTTGTGTGTGTGTGTGTGTAGTGTCAATAAATACAGTACAATTATAATTTATAATTATTATTATCAATTTTTTTTATAAATAAATAATTACCATTGAATAAATTTTATAAGTTAATTATCATCATCATTATCATTATATAATAATAATAATAATATGCATCAATTTTAAAAACTTGCTTGATAATACAATTTATGTGTGTGTGTGTACAATAATGTGTGTTGATATACAGTATTATTATTATAAGGTAAAATACTATGACCCGGATACTATTACCACCTACTACTATGAAAACCATACAAAGTGTTGCCAGATATAATGTGTACATACAGTACACATATTTAAAAAAAATTAAAATTATAAAAAACATTATATATATATAAAATGGGAAATTAGCTTTTTTAAAAAATTATTATTAAAATTAAAATTATTATTATATATTAAAAAAAAACTTTTTTTTTATAGTTTTCACAGTAGTATTACTTTTTTTTGTTTGTTTTGCTTATATATCATTTGATCCATCATTACTGTACACATATATATAATATAATCCAATCAATTAAAATATTGCATTAATTTTTTTGTTTGTTTGTATTTTCTTATATAAGGCTTGTTGTTGTAGTTGTTGTTGTTGTGGATTGTTATCTAAGAGTTTTTTGTTGTTGTCATAATCAGTGTCCTTTAGTGGCATCTCTTGCCGCCACTATTAGGGCATTCAATGTAGTCAAGGGTCGGCACATCTTCAAGAAGGGATGCTATATAGATGTTAGGGATTAGACAAACAAACAAAATATTTAGGAAATTTTCCAGTAATTTTCAAGTCATTCAATTCATATACCTTTAATAGTTGAGAAGCAGACCATCGTTTGTCGACATCGCATTCAAGGCACTTGTCGAGGAAGTCCTGGAACAGTGGCGACAGTTTGTCTTTCTCTTTGATTTCTGGCTTTCCGTTTGTGGCAATTAAGTAAAGAGCCTAAAAATTTGAGAGCAAAAAAAAAAGTGATGAAATTAATTAATTTTGATCTACAACTTCGGGGATCAATTGGGAGCTAAACAACAACAACAACGACAACTAACTCTTAATGGATTTTCATTCAGATAGGGTGGCTCTCCTTCGATCATTTCGATAGCCATTATACCCAATGACCAGATATCGACTTTGGGTCCGTACTGTTTACGTGTGACAACTTCCGGCGCCATCCAGTAGGGAGTGCCCACCATTGTTGTCCGTTTGTTTTGTTCGGGCGATATTTGGGCACAGAAACCGAAATCAGTTAGTTTAACACTGCCGTCCATACCGAGCAATATATTATCCGATTTGATATCACGATGTATAACATGATTGTAGTGCAGAAACTCCAGTGCCTGTAGTACTTCCCGACAAACGGCTGCAATCTGTCCTTCGTCCATACAGGTTTCGGTAACCACATCGGTCAGCGAACCTCCCGGTAAATATTCCATTACAACCCATAGTTCTTCGCCGACCAGATAACTGTCCAAATAGTTGACAACATTCGGGTGTTTGTTTTCGCGCATCACTAGTATTTCGTTGACAATCAACTCTTTTTTCGGCTGCTGTGACAGATTCATCTGTTTGATGGCCACTTCCATACCCGTCGATATTTCGATGGCCGTATAGACAGTACCGCTGGCTCCCTGGCCAATTTTTTCCATTTTTGTAAACTTACGATTCGGATCGCCAATAGTTACTATAACTCTTAGTTTGTCGAGTATTTCTTCGTCACTCATTTTCTTTTTCTTCTGTTTCAACATTTGCGGTGTCAGATGATGGTGACCACCACCACCGCCACCGCTGCCGACATTATTATTATTTATATTACTTAAGTTAATATTATTATTGTTGTTAATAATATTATTATTATTATTACTACTACTATTATTATTATTATTACTACTATTATTATTTGTATTATTGTTAGCAATGTCTTTATTTACACTTTTCACTATTACTTCACTACTAACTGGTTTCGTATAAATAGACTTTGTTTTCTCCGGCCGGGCAGCTATTGGCGGCGGACACGGTTCACAACAGTCGTCCACTAGTTCTGTATTATTATCACCGGTCGACTGATGGTGGTGTTGGTGTTGTTGATTGCTATTGGTTGCTGTAGTAATTAGTAGCTGCTGGTGATCGTCATCGGGTGTCGATAGTATAGATATGGATGACGAAACTGTTGAGCCGCCGCCAGAGCAGCCGTCGGTTAGTATAAATTTCGTATGAATCGGCGAAACACTGGCCGACGACGACGAAGCCAATGTTGTCGTTGTAGTTGCTGTAGTCATTGCGGCCAATCGTTCGGCTAGAAAACTTGGCCGCGGACTCGTATCTATAGCGGTGTGTGTGGACACACAAATTATAAGACAATTAGTTTGTTTGAAAATTTAAAAAAAAAATTAAATTTTAATTAATTAATAATTTTTTTTAAACACTATTATATAACTTTATTTAACATACTTAACGATGGCGTCAATAAATTATCTATAAGTTCGGCTTTTTGTTTGTTTGTTTGTTAGTTAATTGCAGCATAAAATTAATTATAATTAATTAATTAATAAATAGTTACTAATAGATAAATAAAGTATTTAACTAATACTAATAACACTACTACTAAATAATAAAATCAATTAATCATTGAATCAATTGATCCAATGAATCAATCAATTGTTGAATCAATTGATCCAATCAATGAATCAATCAATTGTTGAATCAATAGATCCAATGAATCAATCAATTGTTGAATCAATCGATCCAATGAATCAATCAATAATTGCATCAATTGATCCAATAAATAATCAATCAATTGTTGAATCAATTGATACAATCGACCAATCAATCAATCGATGGCCACTCGATAAGACTTACCGATATTACGATTGATAGTCATATACTTTTCGTCTTTAGTCTTATGGGACGAGTCGTACCATTTGAGTACATCGAGAACCGCTTGCGGATTCTTCTTCTGTTCGGTTTTCGATATATTAGAATTTTGCAACAATTGTGACCAATTGGCCGGCATTCCCGTAAATTCGCCGGTCATCGAATCGAACCCAACGTGAATGGTATGCTCGAAATTAGTGGGCGGACTGATAACCGGTTTATCCGTCGACGATGACGACGACTTTGATCCGGATTTCGGTGTTTTGGCAAACTTGGATTTCATTGATTTGGTTGCCGACGACGACGACGATGACCGATCCTTGTCGTGGTGTCCATCGGGTTCTTTCGGCAGGGGTCTCATGTCCAACGGTACGGTTGTTAGCTGATCGCGAGCCGATGCCAATCGTACGGGCGGTGCCGGCGGTTTGTCTGATCCGCCGCCAAACATATTACCGACAGTAGCAGCAGCAGCCGATGCTGATGACGATGATGATAGTAGTAGTAGTCGCTGCTGATTCATATACAGCTGATCCTAACCACTTGACTATAGTATTATAAACAATAACAATAAATTATCAAGGTAGATTTTTTATTATTATAATCATATATATGTTTGAAGTCTACCATCAAATTGATATATCACCAGACAATTGATCCGTGAATTGATGTGTGTGTGTGTGTGTCTGTACTGTATATCATATAAACAATTGTCACCACCAATAGGTCATACACACAGACAGCTGATGATGACTACACTGAATATATTTATAAATTAAAATTATAATTAAAAACAAAACTTTAAGCTATTAATAGTCTATTATTATTGTGAATCATATATCCTATTAGTAATTAAAACAATAATAATAATTATTATTATTATTAGTTAGTTATTGTGTGTGTGTTTTGATAGACAATACAGTATATTATTAATCACTTGAAAAAAAATAACTACAGTATTAGTATTACTAGCAATAATACTAGTAATAGTAATCACTGTATATATATTGAGTATACACTGCATATGTACAGTACATACAGAGTATGTATGAATCAGTGAAGTACTGTACGAAAAATAAATGCTTTTAAAATACTGTATAGATTTCAATACAACAAACAATAAATAATGACAGTGTGGGTCTACTATACCAATGTATAGACTGTATATAAGCACCAATAGATGGGGTGTTATATTGATAATACAGTGATTGCATTGCATTCAACAAAATAAAAGCAAAACCATACATACTGTACAACTATTAATAGTAGTTTTATATTTGCTGTCAATTTTTTTATTTAACCTACAGTTAGGGAATTCCCAGGGAATCTATTTTTCTAACTTTATTTTATTTGTGCCCCTATTGAACCCCATTGTGACAACAATTTTTCGAATAATATATACAGTATTTTGTATTAAACTGTGGTATTGAGTGTTAATTGTTACTAAAGTATCACTAAAAAAATCCATTGAATTTAAATTTATTTAAAAAAAAAATATTTCAATGAAATTTTTATGCAACAAAAAAAATAATTAATTGTTTTATTTATTTATTTTAGAAATAATATATATATTTATATATATATATATATATATATATTCCTTACAAAACTAGGGCTAGGGAGGGAAATTAAAAAAATATTTTCCCTATTTTCCGGGAAAATTGTAGTGATTTTTATTTATTTGGGAACTTTCCTCACTGGGAAAGTTGCCCGAACTCTATACACAGTCAACGTCAACACTTGACTTATTTTACAGTATTTAATGATATGATTATATAATATATATAATATTTGCGGCAATTAATTATCATATCATATAATATATCATATAATAACTTATTTAATAACTTTAAAAAAAAAAATATATCATATAATATGCAAACACTTATCAAACCCTATCTAATATCGGGAAAAGTGGTCGCCGGGTTCGGTCGCGGATCCAAACAGTTAGGCATACCTACGGCCAACATCGATACCGATGTTGTCCAACAGATACCGCTAAAAGACGGCGTCTACTGTGGATTTTGTCAGTTGATTGCCGCCGACGCCGACGCGGCCACAACTACGGGTCCCAATCAGCCGCCGGTAATCTATCCGATGGTCTGCAGTCTAGGTTTGAATCCACAATTCGGTACAACTTTGCGATCACTGGAAGTACATATTCTTCATGAATTTGCCGACGATTTCTATGGCCATACATTACGTACGGCTATTTGCGGCCATATTAGAGATCAGCAAAAGTTTACTGATTTACAGCAATTGATTGATTGTATACACAATGATATAGCTATAGCTAAACAGGAATTATTATCAATGAATGATCAAAATCGATGGTCAATGGTATTGAATGATGAATTTTTTAGATAATTTTAAAAAACTTTTAATTAATTATCTTTTAATTTATTTAAATAATATTTATTTTTCTAGAAAATAATTTTTTTTATGCAAACCATAGTATTATTATTATACAGGTATTCATTAATTAATGTTTTGTTTTAAATTTATTATTTTCATAAAATTATTTAGTTTTTTAAAAAAAAAGTTATAAAATACAAGAATCTTAATGTGATATTCATTATTGAAAATATCTATTTAATTAATTAATTGTATTTATTTTTTAGTATTATTTTTAATTATAAAACATAGTATTTAAAGAGGTATTCATTATTTTTAATTTTTAATCACTAATTGTGTTTTTTTTATTTTTTAATTTTTAAATTTATTATTTCATATAATAACATATAGTTTAAAAAAAATTAATTAATTAAGTTATAAAAAATACAAGAATCTCAATGTGATATTCATTAAAGTATTTTTTTTATTTATTATATAATAATAATAATAATAATAAATATCTAATTAATTGTTAAATTAATTGTATTACTATTTTTTTAAGTAACTATTTTATACAATAAAACAATTATTAAACAAATTATTTAATTAATTTTTTTGATTGTTTTTATCGGAAAATGTTGGCAATAATTGTATGACAAGATTGTAATCAAAGACATCCGGTTGACAATGAAATTGTTGTAATAGTTGACCAAAAACTGAGTTGTCCTCCGACGGCGAACTATAATAGCCGTGCAATTGATTGGCCAAACATTTGGCCTGCGATGCGGTCAATATCTGGCTATCGTACTGGCCGTACATCAATACAATCTGTTTGTTGGGTAATAGTTCCGTAAAGTGATGTATACTAAGACATACATTGGCTCTGTCGCTGTGGTCGTGGTAAGCGCTCAATGGTGTCATATAGCAGTTATAGCCATCGTATTGACTTAGGATCATATCGTATGCCTGTCCACTACTGCTAGTCGACTGTCCATTACTACCACTACTATCGATGGCAAACGTAAACGTCTTGTATTTCTGGGCCATCAAATACATTCGTTCGTAGGTCTGCTGATCGACAACACCGTACAGACAGCACTTGTTCTGGTGATAGCTGTTCCAGATGTCGGCAATTTCTTTCGGCGACTTATCCGCCAATAGATCCAATTTTAGGATATCGTCCAATCGTTTATGCGGTGGAAGACCACTATTATCGCGGGCATTGTTGGCAATCATCTGATCCATTAGTTCACTATCTGGACTACTATTGTCTGCTAATGTCTTAATCGATGTTTCATTATTCATGTTAACCATTATCTGTACATTTTTGCCATTAATTTTATTATCAATCAATTGTTTGGTCAGTTTCTTCGAATATTTATCATAAAATGGATTAGTCTTTAGCAGATTATGCGGATCACTGGCCAGCGATCGTCTGACTACCGACTGCGCCGATCGGTAATCCAATTGATGGTCACTTAATATTTGTCTCATATATCGTTTGATAACTAATCGCATCATTGTATCGCTCATTACATAACCTGATAATAATAATAATAATAATATAAAAATTAAATTTTTTTAAAAGATTTTAATTTATTAGAAATTAACTAAAAATATACTAAAAAATATTATATTTACCGTAAATTTAATTATCAAAAATATAATTTAATAAGTTTTTAATTTTAATTTAAAATGTCAATATATAAATATATACTATTAATTAATTAATTAATTAATTAATTAATTTTTTTAATAAATCATTTGTAATAATTTAAAATTTGTACTAGCTAATATCTATTTTTTAAAAATTGATTGTATTCAAAAATTTAAAAAAAAATGTTTAACATGTCTATTTGTGTTTTGATGTTTTAAAAATTTATTACGTCATTTATATTGATAAATTTATGCACACAAAAAAATAGCCCGGTAACTTTAATTTTAACTTTAATTTATATATATATATAGTAGATTACATACTGTGTATTTTATTTAATTAATTAAAACAAAAATTGTTAAAAAAATTAGATATAAATATAAGTAACAAAATATTTTTTTTAATAATAATAATAATAATAAATTTACAAAAAAAACTTTATGTAATAAAAAAAATTACTGAAATTATTCACATATAAAAAATTAATTGACTTTTTTTGACTAAATTTATTTTTGTTAAATATTTTATTTTAAACTATTATTTTTTATAAATATTAAATACTTATTTTTAAACTATTTTTTTTTTGGGGGGGGGGGGGGTCTATCATAAAACAATAATAATTTGTTTAGTTTTAAAATTATAGTTTATATAAATTTGTATTTTATTTTTAAAAAAAATTCTACATTATATCAGTTAATCATAATTTAGTTGTTTATAAATATGATATACCCGTATAATATAGTCGCCAACTTGTAGTTTAATTATCACTAATTAATTATCATCTAATAAATAATTAAGCCAGGCAACAACAACAAAAATTAACCGTAATATTTAATGATAATAAAATTATTTATTTTATTTTTTAAAAAATAAATATGTATAAAAACTATTATATATTGCATTTATATTGTCAAAAATTATTATAATTTATGTTTTCAATATATGTATGATTTTAATGATGAAATACAATATTATTAAATTATTATTATATATATATATATAATTTCTATATCTATTATAATAACAAATTTAATATAAAAAAAATTATTTGCAATTTATTTAAAATATGATTACAAACAAACAAACAAAAAATGTTAATTTAATTTAGCTTTTTTATTATGACAATTATGATGATCGCTATTGTATTGATGGTCACCATCATCATCATCATCAATAACAACACTATTATCATTACCGATAACTTTATTACTACTACTACTACTACTACTACTACTACTACTACTACTATCACCACCGATGACCGTATTATTATTATCGGTAATAGTTTTCTTATTATTGTAGAGTACCTCTCGGGGCAATTGAAAGCTAATACGATACATATCCTTATTGGGGGCAACTTTCCTAATGTTAACAATTTCCGATAATAGTTGGCCATTCAATTCACACGACAGCATCTGTTCGGTAATCTGTTTGACTATTTTCGGGCCATCTGTTTCCGGATCCGCATTCTTTACAAAACAATAGCAATGAACCAGTGGTTGAATTTGATGTTCAAAATCTTGGATTCGGTAATCATTGCCGCCATCATCATCACTGTATAGACCGATAAATGCGTCCAAAAAACTGGTGGCCAGTGCCGGCAAATTCATTACTATATGATACTGGCGGCCGCCGTCCAGGCCATCAAAACTGGCCATTCGATTGATTAGATCTTTACGGACTACCGATCGGATAAAATCTCTTCCGTCCATATTATAAACACTAACCAAATCTTGGACTTTATTCAGCCGACAATTATGTTCTAACCATTTAAACGATTCTGGATTCAAATCGTTGGCCAATACCGTACATCGGCGACGTTTGGCAGCCGGTATGGCAAACGGTCCGACGCCGGCAAACACATCGTAGAGGACATCGACTCCCCGATGCAATCGCTGGACAATACGTTCGTGTTCTGTACCCAGTCTTGGATTCCAATAGACATCGTTGAAATCAAATTCAAAATCGCAAAACGATTCCCGAAGTCTAACTGTTGTCGACACCGAATCCGATCGTTTGGCCAATACTTCCATTTCAAAGTTACGAAATTCGTTGTCAATAGTATTCAACTTATTGACCACTAGTTCCGAGTTTTTTACTTTATCTAACAATACTTCGCCAATAAGTTGTTTGAACGGAAAGGTATGCGGCCGTAGATTCAGATGCAATATATGGCCAATTGTACTGAAACTGGATACCGGATCCGTTTCGTCGGGTAGTACGGCTTGAAGTATTTGTTTGTAATTGAAATTATCGTAATGAATGTCAATTGATTTGGTTTTTATTTCGTCTATAAGACACAACTCTTGGATAACTTTTCGACATTCGCTGTCATCGCTGCCGATAATGTCGTCTAAAGTGCGGACAACTTCGGGATTCAATATAATTTGGCGTTTATTATCGTCGGTAACTGTTTCCACGGGATTAAAGTTTGCTAGTTTCAGTAGATATGGTTTCAGATAGTGAAGTAAACGTGTCATATGTTGGTCACAGTGGTTGCCGGCGGGTACGACAACATAGGGTACACTTAATGGTCGACTAAATAAGCGGCGATCAAGTTTGGTCATGCCTTTGACCGTCGGCGGCGGACATATCTTCAGTGGCGGCGGATCCGCCACTTTTGGGTTGGCGGCAGCGGCGGCGGCCGCGGTTAACATCATTGATGACCGGTTGATGGCCGTCAGCGATGATGATACTATACTAGTAGTAGTTTGGATCCAATTGACAATCGACCGCAACATTTAGTTGGTCACCACACATATACAGGTCACACACACACACACTGACACTTAGGTGGCCGGCAATCGGTAACCGTTTAGTTAGTTTTTACCGACAGTTTGCTGGCATGACTTCAATGGTGCGGCAGATTTTTGACAACAATTAACGTCAAAATTTTTAATCAAAATTAATACTATTTTATATTAGTATAAAACGGACGTAATTGATGTCCTATTTTTGTGTACTGGACCTGCAATTGAATTGTATCATGTTACATTTTCTTATTTATTTATTAAATGATACAGTTTATCATAATTGACATTTTATCTAGATGATATATATGCATATATATATGTATGATCTAGATGATTGTATCTAGATAATTTATTTATTTATATATGAGATTATATACATATATATATATATATATATATTTCAAAGTGATATCATTATCGGCCATATAGTTGGGTGGATATACCGTATATCATATATACAGTATATATGATAATTGTGCTAAACATATAACCACCCGATGATGGCCAGCATCGACTTTTCGATGGACTCGCGGGTCAAGAAATGTTTTGTACCGCTGGTCACCCAACAGGTTAGTTAGTTGTTATCCTTAGACTCTTTAGACGAGTTGATCCCCTAATGTATTGAATTGTTTTCATCGATAACATAGAGACGTCTAAGACATGTCAAACGTATGGCCGCCAGAAATATAAAACTGGATTCAACATGTCTTCATCATCTTCGTCAGCAAACTTGTGATCAACAGCCACCAGCAATTGGTCTGTCATTTACTGTCCACAACGTCGACGATGAGCTGATCTACGAAAGCGAGACAGTGTTTTCAAGTGTAAGTCTTAATGGTGTCTTTGACAAGAAAATTATTCATTGAATTTGATTTTTATTGATTATATAGCGACCGGAATGGAAATGTCTGGAAAGTTGTTCCTTAAGAGACTCGACCGCCACTCAAGTGATTGTCAGTCTTTACTTTAGTGATAATAGTAGTGATAGTAGTAGTAGTATTGATAGTCAGTCGTCGTCGACATCGATGAAGAAGAAGACATTGTTTGTCGAATGGACGATACAGTTGAATGCATTGGTATTTATTGGCCAAGAGATACCCAAAGATAACCGATTCAAAGACAATACCATTATATTGGGTTCGATGGAAGGTTTCTATACAAGTGCCGACCAGATAGCCAGCGACGAGTTGGCCAAATCGGTTAGATTGTCGTACGTTTGCCGAGATTCGCTACCAGTGATGACGGATGCGGCCAACACGTTGCGCAACTCGTACAGTCTGAACGTACTCTACAGACTGGAAATGATGCAACGGGTGATCACTCAGACGGTTGTCTTAGTTAATACAAGTCGTACGAAACTGGAACTACTCTTAACCCAACTGTTAGACTCAAGCAAACTCAAGTCGCGGGCAGAACTAATGGAAGTACGAATTGATAGACTTCGGGAAGATCTTAGACGCCGTAGACAACGGCTGCAGACATCGACGGATAGGATCCAGAAGACTGAATCGGAAATCTGTGAAAAAGGTATCGATATGTTGACACGGATCGAGTCGTTGAAACAACAAAAGGATAATTTATTCGCCAAAAGAGATAAATTGCGTCAAACTGTTGATAAATTGTTGGCCACAAGAAATCAGCTACAAATACGGCGCAAACAGATCGTAACCGATGTGACCACTGTTTACTCGTTAATACCGTTTCCCGATGGTAAAGGTGGCCTATCTATATCGGGTGTCTATCTACCCGATTCCGAACATTTGGACGGACACGACGATACAATGATATCGATTGCTATCGGCTACGTAACCCATATGCTGATACTGTTGTCCCGATTGTTTGATATAACACTCAGATATCATATGATATACTATGGATCTAATTCGTCGATTGTTGACCATCTGAACGATAGGATCAACGAATCGGATCGTGTATTTCCATTGCATTGTAAGACATCCAAAGATCGATTACATTTCAAATACGGTGTATTTTTGATGAACAAAAATATTGCCCAATTAAGACATGTTTTCGGTTTACAAACCAGAGATCTGAGCGCAACTCTTCTCAATTTGTATACACTATTGAATGAAAAACTAATTATCGGTAATCTCAGTGACAAAACAATGACATCGACGACGACAACAACAACAACGACAGGTGCTATCAATAGTAGTAGTAGTACAGGTGATAGTAGTAATAGTCATCGACAATCGCAAATAAAACCTATTGACAATCCAAGAACCAGAATGCTGATGCCTGATCCCGGTGCCGCCGGTCCATCATCATATGATGACAATCATCATCAACATAACCACCAACAACCCCACCATCACGTTAGCCGATCACTGGATAAGGGACTAAATGAACTAAAGTTATCGAAACTGATGTTTAGAGTCGGCATCAGACCTAATGATTCTCATGAATCGCTTCCATCGGATTATCATTCAAACCATCGACCAATTTATTCATCATTCAATACTCCTGGTCATCATCTTCATCATCACCACCACAACAATGATTATGGCGACAATGATTGCGATTTTAGTCGCTTACCACCAGATGATAGACTAAGAAAATTAAATAATACTGTCGACAATAATCATTTAAAATGGTTACCATCATCATCATCATTATCGCTGGCAAATGGTGATCACAATAACCACATTAATAACATAAATATTATCAATGATTTGTCTATTAAGAGCACTTCCAGTACAGATAGTTCACCTAAAACACACATTTGGAACGATTGTAGTAATAATAGTAGCAATGATTGTAATAATACTGATGATTGTTGTAACAGCGATTATAATCACTTAAAATTATAGTTAATATTATTAATTAATTTATAAAAAACTTATAAATATTAATATGTATTTTATTTTTAATTATTATTATTATTATTAATTTAAACAATAAATCAAAAGCTATATTATTTATTTTAAATTAAAATCCTAAACAACTAATTACAGTAATTTGTGTAGTATTTTATGATAACATCATATATAATATACTATATTTATATATATATTTTAACTGTTAGTTAGTTAGTTAATCCCAGCGGTAAGTGTGTCCCGGTTTGGGTACACCACCGGTTGCTTTGGCGGCCACTTTAGTCGAGTCCGCTGCCGCAGCAGCGGTCAATTGTTTTAGTTGGCCACCATCGGCCAATGTTTGGGCCGGCAAAACCAATCCTCTGCCGTTACGAGTGTAATAGTGATTCAGATGAGTCTTATCCGATGGTCCGTCGGGAAGTTCGGGTTTCGGGTACGGCCTAATCAATATATATATATATATCATTATTATCTTACAAATAGGTCTATCACTCTCTCTCTCTCTCTCTCTCTCTCTCTATCTATCTATCTATCTCTCTCTCTCTCTCTCTCACTCACTATCTCTCTCTCACTCACTATCTCTCTCTCACTCACTATCTCTCTCTCTCTCACTCTCTTTCTCTCTCTCTCTCTCTCTCTCTCTCTCTATCTATCTATCTATCTCTCTCTCTCTCTCTCTCACTCACTATCTCTCTCTCACTCACTATCTCTATCTCTCTCACTCTCTTTCTTCTCTCTCTCTCTCTCTCTCTCTCTCTCTCTMTCTCTCTCTCTCTCTCTCTCTCTCACTCACTATCTCTCTCTCACTCACTATCTCTCTCTCTCTCACTCTCTTTCTTCTCTCTCTCTCTCTCTCTCTCTCTGTGTGTCTGTCTTAAGCTTATCATCACCTAATGGACAGGTTTTCCGGTTTCCTTAGCTGTTCATTCCATGACCGCTATTATCATCAAAATCAAGAAATAAAAGAAGAAGAAAAAGATTAGATGAGATAATTGTCGTTCAAATCATATATTTTTTGCGGTCATTATCGCAACAATGACTTCTTACCCCTCTTAAGAAATTGCGGACAACCTGTAGAACAGGTCCGACATCTCTGAAATAGGAAGTACTTCTACTACTCATAATATCCGGTCGGCCGGCGATTATAACTGTTGTAATAATTAATTAATTAATAGATTTTTTTATTTTATTAGTATTTATAGAGAAAACAAATATTACTGTAAATACATAACAATAATAATAATAATAACAATATATATAACAATCAATAATGTATTTAAAATTAAATTTATTTTTTATAACTAATTTTAATTAATTAATTATATAGTAATTTATATATAAATAAATTAAATTGTAAAATAAATAAATAATATTTAGATATTTAAAATATATATTTATATAACTTATAAATATCTACTATTAATATAATAATTAACTTTTAAAAAAATTTAATTAAAAATTATTGACATATTTTATGTTTGTTTAAAAATATTTATTATTTGTTATATAAATAATAATGAGATAAATAAATAGCAAAATATAATAACAATTATAATCACATTTTTTAATTGCAATTTAATCGCTAAATAAGTGGATCAATTAAAAGACACCAAACATTATGGACAACGATTGGCTTCAATTGGTCAGCGAAAGGACAACACAGAAGAAGACTTCGGTGTCGGCTAATGATAGACAACAACTGAAGAGAGAACAAGAGAGGAAAGATTTGGCCGTAAGAACTGATCGCGAATTGAATCCGTTTATCAGGAATTGTCTTCAGACTGGCGAAGACATTGACACAGCTATTAACAGCCGCAACAACAACAGCAGGACTTCTTCATCGACAGCTTCTTCAGCTACACAGTCATCGCAGTCATCAAGAAATTCATTGAACGCCAAACTAATTAAAGCACAACTGATGGGCAATCAGAAGCTGATCGACGATATCAATGAACAGATGAAACAATTGGATCGATCATCGGATGGTCACCACAACAACAGAAGAGATTATAGTAGTAGTAGTAGTACTGGCGATACATATACTGTTAAGAAACGGGTCAACGAAGCGGATCTGACAACAAAAGAGATGTATTTGAAGGCAAAATCGTTGTCGACTAGCGATGAAAGTCGTGTTTTCATAGCCACCACTTCGCGGCTGAAACATCGAACCGCAGATGACGAGTACGAAGACGATGTCCAACGAAAACAGCATAAGAAACACCGGTCCAGTGGTCAACCAAATGATCAACAATTGTCTTATATTAAACATCAAGACGATAGCAAATGTCGGCAATGTGTCCACAATATTGATCGGCAACTGATTGTCCATAACGGCGAACATACACTACTAATGGTAACACCGTATGAGCCGTTTGTTTCAGGCTATTGTCATATCTTAAGCAAAGGCCATACGAATGTGTCGTTTGTATCGGCAGATGAAGAATGTATTGTCGAAATTAACGAAAGAAAGCGCCAGTTGTGCGACTATTTCGTTGAACAACACAAGAAAAAGTCGGTAATATTTGTCGAAACATATCTTCGACGACAACATCAACGACATTATCATCTACTCATTGAATGTATTGCCATTAAACAGAAGTACGAAAGCGAGGCCCGTATCTTCTTTAAGGTTAGATAATTGATTGATTGATTAGTAGATCCAACTAATTGATCCATTAAATTACTAAATTAATTAATTAATTATTATTATTCATTTTTTAATTATAGAAAGCAATTATGGAGTGCGATACTGAATGGTCGATGAATAAGAAATTAATTGAAATCAATAACAAGTGTCCGACAAGAATGGTATGAAATTTAGTTAATATTATTATTATTATTATTATATAACTATTTATAATTAATTATTATTATTGATTGATTGATTGATTTAAAAATTGATTTTTTTACTCTCAAAATAAAAAAAAACAGATTCCCAAAGGTTTGTCATATTTTTGTGTAACAATTGGACCGAAAAACAATGGCTTCGCTCATGTTATCGAAGATGAAGAATCGTTTTCATTGAATTTTGGAAAAGTAATTTAAATTTTATTAATTTAAATCTAAAATAATAATAATAATTGTTTTGATAATATATATAATGAAATTTATTATTTGTTTGTTGTCTCGTAAACAGGAAGTCATCGGTGGTCTACTAGATGTAGAGCCGCACAAATGGTTGAAACCTAAACGCGAAAACTTTGAACAACAGCTAAAAAGAGGCCAAAAGTTGAAAAACTATTGGAAACAACTGAACGAAAATCGGAAATAATAATTATTTTTTTGTTGTTATTAATTTGTATTTTTATTTTTAAAAAAATAAATAAATAAATTATTTTTTTGTGCTATTCATTTGGTTTTCTTGATTTTTTTTATTACTAAAATCGTCACAATTTTAGTTATTTATACAATACTTTTATTATAATTATTATTATTATTAAATGCTATTAAATTGTTTTTTTTAATCGTTTAATAATTTAAATATTATATATATATCAATACTATATTTGAAGTTTTATACAAATTAATTTATTAAAATTTTTTAAAATTATTGTATATATAATATATTGGACTTAAATATCGTATAGATTTAACTTATGAGCTAACAATTTATAAATATGTATAACATATTAGTAGATTAGTATTGTATAGGCATTACTGGAATTTTTTTTAAAATTATTATTATTGAATATTTATATATAAATTTATAAATAAAATATCAATAACTTATATATATATTATATACAGTATATTTAAATTTATATTTAGTATTAATTATTGACTATAGTTTATAAAATTTTGTTGGTATCAATAGTAGTCAGTATTTTTAGTTTATTAATTAATTGATTCTATTATTTATTTATAATTATTTTTTTTATTTCAAAATAAAAGTATTATTACTAAATATTTGGAAACAATTTTGAGTCAAAAAAAAATAATAATTTTTATTTTATTTTATTAAAACAGTATATAATAATTGAAAATTACAAATATATAGCATATTATATATACCATTGAATAACAACTTAACAACTAAAGTTAAAACTAAATTATTTTTGATGTTAAAAAAGTACATATAATATTATCAATACATAATTATTAGATAATTAAGTCAATAGTATTACTAAAAACAAAAAATTAATAATTTCATTATACAATTAATTAATATTATACTAAAATATTATTTATATATATAAGTCATAACAATAATATTCATAATTTAATTTAATTTTTTGTGGGATAATAAAACAACTAAAAAAAAAAAAAAATTATTCCCGTTTATTAACTTTCCATAGGAGTACACCATAGGTTAGGATACGCATAATCACGAAAAACAGGATCAGGATTATGGTGTTCCAGATCAGGCTATCGTCGGTAACCTCAAACTGTGACATAACAATAGACTTGTAGTCATCTTCGGTACTCGAGCTGAACTGGCCGCTCAAGTTGTCCAACAATGTCTGTATAAAGTTATCGTCGCCGCCGCCGCCGCCTCCGCCGCCACCGCCCGACGACTCGCCATCGCTGTCCAAATTGGTATCGGGTGCCAGAATTTGGGACAAATATTCTAGCCATTCGGGTTTAGCATTGGTCAGATTGGCCAGCGACGGATCCCATTGGCATCGATTGTAGCCGTAGAGTACGGCAATGTAGGCCTCGAACGAATAGCGCAAATAGGATATGTAGGTTAGGGGTCGGAAATAGATGGGTATGGTTGAGATGCGGACAAAAAAGCCGGCAAATAGCATGAGTGGGATACAGGTTATGGGACCGAGAAATACGGCAGCGCTGGCATCTTCCATGAATAGGGCGCCGATAAGTAGGCCCTGACTTTGGGCTATAAGTGCAATTGCAATCGAAATGGCGGTAAAACCGCCGAAACGCAACACTGAACCATCCTGGCCGGTCATATAGTAGCTGACAGCGGTAAAAGTGGCCGGAAATACAAACTATATGTGTATACAAAAACGTTATATATATATATACCGGTAATTGATTTGACGGATAGATAATGTATAATACTCTATACTATACCTGGAAAGGCATGTCGGCCAGTGTTTTGGCCAAATAATATGTACCGCAACTGTACCAACCGTTTGTCCTCTCTTTGCGAAACACTTGCATATCCAGCGGGAATGTCATTATGGTCGGCATCATTGCCCCGAACATTATGAACATCAATGTAAAGAAAATAAAGGCCACATTTTCGGTAATAGTTATCGTCTCTTTTTCGTAGGTTTCGCGAAATTCGGCAAAATGTTCCAAATCGTTGAGCGGCGACACTTGCGGCGGACAACCGCCCGGCGCGCCGATAGCGTCGCCGTAGAGTAGGCCAATGAAAACGGCGGTAACCAAGTGAGAGATAAAACGCAACGATGTCAACATCGGATCCCTCAGGATGACCAACAATGACCGATAAAACAGTAGCCAAGTGTGCAATAGTATCGGATAGGATTGGGTTTGCGATATCTGAGCCAATGTCAGTGTTTTCGGGCCGCTAATCGGCGGCTGTAGAGAGTCGGCCTGTTTTTTATTGTCGGCCAATTTGACAATACCTTCGTGACCGTATTCGCCTGAGGCCACTTCGGCTATGAAATCGGCCGGATTGTGAAACTGTGGACAGTTCAGGCCGACTGCCGATAGCTGACTGATCAGTTCCGTCGGTGATCCCTGATAGATACATTGGCCATCAAACGATATAACATAGACATGATGAAACAGATTGAACACCCGAGCCGACGGCTGATGAATGGTGGCCACAACGGCTATCGGGTTTTTCGATTGCATCTGTTGGGTTAGGTCTTGCATTACCGATACGGTCTGATAGCAGGCGGAACTGTCCAGACCAGAGGTCGGCTCATCTAATATCAGAATATTGGGCCTTAAAAACAATAAAAATTTATATAATTTAATTAATTAATTATTCGGGTAATTCATTTTCGGGTTTTTTTTAAAGATATTTAAATGCCTATAAAAATGCATAAAATAGTAAATTATAAGATTCTATAATTAGATTTTAAATTACATCAGATTTTTAGATATAATAATATTATAAATAATATTAATTTCATTATTATTAATATATGTTTTTTTATATATAAGAAATTATTGATATTTATAGAAATTATTGTAATTTTAATGGAAAATATGAATAAAATAAATTAATTTTTTTTATAAGTAGTTTTTTTAGTTATGATTATTTTGTTAGTTATTTATAATTAAATTAATAGAAAAATTAATTAAAAATTCAATGTGAATAAAGTAAAATTATTTTTTTTCAAAAAAATAATAATAATATTTTTCATGTAATTATAATATATATATATATATATAAATTAATTTATTTTAAAAAATCAAAAAATAATAATAAATTACTTTGAAATCAATTCCAATGCTATCGATAGTCGCTTGCGTTGACCGCCGGAACAGTTGGCACTGCGGGTGTCGGCACACACTTCCAGACCCAACTGTTTGATGACATGTCTGGCCAGCATATCGTGATATGACGACGAATCAGTGCCGGCAATGACCACTTGACTTTCGGCATAACTATCGTCGACAATAACTTCGGCCAACTCTTTACTACTGTTATCCAAATGGTTGTAATTTTTCAATTTGGATGCAAATATCAGAGCCTCTTTGACTGTCAACTGATTCAATAGGTGATCATTTTGGGCTATGAGTCCGATCTTAATACTACTGCTACCGGTAATCTTGACGTCACCGGAGAGTCCATTTTTGCGGAAACCCGATACACATTCCAATAGTGTTGATTTGCCGGCACCCGACGGACCCATTATGGCCGTCAGATTACCGCTACGAAAATAACCGGATAGTCCTTTAAGTATTGTCCGATTGCGGTTGTCTTTACGCATCAGACTGGCCAATCGACTTTTCGGTACTGTATAGACCAGATTACGCCAGGAAACTTCAATGATGGTACCATCTTTGCTACCACCACCACCAGCAGCTGATCCATTAGTATCAGTGGACGGGGTCTTCATCATCATTGCTACCTGTTTGTTGTTACCATTGTTTATACCATTAACTGAATTATTATTGTTGTTTGCCATCAGTTGATTAGCGTTTAATTCCTCATAGGTTTGATGGTCTGCCATCAGGTCTTATAAAAGTGATTACTATTATTAGTATTAATATTACAGTTATATTAAACTATATATTTTAATCACTTAATTAATTAATTAATTAATTTGTAGTTTCTTTTCTCTTTATTTAGTACTCAAATTAAATCCAATTTACTGGCATATCATTAATGAAATATTTAAATATATATTTTTGTTGTAGAAATAAAATATAGATTAAAATCTAAATGTCATATAAAAAAATATTTCATTAAAAATTTTTTTATGAATAAATAAATAGATATATCTTTTTTTATAAAATAAAAGTTGCATTTCTTTTACTAATATTTTTTTAGCTTTTATTTTAACGATTTTTTTTCATTAATTTTCGTATGAATTTCAATGTCAAATACTACTATAGTTTTCGTGCAATAAAATTATTCTTCAAAATAATGTAAACAATTATTAGTATTATTATTATTATTACTTTAGTTTTAAGAGAATAAATTCATAATTTTATTATTAAAATTTATTATATATATATATATAGCTATAAATATATTGACAATTCTGTCAGACAGTAATATTCATTAAAAAATTATTTTATAAATTATTTTTGTTTTATAATTATCTCTCAAACATGATATTTACATTTTTTTTATGTCAAGTTTAGGTAATACTTAATTTTTAAATATACTTATATTATATATAAGTTTATATATAATTTATATATAATTTATATATATATATATATATTTAAATTATATAGGTAAGCATAGGTAATTACTTTTTTACAGGTACATTGTTTTTTGTTGTTGTATAATAAATTATATTATTTGCAACTATTAGAAATAAAAACTATACATTACTGTAATATAAGATCAATAATTATTTTTTTATTATTAAAAATATCATTATATTATTTCAAGTATTTTTTTATTCATTATAATTAACCTCTAATAGCCTATACATATATACATATAGTAATATTTTATAATTTTACAATAATATTATTTATAATATTATTTATAATAAATTAAATATATATATAAACAAAAAAAATTGTGTAAATTAGTTAAAACTAATTAAAACATTTTTTAAAAACATAATTGAATAAATCTATTATATAACTTATAGTATATTATTTAATAGTTTATTATTATTTTTTAAAAATTTATTAATCAATTATTTTAAAATAGTCTAAAATGGTTAAATATTAAAAAAATAATTATAATTATTAGTTCAAATTATTTACTATGCTATACAATGTTAAAAATTATCAGGGAACAATTTGTCAACTTAACTATATAATTTTGTCAATGAATTAAGTCAAAGTTTAATATATATTATAGTTAAATTATGTAACTATTTGTTGATTTTAAAAAATATATAGTATTTTATTTTTATTATTAGTATTAGTATTGTGAGAAAAAAAAACATTTTTACTATTATTATTGATATTAAAAATATTATTCAATAATTTAAAAGCTAAATGAAATTTAGTATAAAATTTATTTCAATTATAAACTTTTATTATTATGATATAACTCTTATGTATAATATTTTATTTAACAGTATTAAAAAAATGTTATATTTATAGGAAATTATTAATTTTATATTTAAATAAAAAGACAATTTAGAAAAAATTAACTAAAATTTTAATTATTTAATAAAAAAAAAATAAATTTCAAAAAACAATATACGGTAATATACATTAAAATACATATATATATATATATATAATATGATATATATATATAAATAAATTTATAAAATAAATTCAATAACCTAAATAAATTTTTATGTATTCAAAAAAATATATTTATTTAACAAACTAAATATATGTAAATCTATTAATAATTATATTATAAAATATATATAATATGAATAAAGTAATGAATTACTATTTATGAAGTGATGATATGATGATATTATTAATTAATTAATAATAATAATAATAACCAGTAATTAATAATAACCAGTAATTAATTAATAATAATAATAAATGTAATCAAATCTTCAGATCTCTAACCAAATCGGCTTTTGTTTCGCTATTATCGATTAGTTGTAGATATTTATGGGTAACCTCTCTGGAGGCGCCGTTATTATGCAATATTTTAACCAATTTTGGTAGTGATATACAGCACTTGATTCGTTTGCTACCTAACCATGACTATCGTCATCATCATCATCAAGAAAAATATCATCAATCAATCAATCAAACAAACAATTATATCTAAAATCATTAAACTAAAACTTACTTTATGTTGAAATAGGCCATCAATTTGATCCCAGCGGCCAGTGTTGGCCAATGCAGTCACTGCTGTCCAAACAAATTGTTTTTGATTTAGTTTGAAATTTTTCGTCAAATTGCTTGGACTGGCAAAATGATTATCGGCTAAATCGTAGTGATAGAGACAACAATAGTATAGCGTAGATATAACCGATAGGTTGGTCAGTGTTGGACGCGGTATTTTGGCAAACTCGGGATTCAGACCATCGCGTTCTTGGCGCTGATCGTCGGCTTCGATGGGCAACTGTTGTTCAAGTAGTTGGATCTGATCGGTGATCAAATGTTGCCAAAACATCATATCCTGGCCACCGGTAGTCATATGTTTGCGCAAACAGCTCTTCAGATTATTGATTTTCGATGTAATGTTTACGCCGCTGCCGATGGCCTGACTGATGGCCATGAATGCCAGTTCCTGATGTCGGCACAACATTGCCAACAGATCGTATAGTTCATCGTATCGATCGTATTGTCGCAGATAACTGACATAATGATCGGCAGCTATGGATCTTTTGATTAGTTCTGTGTTAAATATCGATGGCTTAACCGTTCGTTTCAGATGAACAACAGTACTGATGATAGCGTTGGAGTCTTTGCTGTCGATAGCTGTGTCCAACAGTTTCAGTTTATCGGCCAGTGATTTATATCGGCGAAGATTGACATCGCGACCTTTTGTCAGACAATTGACGGCTTCTTTGACAGTCAATTGTCTGTCCGATTGTCTTGCATTGGATCCGTCGTCGTCGTCAGCGTTACGTCTTTCAATCTCTTTCAGACATTTCTGGATCTGTTCTTCAGCTAAGGTTTGCGATATCTTTAAATCTGTAAATCAATCAATCAGTCAATACATACACACAAAGTGGTCATCAATTATCAGATATAATACCCGAGCATTTAGTTTGTAACTCTTGTTGTTGTTGTTTATCTGTTGATGTTGTGGTGTCTTCAGCGATGGTCGTAAACTTTATATCCTATTATAAGAGAGCCCAACAACAAAAAATAATAATCAATTATTGGTCAATCAATTATCATATATTATATATATATATGGAAGACATCGCATACATCATCGGTGGTAATAGTATTGTTGTCGTCGTTGTCGTCGTCATCGAAGTCGATGCCGAAGTCGAAGCCAACGGATGTGCTTTCATTCCAATACTTGTCATTCATGTCCTAAATTTTTTCTTGTGGATCAAATAAAGACATTTGAGTTGACCATCACATCCATAATCATCAGCACATCATCACAAACAACTGATCCACAAATCACTGATCCTATTAACACATATATGAAGATAATATATACAGTACTATAGAAACATAAATTTGTACATGTGCACTTTTTTTTTGATTAAAAAATAAATACATATAAATAATTAAATATACTGTATATTTAGTTACTGTTTTATTTTTTGTATATATTTTTTTGTTGATTAAATAATTAATTTTTTATATAATTATTTTGTTGTTGAAAATAAATATAGTTTACATGTTTTTAATAATAATAATAATAATAATAATTTTTAATTCAATTTATTATTAACATAAAATTAACATTTAATGCATTGTTTTTTTTAAATAAATAGCTCACGTGTAACATATGTATAGACTCTATAGTGTTTGACAACAGTGTAGTGATGGCAACCATACTATTGTATTACAGTATTATTATTACTGTTAATGTAATCACAATATCATTCATAGTATTAATAATCACTTGAATGGGAGTTCACAACAACAACAACAACGACAAGTGATTGTTGTCTTTTGTAACCTATTGGTGACATTAAATATACATCACTGGATCCACTTCATTGAGATTATCATTTATCACACACACAGACACAATGATGACATCATCGTCCCAGCGATTTGAAGACCTCAAGGATGAGCTAAATGCCATCAAAGACAAGATTAGAGTCCAGAGTCAACACAACTTAAGTATGTTTTTTATATCTTGAGGTCGTGTTATCTAATCGATGGCCAAACTCTCAATGTATTGTCACTTATTATTCTTCTTCAGATGAGTTAACCTTTAGACGGATGTCCTCTGAAGGCGATCAACTTGTTTATCAAATGAGACGAGAGCTGACATCGACGCCAGCCATAGCTCAGAAAGAGATGCTCGACATCTGGACGGATGAGTCCAATCAATGGCAGGCATTCAAACAGCAAATGGACGACCATCTGAGGTCGGCTACATCGGCAGCGGGCAATGACCTGAGTCGCGGTATTGCTATACTGGAACGGACCAGCAATAGTGTACAACGAGCCGAAATGGTTTCGCGCGAAACGGAGGCCATCGGCCAGGAAGTGATCGGCGAATTAGGCGAACAACGGGAAGCATTGACCAGAACACGCGACCGATTGGACGGTACTAACCACGACCTGAAACGAAGTAATGTTATACTAAGACAAATCAATCGCCGATTGTTGACCAATAAATGTCTACTAATTGTGATTATATTGATTGAAATATTAATACTAATGGTTGTTGTATACTTTAAATATCTTCGACCGAAAAAATAAACTATTGTTTTGTGTTTTATATATATATAATATATTTTTTATGGTATTAATAATGAATAATAATAATAAATGTGATTTTATTAATAATATTTTGTTTGTTGTTGTTGTTGTTAATTGGATGGATGACTATATAATGTGAACAATGATTGAAGTTTATAATCTTCAGGACAGGCGAATGGGACAGGAATTGGTCGACGATGATGATGATGATGGTCTCGATGGCGATGATTATGGTCACGATTATGATGATGAAGGCTGCGGCCATTAAGGCATAGATAGTTACGGTGACGGTACGATTGTAATCGATAGCGTTTAGTCATATTCATGATAATCGGATGGACAGTCCATAGGCATTGTTTCGGTCGATTTGATTTGGATTTTCGCATTTTTAAACCCAGACCATCTCTGGTCATACATAGATAGCGTAGACCACCGGTGCCGCCGCCGCCGCCGCCTTTGTCGTCGCCGTTGTCCCGGTTGGCCACCAGTTGTACTAATCCGGCTTTCGGGTCGCCAACAGAGGACACATAGACAAATGATTGTCCATTTTCTGAGCTTATATTTGACACTGCGATCGGCTTATTATTATTGCTATTGACAGCCAATGTATATTTGCTTAAATGAAATATTAGTAAACTATTGGTTTTATTATTAATATTATTTTTGAAATTTGGTGAATGCACTGAAAATATTATATATAATATATAGTTTATTATTATTAACAATTAAAATAAATTTTATGTACCGTTAAGTTTACTGTTAAATTTTGGTTAGTATACTATATATATATTTTTTTTTAAATAGTATACATAACTTTTTTTTATTAAAAAAAACTTAAATTTAATTAAATGCATTAATTTTAATTACCTTTTATGGATAATAGATAAACTGTTTGTTCATTTATGCAAATTATAGTATAAGTGATAAAAAACATTTTATATATTAAATTTTTCATTGGATTTATACTCTGTTACTGTATATTCAATAATCATATAGTTTTTATAAAAACAAGTTTTGCTATACTTTTTATTTATATATATTTAAAAAAAAATCATTACTAAAAATTTCATAAACTTGCATTTTGTAGATGCAATACTATTATATAATAATAATAATAATAGTAATAAATCTTAAACTATATATATATATATGATATTTGATATGTTATTTTAAAAAAATAATTAAAATAAAATACCTAGATATAGTACATGTGAGGGGGACAATATAGTATACAATTTACATAGATAATATATAAATATATATATCTATGTATGTATGTATATATATATATATATATATATTGTAATATTAATACTACTAAAATAATAATAAGATAATAATAATACCGAAAATACTATTGAATATAAAAAACTTTTTTTTTTATTAAATTACAAGTTTTTAGATATTTGATTGTATTGGCTGTTAAAATGTAAAATACATTATATATATATATCATATATATAATAAATATCTACTGTTTTTTTTTGTTGTTGAGTAGTAGTGTAACTGTCTATTACAGTACAGTATTATATCTCTATACATAAATAAGTGCGACTGATATATGATATTTAATTTATTAAATTACTTTCAATCCACGCGTTGGGTAGTATATTGGGGGCTCAGGTATCAAATGAACAGTTTCTGCATCAATGTATGCTTAATCCTACCGCACTGTTCAACTGATTTGTTAGGCCTATAATAATAATTAAAAAAAAACACATTATACTAACAATATATATAATATATATAGACTAATTACGACATACCTGTTCATGAATGCCCGGAGCACATGCTTTTGCTGTGGACTCATATGTTTGACACTGTTTGCCAGCGCCAGCAGCGGTCCTCTTAGGTCATCGACAGTCTTATAGTGTCCCGATTGTTCATCTTTTAGTAGACCCAAATTGACTAACAATGAATTGATAGCTAAAAATTCATTATCATTATCATTACGAAGTGCTTGCTTGACATATAACTCTACGATAAATATAAAACAAAAAATTTAAAAAATATATATTATAATATTTTATACAAATAAATACAAATCAATTATCTAATAATAATAATTACCGCTCTCTAATAAAACATCATTTTTTAGTTTGAGATCTTGACCATCAAATCCATTGATGGATATATTAACAAAATGAGAGCATAGATCGTCAATATTTTTATTACTAACCATCAAATCCTATATATATATATAAATTATATATGAAATCAAATTAGATAACAACAGTTAACAAAAATTAGATATTTAAAGAAAAAGACAACAAAAATATTAGTGAAAATATTTTATTATTAATTATTATTTATTTTTTTTTTTGATGGCAATTATGATTGATTCTCTCGATATTTATAGAAAATATAGAAATGTTTGACTTTTAAAAAATGTTTGACTTATAAAAAATAAAAATAAAATTTTATGAAAATACTGGTAATAATTGGTAACATCACTATCAAAGACATACATTTTCAATCTTTTTAGTCAATTCATCGATTGATACATCATTTTCATCGCCGACTTTCGTATATCGATCTGATTGTTGGTCCGATTGTGTTGTCGTTGTTGACATAACACAACCATCGGCTTCATTCTCCTTATTCTTCTCCACATTTTCATCTACTTCTTCGCCTTCCTCCTCTTCCTCGTCGTCCTCTCCCTCATCAGCAGAGCCTTCATCATCACTGACATCAAAGACATCAATAAAAATTATAAATAAAATAAAATCAAATAATTATAAGTAAAAATACAAACTCTATAATCAAAATTGTCGTCTGATTCAGAGCCGCCGTCAACTGATCGATACCCGATTCGCCGAAACAATTGCTACTTAATTCGAGTCGACATTTTGCTAACAATTGCTGAGTTCGTCTGTCGTGAATAGTTTGTCCGCATCTGACGATGGCATCGATGGCTGGTTGGCCACCAATTTCGTTGCCACTCAAATTGATTTCTTTGATTGTGACCGCTTGACTATTATCGACAATAGCATCGCAAATGGCCAGACAACCAGCCGTTTTCAATAGACAATCGCCAAAATTTATTGTCTCAATGGATGTCAATAAACGGAGTGCCGAAGCAATCGATTGCGATTGAGTCCGGAGATTATTGTCGTTCAGATTCAAGTTCTTCAGATTTCGATTGGAACTGATGGCCCGACAGATGGCTTCGATACCTTCGCTGTGGATACCGTTTTGCGGCATTTCCAGTGTCTCTAAAGTGGTTAACCTATTGACCAACAAAAACAATTAATATCACCGATAATAAAGAAAAGTAATCATCAAAATACTTGGCCAATGAGTTGCCGATAGCCTGAGCGCCCTTAATCTCCAAACGATTTCGGCCGCAAATCAATGTCCGCAAGTTTGTCAATTTTAGTAAACCTTTGGCCAGTATTTCGCCGCCGCCGATACCCAAACCACAATTGTTTAGCCGAAGCGTTGTCAACGATTCGCAACTGTGACTCTCGAGGAACGGCAACAACGATGGCATAGTAACCGGTCCGATGGCGTTGTCGCTCAGGTCGAGTGTATCCAATCGGGCATTGCTTAACATAACACCCGACGTAACAAACAGTAGTACTTCGGGAATCTCGGATTTTAGTCGACCGGTAAACAAATTGTTGAACAATAACTTCTTGATTAGCGGTCGACTTTCCAGACATTTGCCTAACTCTTTGGCTGCATTCACACCCAATGTATTGCCTTCGAGATTAAGACATACCAGTTGTTTACATTCGGCGATAGCGTCGACAATAGGACGGATGTCTTCTTCGTTGTCCAATTTCTTCATTTGATTGGCAAACGAAACGATCGAGTCTTCGGTTTTCAATTCAATACCGGATACTTGCGAACCAAGTTCTTGGATCAGATCGTTGGCGGCGACAATGTTGTTGTCCATCACTGTTGTTGTTGTTGTGGATCTAATTTGATGATCAAAAATATTGTGGTAAAAGTGAAGTAAAAACTTTTTGATGTCTTTTCAATCGCAAAAATCAATCACACGTTTGGTTTCAGTGATTATAAACTGAGAGATATATATATAGAGGGATCGTATTGTCATTGAATATCAATAATATCAATAATACTGTACTGTAAATACCGGTACAAAACAAATAGAGGTCGAAACGGGGGGTTCGGGATAATACAGTATTCCCGGGGGGGGAGGGAAAAAATATTAAGAAAATTAATTAGTAATTTATTTATAAAAAATAATAATAATTAATTAATTAGTAATTTTTTTTAATAATAATAATTAATCAGTTAGTAATTTATTTTTAAAAATTATAATAATTAATTAATTAGTAATTTATTTTAATAATAATAATTAATCAGTTAGTAATTTATTTTTAAAAATTATAATAATTAATTAATTAGTAATTTATTTTTTAAATAATAATAATAATTAATTAATTACTAATTATATTAAATTTTTTGACTAAACTTTTTGTTGTTGTTTTTGTTGAAAAATAATTAAAATTTTTTATTTATTTGAGCAATTTTTTGTTTTAGTTTTTTTTTAAAAAATATTAAGTATACATTTATAAATTTAAGTACTGTATTGTAATCGTTACATCAATAAAATTAATTATTTATTAATTATTTAATTAATTAATTAATTAATAAATAAATAAAACAAAATAATAAAATACTTTATTTAAGTTTTTTTTCAAATAAAAAAAACATAAAATATAATTATTTCTACATTTATAAAATTGATTGATTTTTTTTTAAAAAAAAAGTGAGGGAAAAATGTGTTTATAAAATAAAATATATAATTTTGGTTAATTATTTACTTAATTATTTAATTAATTTAGTTTATTTGGTTCAGGGTCACTCATTTTTTTTAAATCTTCTATAGGACCTATACCTACATTACTAAATGAGTGGAAAGCCGTATATCATTTATGTTGGGGAACCGTTAGTAATGCCTCCTCAGATGCCCGATCCGTATCACAATTCTATATATTAATAATAAATAATTAAATTAAAAAATTAATCAAGGTGAATTAATTATTTTAAAAAATTTTATTCATAATATAGTAATAATAATAATTAAAATAAATGAAATAAAAAATATTACGTAAAAAGTAATATCATATTATTATATAATATTATTATTTATTTATTATTGATTTTTTTTATTATTATTAAAAAATGAGACAATAGTTTATAGAATTATTTATTTATTTAATAATTTTTAAAATAATAATAATAAACAATTTAATAATTCAAATTAACTTAATATATGTGCATGCTGATAATTATTTTTTTTTAATAAACAATAATTTTTCAAACAATAAAAACAGGTGTCATCAACTTACATTATATTTTTTTTATTATTGATGTTATATAATGTCAATTGATTTGAGATGATATTTTTGATAATATTAAAAATATTATTTTTATTTAAATGTCATTTTTTTATAAAAAATTAACCTTTAAAAATTGAATTTATTATTCAGTATATATATTTTTTTAAATTTTATTTTATGTTTAATTTTTTTTTTGAAATGTTGCTTATTTTATATTTATTATAATAGTATTTAATTATTATTATTTAATTATTTTATGTATTATATATTGTACACATGTATTATTATTATTTTGTTGATAAAAATACTAATAAGTTTTTTTATTTAAAAAAAAAGTTTATTAATTTTACACTATATTCTAATATAATAGTAAAAACCAAGAAAAAAATAAATCAATCATTTTTTTTATTTAATTATATAATACATAGTATGATATAAATAAATCAATTATATATATATAACTTATATATTGAATATATATATATATATAAATAAATATCACTAAAATAAATTTTATTTGAGCTAAAATTTCATTGTTTTTTTTTAATAAAATAAAATCCTTAAAATAAAACTTTTAAATAATTTATATACACAATCAAAAAATAGGATAAAATAGAGAGTCCATACAAATCAATATGAATTGTATGGAGGAAATAAAATTTCAAAATTATTAATTAAAATAATTAATTAATTGGCCGATAATTAATTAATTAATCAATTAATTAGTATTATTTTTTTTAATACTCGTAATAGACATCTTCATTGAAAATTAGTTCCTTAAGTGACAATTTGGTCAGCGATTGTCTACCGAATCGGGAGTTAATTAGCTTATTATTATTATTATTATTATTGCCATTATTATTGAGTTTATTTAAATTATTTCTCCTAATTTCGCTTTCATAGAGAGTTGACTCTGAATTTATAATACCCTGGAGAGAGAGACAGTGGGGGAGGAATTGATTGATAATTGATTATACATTATAGTTGTATAATATATACTGTATATATATATATGTCGATTATATATATATGTAAAATATTTACTGTAAATTTTTTTTTGTTTAATTTAAATTAATTGTGAATTATAATTTTGATATAAATAAAATCAATAATAAATCAACTCAATTGTAATATGGGAGAGGGGGGGATAATAAAATATTTATGTTAAAAATAAAAAATGTTGGGATAAAAATATTTTTTTTTTTTAAAGTTGCAAATTAATAATAATATATAAAATGCTTTATCATATATTTTTTCTATGTTTGCAACGTAATCATCAATAATAATAATAATTATTATTATTATTGTATTATACTTAACAAAAATATGTGACAAAAACATATACATCACGCAATTGGATCCAAATATTTATTATTATTAATACAATTATTGGACATTTATTTAGTAGACATTTTAGTAGACATTTAGTGCAATAGTTTGCAATCGGGATATTAAAAAAAATTAAAACCACATAAAAAAAAGTTTTTTTTTTTAAAGTAGTGCACATATCCGGGGTGTGTGTGTATGTATGTATGTGTGTCTATGTATGGTATGGTTTATCTAATGTTTATGTGTATGTAATACTGTATGTGTAGTTACTATTGTATGTGTGGTTGGGTTTTGTTGGTCATGTTGTGGGTGTTGTGGGTGTCTTACCAATGGTTTGTCACGGTGTGTGTTGACCGCATCGATGGGTATACGTATTTCATCGACTTGGCACCCGTAGGCAACGGGAGTCAACTTTATTATTGTATGGAGCGGTACTTTTAGGTAGGGCAATTGGTCTGTAAAAATGTCAATCAAAAAAAAAATATATACAGTATATGATTTATAGATGTCAGCAACAAAAAAAACAAACAAAAAAAATAATTAACAAATTATTATTAATGTTTTTAATTTTTTTTTTTTTTTTTAAAGTTATATTAGTATTAAGTTTTTTTGTTGTTGGTTTTTTTTAAAACACACATTCAAACACACAGATAACTTATATATATATATATATATATATATATATTATAATATAATAATACTGTGTAGTAATAACAATAATAAAGTATCTAAATATATAAATAATTAGAAAACAAAAAAAATTTACAATTAAATTGGACCCAAAAAAAATAATTAATTAATAATTAAAAGTCAAAAATAATTGAGAAAAAACAACAATAAATTAAATAATTAAAAAAAAAGACTAGACATATAAATAATGATAATAATAATTAAATAAATTATTTTCGTGTAATAAATATAAAAATGTTATTACAATACTATTTCAAATAAATTGTAAGACAATTATATATATATATATCCGATATATAATTGTTTAGGTTTTGTTTGTTTGGTTGACGAAACTTCTAATATAATACATAATAACATGACATTTGATTTGATTGGTTTTGGATCTGATTTTTTTTGTTGTTGAGATCCACTACTCCTACTCCTACTACTACTACAAGAGTTTGTGGTCATCGACAGCGGCGATGGGCACTATTATCTCCTCCAGTTGACATCCATAGGCGAATGGTGTTAACTTGATTATGGTATGGAGTGGCACTTTTATATACGGCATATCCGCTAAAAAATTATTTGTGTTTTTTTTGTTGGTTGATGTCGAGAGGGGAGGACAGAGGGATAGGGAGAGAGAGAGAGAGAGATAAAGAGAGAGAGAGAGAGAGAGACAAAACAGTTGGCACCACAAGAAAAACTATATTAAGTTATATAACTTATATATATATATATATTTATATCTATATATTATTATTATTATTAGACACATTTGGCGCAACAATAATCATATCAACATATATTATAACAAAAAATATTATAAAAAAAATTATAACTGATTATTATATTATATATATTACTCGGGACTAAATTAGCTATCAATCAATCAATCAAATACATAACTATCATATATCATATATATATATATCACATCCATAAACTGCAATCAAAATGCATTATATAATATATATTTTTAATTAATTAATTAATTAATTAATTGGGGGTTTACCTGAGCTCTTGTCGAGAAAGTAGGCCAATAGACACCGGAGGACTGCCTGATGTCCGACAACCAGTACGTTCTCCTGGCGCTCCAGTTCCATGATTACCGGTTCCAGTCGGGCCACTAGATCTTCATAGGACTGCCAATTCATATATATATATATCAGAAAAATATCAGTAATAACTCATCGGACAGGGGTATGGACGGGGAATGGTATAAAAACAGTATATATATATATACAATACATACCTCTCCTTTAGGATATCTATAGTGAAACTTATCCTGGTCTCTCAGGGCAAACTCATCCGGATATTTATTCTGGATCTCCTCGTAGGTCATCTCTTCGCAAATTCCGGCATCGATTTCATTCAAGGCTTTCCATCGTTCTTGCGGTGCTTTAATCGATTCGGATGTCTGTGCCGTACGTCTCAACTGCGATGTCCAGACACGTAGTCTTGGGATCTGTTGTTCGGATATATATTTGGCCAGAGCTTTGGCATATTCCCAGCCACGCTCGGATAGTTCGGCATCGCCGCCAATACGACCCAATAGATTGTAGACACTTTCGCCGTGACGGGTCAAGTAGATTGAACGGGGAGTGATGTGAATGTTCATCAAATAGTAGACCACTCGACTCTGGATGTGTCCTTCGTGTCGATGGACAATAACTTTTTCGCCGGCGTTATATATCTTCATAAACGACAATTGTTTTTCTTTTTCTTCGTCCAGTGGCTGATAGGCCATCTCGTAGTGTTCAATACGTTTGATAAAATCCATCAGTGCGTCGTCATTGTTGACATCCCGGTAGTCGGGACTATGGATTTTTACCTCCTATTGAATTGGATGGTATGGATAGGTTAGGTTAGGTCATAACAGATATTAGATACCAGTTCGAGGGGGACTGGACTACTAGACTACTGACCCGAATGTTGGCCTCAATAATGCTCGGGTCGTTACAGAATGATTCGACAAAAAACAATTTGTAACCATATTTATCGACAACCGTATCGTAGATCATCTGTCGTCTCTCGTAAGTGGTATTAGTGGCGTCATAGACGGCCACTTCACCGGTTCCTTCCTCCAGCCAGGAGCACATGTCGGCCAGTGCATCGATAGCACATTTACTGTATAACAAAAAAATCAAATCAATTAATAATATAATTAATTAATAATAATTAATAAATAATTACTTTCGGATAAGCTGTGCATCTTTATTGTCGGGTCGGAAAAAGTCATGATTACGATAGGCTTTTGTGGCCAGTCGTCGATATTCGCCGACATTGAACACCCGGGTATTGATGCCAATCCAATTCAGATAGCGGGTCAGTTTTTTGGCAATATATGTCTTGCCCCGGGCGGGCAGTCCGACCATTGCTATTACATGGGGAATGTTTACGTAGGTTGTCGTCCGGTCACCTGTTTATGTTTCGGGTAATTATAGTTTAGTATATAATTTATATATATATATATATATATATATCCATTATTATTGATAGTATCACCTCTAATAGGAAATGGTTTGGCGCCGTTATTCTGGGATATCTTACGATTAGGTCCGTCCTCTTTAGTCATGATTTTATTTTTAACAAAAATTAAATTTTTTTAAAAAATAAAATTCAAATTAATAGCCAATATTTTTGTTGGTTGTTATTTCAATTGATATGCAGAATAATATTGTTGTACTTTTTTTTCACCCAAAAATTGAAAATTATATAACAATTTTTTACTAATAATAATAATAATATAACAATTATATGATATATAAAAATATAATTATATTTGATATTTAATTATTTGTTATTTTCAAACACCACATCCACACACATAACACTCTCCTTATATACAATTGATGTCAGAAAATAGGATAATATTTTATTTTTTCAATGTCTGTGTGAAAGGCGACAACATTGTCGGTGACCTTCAATATAAACCAGTTATATTTGAACCGCTTATCTATTTATATATTTAATATATAAATTTATATATATATATATATACAGTATATATATAAAAATATTTTATATAATGACATCAAATATCAATTGCACATTTGATTCATTTACACTATCCTACTGTATATAGTGTATGTATGTATGTGTATGTATATATGTAAGTGTGTGTACGTATGTGTATGTATGTATGTAAGTGTGTGTACGTATGTGTATGTATGTATGTGTATGTATATATGTAAGTGTGTGTATGTGTATATATATGTGTGTGTTTTGTATTTGTATGTATGTATGTGCATGTATGTATGTGTGTGTTTGTATATATGTGTATGTGTATGTGCGTGTGTGTGAATATGCGTAAAGTACTCATATGATTTTTATACACTACTAATATATTTTTTTTTATAAATAAATATATATAATTGTTGGTACATTGCACCATGTACACTGTGTGTATATGTGCAAACATGACAATCATATATACACACAATTTTAATTTTATTTTTATCATTTAAGTTTTTTAAAAATATATATATATATATAAAATCGTAAATATCATAGTATGCTAGTACTACTAGTACTACAATATAAAATTTATATATATATATCAATTAAGTCAATCATGTATTTCCATAGTATTATTATAAAAAATATCACACATTTTGTATTATTGTATTAATATATAAAATTTTTATGTATGTTTGTATGGCTTATCGTTTGTATTTTCCTATGTATTTTCCACCCAATAATATACAATAAATAAATATATATATATAAAAGCAAATGACGTTTGAAATTAAACTTTATATATATATATAGAAATTAATTACATAATTAATAATAATATATATTAAAGTTTGTAAATTGTGTGATATATTAGGTAAATATCGTAAGTGTATAATATATATATAAACTTTGTGTTTAATTACTGTCTAATATAGCTAATGCAAACATACATAACAACTCATAGACTCCTGTATATATAACCACGGGTTTAACGTACAACACACACACGTGTATAACCAGACAAACAAACAAAAAATTTAATTAAATTATCTGTCAAAAATCTAGCTAACAAAAAAACATGACCATGGTGTTTATTTATTTTGATATATAAATATACTGTATATAACTATAGTAAATAAACATTAAAAATAAATAACATTCAAGTATTGAAAAATTTTCAAAAATTCCATATAAATATTTCCATATAGATATAAATATTAGACTATATATATATATATATATATATATATATTTAACTAAACTTATATATATATATATATATATAAGTTTAGTTAAATAACCTAGATAAGGCAACCCATTTGTTATTGACTTCAACAAAAAAATATTACACATTTTGTTTATCATAATTATTATTACTTTCTAAATGTCAAAAATATTTTGTTTTATTGCTATAATAACTCATATTTATTTGTAATTTTTCTAAATCAATGTTTTAGTTATTATTATTATTATTATTATTGTTAACCAAAAATTTTGGCTATAAATAGATTTTTCAATAATTATTATTGACAGTTAGTTTAGTTTATTAAATAATATTTACATTTTATTTTTTTTATAGTTTCAATAATTTTATTATTGCATATAAATATATATATAGAAATAACTATAATTGAGTTTAAATGTTTTAATTTAAAAATTTAATTGCAATAATAACTTTAATCATTATTTATATATGAATAACACTTATGCTATTATAATATCTACTATCAATTGTAAGTGCAATTAACAAAACAAAAATATAATTTTTAATAATAAGTGTTTTTGATATCAACAAAATAATTATTTTAAAAAAAAATAAATAAATAAAATTGAATGCATAAGCAATATATCAATTAAATAAAATTAATAATAAAAAGTATATATATTTAAATTATGGTATAAATTTAATATACAGTACATGTAAAATTGTGAAAAATTATATATGATTTTAAATAATACATTATAATATTATTATTAACAACTTTATTATATTACAATATTTAATTTATCAATAAAAATTGTTAATAATAACAACAACAAAATTTACAGTCTATTTAACAATCAATTAAATTTTGTGTCTCTAAACACTTAAGTTATAAATATAAAATCATATAAATAATATAATAAATATTATTTATATTAACAATTGCAATTGTCAATTGACATAATTGTTGAGAAAAATAAAATTTATTTATTGATTATTTAAATTAATTTTCATATTTAATTATATTTTAAAATATCAATATAATAATAATAATAAGTTATATTAAATATATATATATATATATACAATATTAGACACCTCATAGACATAATTTACAATTAAATGCAATATATTAGTCATTATGCAAATATGATAATAATATTATATATATATATAGTGTTAATGATTTTTATTGCACTAAACACTACATTATAAATAGTGTAACAAAATTGTTGTCAAATTTTATAATAAAATTTATATTATCGTATAATAATATTAATACCGTTTTAATATTAATACTATAATATTAATTTAATATAACAAATAATAAAAACAATAAATAAAATGTTTAACCCCTTTAATAATACTTCATTGCAACACTATTAAGCTTATATTAAATTTAAATAAATTTAAAATCAAAATTTTTAAAATGTAATTAAATTAAAATTAAAATTTTATTTTGTTTTTTTTTGTTGATAATTTTTGCTAAAAAAAATTATATAGTATTTTGTTGAATAATATATTTAATTTTATTTAGATAATTATATTAGATATGTGTGTTAAATAGATAACTAAATATAATAAATGAAATTTCAATTATACATTGCATAGTAAATATCATATATATATATATATATATATATATATATATATAAATGTGAAAATTTGAATTTAAAAATTATTTTATAGACATAATGTAATTGAGACCAACTGTTCCTTAAAGAGAGAGAGAGAGAGAGAGAGAGAGAGAGAGAGAGAGAACTTCAAGTTTTAGATGTTATATATATATAAATATAATGTATATTAATAGTTACGTTGGGTTCAAATCAGGGGTTCAACTCATATAATATAATATATATAATATAAGAAAAGAATTGATAAAAACAGAGAAACGGGGAAAACAGGGAAACAGTAGAGAACTCTCAATGATTTTTTTTGCCTACCAGTGCTCTATAAGACTGTGTGTACTGTACAGTACTTTTGTAATGTGAATGCCGTTATGTCATCTGAATGCTATTTTCCCAGGACTTGGACTCAAACACATACATACATACAGTACAGTACAAGAAAGAGCATGACATGAACTGAGGTCAAGGTAGCACTGGTAGCACTGTATGTCTTAGATATATATATACACAGTATTATACAACAGTGCTCTATGGCTGGTATGTCAGCTCTCTCTCTCTCTCTCTCTCTCTCTCTCTCTCTCTCTCTCTCTCTCTCTCTCTCTCTCTCTCTCTCTCTCTCTCTCTCTCTCTCTCTCTCTCTCTCTCTCTCTCTTTTCACTCTACAGATTCACAATTGACAAGTGAGTGGTGAACAGTAATGTCGCAAAACTCTCATCACTAATAATTCCCATGCATTACAATAAAATGCATTAAACAAAAATGTATGGCAAATGACATGAGAGAGTAAGAGTAAGAGAGAGAGAGAGAGAGAGAGAGAGAGAGAGAGAGAGAGAGAGAGAGAGAGAGAGAGAGAGAGAGAGAGAGAGAGAGAGATGTCGTGCCAACGGTTCCAACGCATGCGTTCACCCATCACTACCATCATCATCACCACCACTACCACCAGCAGCAGCATCGGTATGACTGAGCCCTGAGAGAGAGAGAGAGATACTTTTGCCTGAAAATACCACACCATATATACATGTATAACATGTGAGATATGGCAGATGTGTGTATGTGTGTATAGTATATACTGTAGTTTCTGTGTATCTGTGATGAGCACTGGTAGTAAAATCTATATATTCTCTCTCTGTCTATCTCACTGTATGTATGTGTGTGTGTGTGTGAATGGCATTCATATTTCTTGGAGAGAAAGAGAGAGATATATATATATATATAGAGAGCAGTCAATGAGTGAGAGAGAGAGTGGCTGTGAAAGAGATGCCAATGCATTTGGATTTTTAGTTTTCCGCAATCATTGTAGTCATCGCCTAAATATAAAATAAAAAATAAAACCTAAAATTTTTTGTAGTTTTAATTAAATATATATATTATATATTTTAATAGTTTTAATAATACTTAATAATATTAATATATTGCAGTATGCAATCTATCGTAATAATAATAATAATAATAATAACCAATTATTATAATAATAAAATCAATATATAGTGATTACTATACTATAGTATATACTAATAATTATTATTATAATAATATCATTGCCAAGTGGTTTGACACAACAAACACCAAAAAAATAAATAAATAAATAAATGTGTGCTTAATATAATAATAATAATAAATACTTATAATATATATATATAAATATATATATTTTTAGTAATAATATTAATACTAATTGTTTGGCAAATAATATATTGATTGAAAACAATATTATGATTGTGATGACTGAAAAAACAAAAACAAATTTTACAGTACGGGTAAGTAAATTATTTTATTATTATGTTTTATATATCTATTATATTTATATATATATAATGCACTGGTATATACAGGTATATAAATTATTATAGTTATTATTATTATTATATACTATTAATGATTATCTAATATATATATATATATATATATATATATATATATATATATATATATATATATTTATGGGGAACGGTATATACAGAGCACTGTCACCTTTTGATTGTTGCTCAGAAGGCGTTAATTTTAATATTTGAATCGCCGCTGAGCTGCTATCAAATGCTGACCAGTGTTTCAATCACTACTTCATCAATGGATTAGGTCTCAAAAAAATGCATTTCTTAAATAATAATAATAATAATAATTGTTTAGTAATATTCATGCCATATATTATAGCCATTGTTTTTTTATACACAATTATATATAACAGTATATATAGTATATTATGTCTTTAAAAAAAATTTTTTTTTTTAGTTATATGAATCAGTTTTGTGTTTTTTTGTGGTTATTGGATATTATTTGTATTATTTGATATTCAATTTTTTTTATATATATAATAATAATAATAATGATTATTATTTTGTTGTTGTTGTTATTGTTGAAAATTTATATATGATTTTCCATTCAGTCATCATATTATACTTTATATATAATATATAAAGTTATATATTAATGAAGTAGATATTGTAGACTCAAAAAAAATATTATTATTATTATTATTATTATTATAAAATATTTTTGTCTGCTCTATGAGTATATATATATATATATATATAAATTATAAGCTATTCATTTGGATACAGCAAATAGAAAGTGCAGTATTATTATTATTATTATAGTAATTATAATTTATATATATATATATACAGTATAAGCAAACAAATAAAATATAGCAAATATGGCAATGAATTATACACTACTTCATCTGTATGAGTGAGTGAGTGAGTGAGTGAGTAAGTGGATGTGTGTGTGAGTGAGTGAGTGAGTGAGTCTTGAAAATGTTATATAAAAGTTATGTCAGTTTCTCTCTCTCTCTCTCTCTCTCTCTCTCTCTCTCTCTCTCTCCAGAGTCCTGTCCTTCTATAAGACCGTCCATCATATGAGTCTCTATTCATAAGAGACAGCTCTTCTTTTCACAAATTTTTTTCACCACTAATTCCTATATACCCAGTGCTAAGTCATTGCTAAGTCATTGGCTATAACTATAACAGTATAGTATGTGAGAGAGAGAGAGAGAGAGAGAGAAAAAAAAAATCTCTCTCTCACTCACTCACTAAAAACGGGGCGTCTTTTAATGGTATGAAAGATGATTTTTTTTAGGTGCACCCGACCTATGCTATCAAAACTTATAGTATACCTTAGATTTACTTATATGCTATATATAAATATATATATACCTTATAATATGATTGAATCACACAATTTATATAACAAGTTATGAGATCCTAACAATACAGGCATAATAGCACAGATGAGAGAGAGAGAGAGAGAGAGAGAGAGAGAGTAAGATAGCGGTAACTGTTAGCTCATATACTGTTTTATTTTCTTGAGGGTACCGTTTTTTTTTATTTTGGGTATACTTTTGTCGAAACGGTTCCCACGATATCATTGCTTGCTTTTTCCAGTGCTTGAGAAAGTAAGTGAGTCTCTCAGATGAGTGAGAGAGAGAGAGAGAGTGAGTGAGTGAGTGAGTGAGTGAGTAAGTGAAATGCCATAAGAGATGAGAGAGAGAGAGAGAGAGAGAGAGAGAGAGAGAGAGAGAGAGAGAGATTTTGAATAAAAGTGTATAAATCGATATAATATGAATTGGGAAATGAAATGAAATAATAATAATGAATTGAATTCTACGGAGGGATCAGATGGGATGGGACTGTGTTAGATGTGATGGTATGGTATGGTATGGTTTGGGTATATATATATAGATTGGTGTGAGAGAGACCTGTTCTGATTCAATCGTGAATTATTATATTATACAATACAAAATACAATAGGAGAGACACATTGCGATAGTTAGTCCTATTGCGTGATCCATGAAGTGTAGTGTACTGTACGGTGTGATTGTTGTCGTCGTAGTCGGCACTGGTATATCGCTAATCAGTTATATATCGTATTTATATATATAATATAAAGAAATGGACCAAAAATGTCAATATATTTCACATATATATATATGTATAACACGACTGTAAGGCCAATGAACTCACACACACTCACACACTCTCTCTCCATTTCCTTAGTCCGCATCAAATCATAGTATTATATATATATATATATATACCGTATATATATATATATATATATATTGTCATCATTTTTATACATCATTTATACTGTATATATATATATATATATGTTTTAGTATAGATTTTTTATATATATTATAAATACAATGTTACGCTATGTTATATATATATTTATAAAATTTATTTTTAAAAAAAATATATATTCAATGTTGACGACCCCTCACCGATATTACATATATTACCGGCCAATTATATATGCCATTAAATACTCTATATATTATTAACATATGATATATCACACACACACACACACACACACACACACACACACACACACACTTAATCATTTAAACAAAAAAAATATTTATATAAATATATATATATTGATTACCATTATTACTACCCATAAATCTAAATGTTTGGTTAAATATTTTTTTATGAAAAAAATATACTGTATATATACAGTATATATAAATATAAATAATTGTGTAATAAATTAAGTTATTATGCAGAGAAAAAAAACAAACATTTATTATATATTATTATTATTATTATTATTATTATGTATAAATTATTACAGTATTATATAATCTATAATTCCCACAATTGACATCAATAACACACCAAAAAAAAACATTTTTTTGCTAATTTTAATAGACGTGTGGGGAGATAATTACATAATTTAATTTTCATAAATAATATATATATAGAATATTATTTATATATATACGTATATATAATATATATTAGCCCTAATAAATAATACTAGAATTTATAAGTTTGATTAATTTGATTAATTAATAAATAAATAAATTACAATAAAAATAGTTTTCTATTTATTACTATCTCTATGCAAATTACAATACTGTATATGATTACAGATACGTATGATAAGGGGGGTAAAAATCTCATCAAATTACATAATAATTAATACAGACTATATATATATATATATATATAGATATATATAAAAGTCTAAATATAAAGTATATATATTGTATAATAATTTTTTTATTATATGAATCTAATTACACATTTATAGAATAATTAAATGATTTATTTTTAGATACCTGTAGTTATTTTTACCTGTAAATCCTTGTAAATTATTATTATATATATATTATTAAATATATATATACACGTGTAGGTGCTATTTAATTAATAAAAAAAAATTTCAAAATAATTATTATTGCATATTATAATGAAATTATCAATTTACCCTGCGTCATTTATATATATAAATGCTTTTATTGCAATCAATTTAATTTTATAATTAACTATAAATATAGTACCATTTAATAATAATAATAATAATAATAATCACAATTCATATATAGTTTTTAATGTGCCTTTGGGTCACTTTATTTTTATTGTGTGCAAAATATTTCAATTTAAAAGTTTTTTGACATCAATATTATACAATTAATTATTTTTTAATTAATTAATCAGAACATTACCCCACAAACAAACAAACAAATAACATATATGTATTTTTTTAAACAATTACCAGTATATATATAAAGTATTTTAGAAAATTATTTTTTTTAATAAATACAATCAATATAATTTTAAATAGTTATATCTAATATATATATAGTTAAATTGTGTGTGTGTGTGTGTGTGTGTAAACTTGTATCAAAAATTAATACAATTTAATTTAAATATATATATATAATAAATGCATTAAATATATATATGGAAATAATAGACATATTGTTATTGTTATTTAACAATAATAATATCTAACTTAATTGGAATGCTTTATAATTAAATCTAAATTAACACAATTATTTGTTTTTTGATTATTTTCAAATATCAATTATATAATATATATATTAAATAAATATATATATATTTAAAATAATTAAAAAATATTGTACTGCAAAATTAAAAAACGTAAAACAAAAAATAAATTAAGTATATAGATTTGTAAAATTATATAATAATAATAATAAATATCATAGTAATTAACACATTAGATTGCAGAGTATTTTTTAAAATATCAATATAATAAAAATAAATAATGATATTATTATTAATGTATAAATTAGTATTAATGTATTTCATTGCAACTATAAGTTCAAAACAAACAAACAAACAAATAAAATCATGTTTTATAAAATAAAATATGATTTTTAAAATATATATAATTTTTTTAAAAAGTATTATATCATGGAATGTATATATATATATATATAAATTAAGTATTTTTTTACAATTTAATTGTATAATTATTAAATATATATATATATATATATATATATATATATAAATAAATAAATAATTGATGTCATGGTTTTTTTTTTGGAGTATAGTATTTTAAAAATATATGTATATATATTGTATATATATATATATATATATAATTTATATATAATATAAATACAATGAGTATATTATTCAATATTATTATTATTATCAAATGAAATGATTGAATGAATCAATGAATCGATGAATGGGAAGAAAAAATCAATGACTTTTCAAATGCATGTTTCGAAATGTATGTATAGTTTTTTTTTTCAATGCAAGTGTGCGGTTGAGTCAACTTCTGGGAGAGTCGTCGTAGTCGACGACTTATCACTACTGGATGTACTGCTAGTAGTAGTGACAGCTGTCTCCTCACTGTTCTCAGTAGTCTCGACAACAGTGATCGATGACTGTTGTGATAATAGCAATAGAGGTGACAGTGTTTGTTGATATTGTTGTTGCTGTAAATCACTCACTACTAGCGGTGGTGGTGATGGTGTCACAATCGTGACCTCATCTCCGCCTTTAGTATTATCTAACTGATGGTCGACGACCTCTACTCTTCCTCCTCTACTACTTCCTCCTCTATTACTACTACTATCGGCAGCGGCGGTAAGTATTTCGCTAATACTGTTGGCCTTTGAATTGCTACTGTCTTCGTAGTGTTTATTATGACTGAGATTGATATTATCACTTAGATTATCATTACTTTGATGATGATGTTGTTGTTGATGATTAGGCGCCGCCGATGACTGGATCAGATCATTGATGTGCGACGATGGCGTCGTCATAGTAGTAGTTGTTAGATAACTAGGTCTCAGTAATGGTGGCTGAGATAGTAGTGTCGGATCTCGTACTATATTATTATTATTATTAGTTTCATTGATTAATGAATTAGTGTTATTATTATTATTATTGCCCGTAAGTCCCGCAGTCATGGCCAGTATGTTTGATCTGGAATACGGTCGACTTCTTAGATATGAAGGAGTCGTAGTAGTAGCTGTTCCACCATCGGTGGCGGTGGGAGATACCAATGGCGGACTATTTGATGGCACTGAATGGCTGGCCATCATCATCGGTGGCCACTTTGGATGATACGACGTGGACGTCGAATAATCAAACGATTGAAGCGATGGAAGAATCGATGCATTGGACACGAGAACAGCGTTTAATTCATTGTCGTCGTCGTCGTTGTCGTCATTGTCGACAATGTTGTTGCGATGAAGATGATGGCTATGGCTCTGCTGTTGAATGGCAGCATTGATTCGATTTTGTTTGGGAGCCGTACTGTTGTCATCGTCATCTGACGAATGACTTGACGCCAGATCCAGTGATCTGTCGTAGGAAACGTCATCGCTATCTGATTCCGAACGATCTTCATTGATGGCACGCCGTCTTTTATGTCTAAAAAAAAATCCAATACAAACAAACAATTAGTATAACTATTAGATCCATCCAATCCAAGACAATCACAAACCTTAATACAGAACTAGACGTCTTGGTGACAGTGGAACGGCTGGTCGTAGATGAGGCACAAATGTTAATATTGCGATGCAATACGTCGAACGATGAATTATGAAATACTGGTGCCGATCGTGAACCGGCCAGCGATGTTCGGGTACCGCTTAGGCTGTCGTCGATGAATATGGCTTTTTTGCCCTGAATACGGGCCCAGAGTGCCTGAACGTTGTGCCGGACCCGATAGTTGATAACACAGTACCCGATGAATACGTAGAGTGATGTCAGGAGCGACATCATTGAATAGCCATAGTGTAGTTCATCCAGTGAATCGTTGACCGATAGTAGTGCCAGAATCCAGACCGAGCCTAACAATGGCAACAATATTATGCTTAGCCATAGCAGTGTCCTGAGATTGCCGTAGTCGCTGATCGCCTCTTTTATTTGGACACTGGCCTGAATGGCCAGCAAAAAGACTACCAGATTTATCTATTATTATTAAAACAAAAATAGTCAAATAATTTCAATTACCCGTAAACTACCGGTACATAAAACTAATGTCACCAAAAAAATAAAACTTACAATAATAGCTACACATATGGGTGCCACTAAACTCCATATTATGCTCTCGTAGATTGAAAGCCAACAACTATTTGATTGATTGATTGCAAAAAAGTAATTATTAATTACAGGTAAATGTTAATAATAATCAATTAAATAATGCTTACAATAGATAGTTGCCGTATTGATCTGCCCGTACGCCGACTGTCAGGCCGACAATTATGGCCGGAATAGCGTAGCCAATGAAATAGTAGAATCTCATGGGTCCGTGATTTATGTCGCGAATTTCGGTAAGCATTCGATGCAAATGAATACTTTGGACACAACTCCACGCGAATAGCGACATAAAAAAGTATTGCAAACTTATGGCAATTATTTTGCAGCCAAACTAAATCCGATAATTACCGGGCGGTAAATAAAAAAATAATATTATTAGTTATACAAAACAATAGTAGGGCGGGTATTATGATTAGCACACTATATATTTTGATACCTCTTTTTCGACTAACGATGACCGAAGTCTCGAAGCGGTCAAAAATATTAGTTGACTTAATAGTAGACATAAAACCAGATTCTTGTGAATTGAATTACTATTGGTTTCGATTCCTCTGATAGCTGTCAATACAAACAGTGTTACCGATAGTAAACCCAACGATATTAGCGAACCAATCGATGAGACAACCACTTGAACTAACGATTCGCTTATGTATAGCTAGTTAACCGATAATAATAATATAAATTATATATAATCATGTATGGGTAAGGGTAGGGGGGTATGGGGGGAGGTGCTGCACACTTACATCATTTGAATTGATATCCATGAGTAGGGCCACACCTATTGAACGATCGCACGAACAGTTGATATAGTCATAGGAAAGCCTATATTTATGTGCCGTATAAGTGCCCTTTACTTCGCAGCCTTTCGATGACCATCGGCCACGACCGGTTTGGCCACCGAGTTGTCCGCTACCACTAGATTTAGTTCGGGAATTGCCATTCGAATTGAACGCCCAATAGACACACTGGGGATTACTTCGGGCCGACCGAACCAATGTCCGCAACCGGAACTGTACTTTTGTCGATTGAAACGATTTGTTAACTAATTTTGTGCCATTTGTCGGCCTCATTGTCATTACGATTACGGGAGAGTTGCCTTTGAATGGTTGTCCAAATCGATGTCTAAATGATATATGAATTGTTAATATTTCACTTTTAAACAACAAAAAAAACAAAACAATTATCGCTAATAATAATAATAACAATTACCTGACACTCGAGTCGACAACTGATGGCAACAATTGTGCCAACGATGAGAATATTGCGTAACCGATGACAGCGTTATTGGACTTATCTTTTTGTTTATCAAACGATGCCGTTAGAGGATTGGCGGCTATTTCTTGTAAACTTTTTACCGCTATTAGCTTCAAGGGTATGAATGCTTTGGTAATGTCGTCGATATATTGTTTTCGATTGGGAAAGTTGTTGTATTTGGGTATGGCTACCGCTGGATTCGATTCGGGCGGTAGACTAGTGTCCACATAGACGGACGGTGCCGACGATTCAATCAGTTGACTGGTATTGACATACGAGTTCAACGATCGTGGCATATCCCAGAGCTGATCACTCGATACAGTATCCAAACCGATTGTCATCCATTTCGATGATATCTCAAACGGATCGGTAAACGTATCCATTTGATTGTCGATCAATGTTTCCAAATAGTTGTTGAATAATTTAATTAAATGTTCGGGTCCTCTGTCCCTATCGGCTACAGTGTCCCAAATCATTTCGTATCTCGGCTCCAATATAGACGAAGTCGATTCAATAATATTACCGATAAAATAGCGGTCCTGTTTGTGGGTCAGATTCAGGCCCCGCTGTTTCAACTCATTGCCGATTATATGCCTAATTAGTCGATAGGCTATCTGAATATCGCTGCCATATAATGTTTCGGTCGAATTGATAGCATTTCTCAGATCGCTAGCTATTTTGATTGATAACTGTGCCGTTAGGGTTAGCTCCTGGTTCTCTAATAGCTGGGAATGTTGGGCCAGTTCGACAAACGTATTTGACGTACAATCGAATAGATCGGGTGGTGTCCAGCCGTTTATATCGGAACAATAGCGTTGGGCTTTGCCCTGCGAGTTAGGTGGACACACCTGACTGGCCTTTTGGCCGAACTGTGTACGTTCCCACCAGATCTGTTCGGTGAACGCACGGGGACAGCCATCGTAGATAACTTCGCAGCCGCGTAGAGTAACTTCGGCGAACGGACTGGAACACGAATCGCATCGGCGACCGATAACTCCGGGCCGACATCTGCATTGACCGCTCAGTGTATCGCACCGACTGGTATACGAACCGGTAGAATAACAGTCGCATTTGAAACAGATATCGCTGTTCAGGGGCTGGAAGTGATTCTGTTCGCAACTACATTCACCCGATGTCTTATTACAGTTACCGTCGTAGCCTTTACTGGTATCGCAATTGCATGGACCGCATATCGGATAACCCCACCAATTGGACGGACATGTTTTCGGTAGTTCGTCTAAACAGTTCAGACCTGTGTGATAGTCATCGCATTGGCACTTATAGCCACGGCTAGTGTTTGTCCATCGCTGACATTTGGAACCAACGGAACAAGGGTTCAGATGACAAATATCCAGACACTGGTCACCAGCGAAACCGTCGTTACATTTGCATTCGTATTTGGAAAATGCTTTGCTATAACATCGGCTGTTTGGCGGACATGGATTCGATAGACAGGGATTTGATTCGATACAGCCGTCTTCGACATTAGTCTGTAGCGATGGCCTTAACCAACCGTCCCGATTGCCGGCTAGATCTAGACTTTTGATACAACCGATAAAATAATTCGGGTAATTGTTATCGCCGGTTGTGGCGATATCGTTAACTTCAATGCCGCCGACAGTTGCTTTGGCCACATATAGTCCACTGATATCGGTATCAAAGTTACGAAATTGTTTGTATTGTCCAAAATCCACGTCCAATTGGACACCGTTTGTCATCCAATTGATGTCCAACTGATGCCATTTGCCATCGTTGACACTGTAGTCGGAAATTTTGATGGTTTGCATATCATATGTATAGCGTATGTTTGAGTTGACAATTTCGACGACAACAATACTATTGTGGCCTAACTGTAGCCTCAGGAGTACACCGTTTGCAGCGATTGTCTTAAACTGTAGGCCAATAATCCAGGGAAGACTGATTGCCTGGAGCCGAGGCGTAAACGATAGTAGACCGTCACCTTTGAACTGTTTGACCAGTTGTTCTGGTTGGCCACACTGTTGGCCGCTAAACGAATCGGAACATTCGCACTGATAGTTGGACCAACCATTCAGACAGGTACCGCCATTCAGACACGGTTGACTTTGGCAAAAATTATGTTTATCCGGACAGCCAGCAGTGGTCGAATTGTTGGCCACATACGAGTTCAGATCAATCAGTTGATTATCGATAATCAGATCACTAATACACCCGTCGAACTGGCTGTTTGTTGTCTGGAAATGTGTGGGCAGTACGGGTAGACCGCCGATTTGTAGCGGACCAGTTAGATCCAGGAATCGATAGCATGTTTGCATTTTGTCGGCGCAACGCGGTTCCAATTGCAGGGAAGTTGTATTGGCGCACCAGTAGGTCTGTTGGGGATCGATATAGTGATTGGGATCGTTGTAATGATATCTGTTGATAGCGTGTAGCAGTTCCTGGTCGCAGTTGTCCAGTTTGAGTGTGGCCGTCCGATTGACATAGATAACTTCAATTTGATGCCATTGGCCATCGTTGACCAGACCGTCTTTTGTCTGGACACTAACCTGACTAATGTTGGCGCCCACGGAAAAACTGAATACCACTTTCGAGTCGATTAATTCCAATGCAATAAAATCATGTTTTTCATTGTATCGGCCATTGTATAGAAGCAATGCATTTGATAGTTTGGTCGCAAACTTCAATCGTATGTTCAACCGGTAGCGTTGTCTTAGCGATGAAAATGTCAGATACGAACCCCGGGTAAAGGATCGGGTTTTTAGTTCGCATAACGGTGTTGACCATTGTTCCAGTGAACAGTTAACACATTGGAAACTACCGGTACCGGTACTACTACTGGTGTTTAGGGTAGCCTTGATTTTCATTGATCGTGAATTAACACATTGTGAATCACTTTTGCATAGACCATTGCGACAGTGATCCAATATCAAATTGATTTCGCAATTTTTGCCAACATAGCCATCATTGCATAGACAAACATAGCCGCCCTCTTGGTGTACGCAAACACCGCCGTTAAGACACGGAGACGAAAAACATAGATTGATTTCGGTATCGCATTCGTATTTGTGGTGCATTCCTATCAATAAATAATAATAATAACCGGTTAGTTAATTCGGTAATTATTTTTAAATATTATTATTGTCGGGGGGAGGAGGAGGAGGGAACTATACCTTGAAATCCTTTAGGACAACGACAGGCAAATGTATTGATTGGATTTATTGAACGAAACAATACAGTATCGGTACCGATAAAATCCGATGCACTGCCAAACTTGAGCACTGATAGACATTCCTCAAAGTTAAGACACGGTTCGCGAACACATAGATTATCGTCAAATGGAAACACCTGATGGTTATTATTAGTGAAAAAGTTGATAATTCATTACATTAATTATCGGTAATTATATTTAACAGTATATCTATATATATAACTGTACCTCAAGTCCGATCAATTTGGTCAGTAGTGGCCGACTCAGGTAAACCCTTTCCTGGAGATATTGGGGCGAATAAAATGATTCCGAATCTCTACTGTCTATTAGACGGGCCGAAAAACTGACGTTCAATATTTCCGATTCAATTTCTATGTCATCCTATTTTTAACGCAAAAACAAACAAACAAACAAATATCGGTAAAAAACTATTACCCGATAATTACCGAAATAGAAAATTACCTGGATATTAAAAACAATAATATTCTCTTTGGGACAGGGAACTATAGCGGCCAGTCCCTCAATAAATCGGTCAAACATAGACGATAGAAACATTTTTTGTGTCATTTTATTCAACCGAATCGTAACACTATTGAATAGCATGGCTTCGGTAACCAAATTGACCAACAGATGACAAGTAGCAGCGGCTTCGTTGATACCGTCGGTTACGCTGACACTGAAGATGGCACGCATCGGTACATTGGTATTCAAACTGGGACTCAGCTTAATGTTGCCGTTTGTTTCGTTAACAATCAATAGGTTGGCATTATTACCGGATACAAACCGATAGTTTAGACGATCGGCTACATCATCGTCGTAAGCGGGTATTCGGGCAATCACTTGATTCAATGGAAAGTGATTCTTGTAATTGTTGAATATGATGGTAAAATCTCTTAGAATAGGTGCATGATCGTTTACATCTATATAATGATTAATAAACCCGATAATTAATTACCCGATAATTAGTTAAACCAATAAACAAATTCATTGCAATTATTACCCGTCACATGTATCTCGACGTCGACATCATTCCTCAGTGGCAGCGAAGAAGCTCTGACTATAATGTGATAGACTTTTTTCGTCGACTCGTAGTCCATATCGACACCCGATATCAATTCGGCCGAGTTGTCCAGCGGACGGGGTTTCAGCGAAAATGATTTCATATCGACGCCGCCAACAATCGAATAGTCTACTTTCGAATTGGAACCTTCATCCGGATCTACGGCAGTCAGTACGCCAACTGTCCAACCGATTGGACTGTTCTCTGGTACGTATAGTTTGATCTTTTCGGATGGAAAACGCGGCGGATTATCGTTGCAGTCATCAATTTGGACATTTATCTGAACTGATGATGACATCGATGGTACACCCCTGTCGACAGCCAGGGCTGTCAACTGATAGACTGGTGTGGTCTCTCTGTCCAACATCTTATTGGTTCGGACGACACCGGATGTCTGATCGATGACAAAACTAGATCCGCCATCATTGCCGCCGGCGAACGTATACCTGACCTGACCGTTGAGACCCAAATCTTGATCGCTGGCACCGAGTTGGACAACACTACTGCCAATGGGTGCGTCTTCGCTGATGGAGGCCGTGTAGACTGTCTGCTTAAACTGTGGCGAATTATCGTTGACGTCGCCGATTTCGATCTCAACATTGGTCGTGTCGGCCAACGGTGGAACACCGTTATCGATGGCAGTAACGGCTATTGTATAGCCAGCAGTTTGTTCTCTGTCCAGTTGTTTGGTGGTAACAATGGCACCCGAATTGGCGTCAATACGAAACTCGCTCAGGTCGTCCATTTGGAATGTGATTCTGGCATTTTGGCCAACATCGGCATCGGTAGCTTCGATAACCAGAACAGTAGTTCCCAGCGGTGTGTCCTCCGGTATTGTTATGGCGTATGGTGTCTTTTCGATAATAGGCCGATGAGTATTGGCATCGGTTACATTGATATAGACAGTAGCCGTATCAAACTTGCCGCCCGAATCGGTAGCCGTCACAGTCAGGACAAACTTTTTATCCGCTTTATAGTCCAATGGCTGTGCAATGGATATCAATCCCTGACCGTTTTGGGTAATTATACTGAATCTGGATCTACTGTTACCGCTGGATATCTGGAAAATGAGTCGCGGATTTTCATCCTTATCGGCTGCGGTAACCGATATCACTGGCGATCCGACGGTTTCGGTTTCGCTTACGGATGTCTGATAGATTTTCGGTGCAAATAGCGGCGCATTATCGTTGAGATCCTGTACCCGTATGATAACGTTGGCCGATGCAGACAGCGGTGGCGAACCGTTGTCCTGGGCCTGGACAACAAACTCGTACAGACTCGATTCTTCCCAATCGAGTTCCCGATTGGTAAACAGCCAACCGGTTTGATTGTCAACTGAAATGGGCATATCTGGTGAGTTGGCATTTCTAATCGAATAGCTAATCATAGCGTTGTCGCCGTCGTCGGCATCGTAGGCCTGTACCCGAACTATACTCGAACCGACGGGCGAATTTTCGACAATAGTTTCCTGGAATAGACTCGTATAGAATTTCGGTTCGTTATCATTCTTGTCCAAAATGTTGACCAACAACTGTGTAGTATTACTACGGGGCGGACTACCGGCATCTTGGGCTCGGACTACCAGCCGATAGGAATGCGAGGCTTCGTAATCCAGTGGTCCGACGACACTGATTTCGCCGTTAAGCGAATCCATTTGAAACAACCCCTGAGTATTGCCGCCGATAATTGAATACCGAAGTACCGAATTCAGTCCTTCGTCTTCGTCATAGGCGCTGACTTTGGCAATAACCGGATGTTTCGAATAGTTTAGATCTTCGGCAATCTGTACGGAATAGGATTTTTCGGAAAACTGTGGATAATTGTCGTTATCGTCCAGTATTTTGATGGTAACAGTTGTCTGCGAGTTACGTCTGAGATGAACGGGTCCGCTGTCGGAGGCCTGGACTGTCAGCGTATACAAGTCGACCACTTCTCTATCAAGTGTCGCTCTGGTAGTTATTATACCGGAATTTCCATCTATTTTGAACGCTTCGTTCGGACCGCTCGGATTGATAATACTGTACTCCAGATCGGAATTGGCACCGCTATCGGCATCAATGGCCCGGACAGTCAGTACGGTTGTCGATATTGGCGACGACTCTCTCAGCAGGGCCTCATAGGAGGCCAACTCGAATACCGGCGAATGATCGTTCTCGTCGTCGACATTGATCTGCAATGTCGACGTAGCCGTACGAGCTGGTAGGCCACTGTCGATGGCCAGTATACGAAAAAAGTGTACGTCCATAAACTCCCTGTCCAATCGGACAGTTGTCGCTACGACACCCGACGTCGAATCAATGGCAAACATACTCTGACTGCGGGCATCCAAAATGGCACTCATCTGGTATAGTAGATCACTACCACTGTTGGATTCCCGATCAGTGGCGCTCATTGTCGTTACGATATAACCTTTTTCTTTTTCTTCGGGAACGCCGACAATATATAACGATTTGTCGAACAATGGTTCCGTATTTGTTGGATGACGTCGTCGTCGTCGTCGGCTTTTCGCTAATGATTCACTGGTCAATGATGTCTTAATCATCTGTCTGTTATGATTAGTACCGACGATGATGTCTACATTATCGTTGTCGGTAATAAAACTTTCGTTGCCATAGATAACTGTCCAGGCATTACATCCCAATACCATCATCGTCATCATCATCATCAGCGCCATCATCAGTGTTGTTGTCGATGATAATGACGTCCCGCGATGTCCTATTGATGCCATTATTTTACCGCCGCCGCCGTCACACTCCTAACCACTGTTTGTTTGTTTTGTAGTTTGTGTGCACACGAAGTATCACTTATATATAAATTGGTCACCAATTGGTCATAATATCATCTGATTGTCTGTCTGTCTGTCTGTCTATCCGATGGTGTCCTCCGAATTGTTGACATCATTTCGCTGACCATAACATCACAACTGTTTTGTTGACATTTTTTGTTTTGTTTATAAAGTATTTACTAATCAATTGATTCATTCATTCATTCAAACAATAGACTCAATCACTCCTCTCTTTCTTTCTCTCTCTCTCTCATCAGTTCATCACTTATGTCATGAACTGTACATAAATTACGTCACATAAACTATTGCTGTATTTGAATAATATTAATAACTTGTATTGAAATTAAATGTATTTTAAATTAATTAATTAAATTTAATTAATTAAACAAAAATAAAAAGTTTTGTTATATATGTTTTTTTTGTGGGCAAAAATATTTATTGTTAATAAATAATTATTTATTTATTATTTAAATATATTTAATTTGATAACAAATTTAATGATAGTTTTTACATACCTGTAATACCTGTGTATATATACAGTACTTAATAACAATTGTAGACATTATTTATGTTTTCACATAAATTTTTTTTTATATTTTTTTGATGACATTGTTATTGTTTTGTTGATATTATTATTATTTATTATACAGTATTAGTAAAACTTATTATAAATATTATTAAATAATATTTATTATTATTGTTATTATTATTATTATTGAAAATATCAATCATTTATATTATAATTGAATTAATATCTCAATGAATGGACATATATTTTGTGGTTTTTAACTGATCTATCAATTGATGGATCTGTTTGTGCAACAGTTGTTGTTGTTGTTGTTGTGGTAGTGATTGTTGTGATAATGAATGGTAAGACATCATCATCAGCGGTGGTATATTAGTCAAGACTTGGTCTCATTATAACTCTCTCTCAATCTCTGAAAAAATGAAGACACAATACTCAGCACTCGATGAGACACTACTCGACTCTCGAGTGCCGTTAAGATCTGAAGAAGAGTTCCGATTGGGTATTGTCTTCAATGCAAAGGTATGTCTTCGGCTGCCAGACAGCCGCAGCCGCCACACAACCCCTTACCTTATGATTGTAATGATCTCTCATATCTGATCCACAATTCAATAGCTAATCGGATGCGGATGTGTTCCGCGACCCAATTCGCGGGTCGAGATTGTGGCCGCCATGCGTCGGATACGTAGCGAATGTCGCAATCGTAAGGACAAGAAACGCAAAGTATTGATAACGGTGTCCTACGAGGGCGTACGGGTAACGCTGACCGGCGCCCGACATACCTGTTCATCGGCACTGTTGTCCTTAGCCCAGCATCCGATTCATCGGATATTTTACGTATCGCACGACTCACTGGATTTGCATATCTTCTCGTATATTGCACGCGACGGCAATGCATTCAAATGTTTTGTCTTCAAATCGGCTAAACAATCGCTAGCCGTCAACGTTGTCCGTACTATTGGCCAGGCGTTTGAATTGTGCCACAAAATGTCATTGGCTTCGGACACATCCCTTCAGACAACACCCACAGCAACAGCGACAGCAATGATGCAACAAAACACTTCTTCAAGCACTGACACTCAAAACAATACCAGTAATAATAGTACGACCACTACAACAGTTACCGCAAGCACCCAATTATCTCAATCGCCTCCTAATATCAATAATACTACTAATAATAATAATACTCATTTGGATAGTATAGAGTCACTATTAAAAGATATGCATCTAATGTTAAGCCAACTGAGCCAAAGAGTTACATCATTAGAGGATCAGATGACAACATTGTTGTCCAATACATCCATTAATAATAATAATAATAATAATAATAATACTCATACGTATAAAACGGTTAACTCTCCCGATTCACTATTGTCTTCGCCGTCAAACACCAATCACTCCATTATTGCCGATCTTTTACATACTTTGAACTAAAATTATTTATTAGTATTATTATTATTACTTTTAATTTTTATTTATTTATTTTATTTAATTTAATTTTTTTGTTTTTATTTTATTTATTTATTATATTTATTATAAGCATTTTATCGACAACAACAAAAAAGTAATAGTGTTTTAAAAAATTTTAATTAATTTGAAATTATTTAAATAATTATAATACTGTGTCTAATATTAAAAAAAAATTATATATATATATATATATCAAATTTGATAATTGATTTGATACTTGAAAAAAAACAATTGATTTTTTTTGTATTAGTAATATTTTTTGAGAAATTTAATTGTGAAGAATTACAGTTTACTACTAATAATAATAATAATTTAAGATTTAATGAAATGATAATAAATTTTTTTTAATTATATTGTTATAATTATTTTTTATGTGTTAAACTGTATATCATATTATTATTATTATTATTAAATGTTTTATTGAAGAAAATACATTTAAAAAAAATTATATCTAAAAATAAGTACTAATAAAATTTGTAATGAATAAAATGTGTTCATTTAAAAATATGTATAGAGAAAAAAAAAGTTTCAAAAAAAAATTGTTTCAAAAAATTTTGCTCAAAACTCAATATATATTTTTGTTTGACTGCTTTTTTTTAAAAAAAAATGTATAAATATTTTTTTAATTAATATTATTAACCATTATTAACCATTTAAATTATATATATATATATTATTATTAACATTTAATGATTATCACATTTGCATGAATATATCATTTTTTTTTAAATTATAATTATTAATATATGAAAATAAATGTGTATTTATTATTTTTTGCCACCTTTAAAAAAACTGTTAATCTATTAATGTATTTATTAATATATATATATATCAATAATCAATACCCGGTAATGAAATTATTTTTTAAACAAAAATTAATTAAAAATAAATAACTAAATTTAATTAAATTTCTAAGTATTACTGACAACACACACACTCAAAATTATTAGGAAAAATATATGCAATAAATATTATTATATATTTAGCGTATCGTTATATTATAGCAATTGCTTTGGAAAAAAATATTTTGCATAACATTTTTCATTTATATATACCGTATATACAGTATATGTTTGTCTAAATAAATATATGAAATAATATTTTTTGAGAGATGAAATGATACACAATATATATATATATATATATATATATATATATATATATATATAGGAGAGAGTAGAGGGTATTAGTGATGAGAGAGAGAGAGAGAGAGAGAGAGAGAGAGAGAGAGAGAGAGAGAGATGGAGAGAGACTTAACCAAAAGTCATGCTCTGAAGTGATGATGAGGACTGACTGTTGTCATACATAAGTACATAACGATCCACTAGTGATGCCAATGATGTCAACGATGCCAATGGAAATAATGTAATCATGTTTTCATCCATTCATACCATACCATACCATCCATTCATTTTAAAAGCAAACTTTTTATTTAAACCTTTTTTTGTGTGTTGTTGTTGAACGGTTGCTCCCATTTCAGCTTATATATACACACACACGGTATATACAGTACAAACTATATAAAATGATATAATAGGGAGAAAAATAAGCTAAAAATAAAATAAAATGTTTGACTGAAATTTTTTTTATATAATAATACTACTAATAATAATAATATAGTATACATATTTACGTTATATAATAATAATAATAATTAAATCTTTTTAAAAAAATAATGTATAACTATCAATAATTTACTAATTGTTATTATACATGTTTGTTTGGATATTATTATTAATATTAATTTTTTTATGTATGTGATAATAATGAATTTTTAATAAATAAATAAATATATTTTAAATATATTTAAATAATATTTAATTTAAAATACCTTCAAACCTAGTGTGTGTGTGTGTTTGGTTGGTTATACACATCCATACATATGATGACCATAGGATTATATATTATTAGATATCAATAATATTGATAATAATAATAGATGCAATCGCAAGAAAAAAAGCCCCGTCCGGTCCGCAAGTGTGGCCCCAAACCGCCCGAAAAGCCCGAACGGGCTCTCTATTGCCTATCACTTAAAAATCCCATCAGAAAACTATGCATAGCTATTACTGATTGGAAATATCCTTTTTTTAATTAAAAATTATATATATATATATATATATATATATATATAATATATTTATTTATAATTTATAATTATTTTTTTATACATAATAGTGTTTCTCAATTGATTTTCCTTAATTTTAATATTATTGTTTATTTTTAATTTATTTTTACGCCTTTTGAATGGCTTATATTAATAACAATATGCCTCAACTGTCTAGCACTGGGTGTTTATACACCCTATCCAGCATCGGATACAAATCATAGGAATCAAATTTTGGTAATTATTATATATTAATTATATATACTGTATATATATATATATATATTAAAAAAGTTATCTATTTGTTTAAAGTTTATAAAAAAAAATTTTAATTTTAATTTATAAACTATTAATTTATTTTCAACTTTCTAAGCATTTAATTAGTGTAAATATTTTAATAATAAATTAATATTTTTATATACATTAAATTATTATTTGATAATTGTTGCTTTTTTATTTAATTAATATACTTTATGAAAAAATTATTAAAGTATATTAAAAGTTATTATCTTTATATATAAAAAAAAAAATTTACTAAAAACTTTTTTTTTGTTGTTTTAAGTGCCTGTATATTAAATTAGAAAATAAATAAATAGCTTAATTAATTTAATACTGTACTAATGTTTAAAAAAGTATAATAATAATAATAATAATAATTTTCTTATAATTAATGTTTTTTTTTTATATCATTACTATTGTTGTTATGTTGTTGTTAACACATAATCATATCATCAAAACATAACAAAAATTAATTATACAATTAATTAATTATTAAAAAAAAATTAATTTTATTTTTTTTAAGGAAAAAATTGAGTATTTCTTTTTGGTTGTCTTTACCGTCGAGTGCTTTATGAAGATCATAGCCTTCGGCCTATTCATGCATTCGGGCGCCTATTTGAGGAGCGCCTGGAATCTGCTTGACTTCATCATCGTTGTCATCGGGTATACCCCACCCCCCACCACCACCACTACCTAACCATATAACCCCTTCCCCCCACTCCCACACATACATACTTACATATATATATAACTGTATTATTATTATTATTATATTAATAGACTGGTCAGCACATTCCTGGCCTCCCTATTCACTGAGGGTATTGATGTGAAAGCATTGAGAGCTTTTCGGGTATTACGACCACTGAGACTGGTATCGGGAGTGCCCAGTGAGTAGTCTAGTCCAGTCCAGTCCAGTCGACTGTTCAAAAAATAAAAAATAAATTTAATTTATAACTTTATTTTTTGATTGATTTATTGAATAAAAAAAATTTAAATTTTATTTTATTTACAGGCCTTCAAGTGGTTTTAAATTCAATAATCAAAGCAATGGTGCCTTTACTTCACATTGCATTACTTGTCATATTTGTTATAGTTATCTATGCCATCATTGGACTTGAATTATTTGTAGGCCGTATGCACCAGGCCTGCTATAATAACTTTACCGGTATATACATGTATATCACATATATATATATATATATATAAATTATTTGATATAAAATTTTTTGTTAAGAAAATTTTTTTTAGAAATATTATATACATTACACATATTATCAATAGCTATATGTTTGATAAAAAAAAGCAATCATAAGTTTTTGTTGTTGTTTGGTTAGTGTTTAGTCATCCAAAAAAAACAAACTAACTTTTTTTCAAACCTAATATTATTATTATTATTATTATTATATTATTAGTAATACAGTATATATGATTTATATCAATAACCTATTCAATCAATTATTACTGTACTACTAATGTAAAGCACTAAAAGCATCAGTATAATTTAATAATAGTTTTTATTTTATAACAAAAAGTACATATAAGTTAAATTATTATTATTAGTAGTAAGTATAGTATTGCTAACAAAAATTTTTAAAACATAACAAATTTTAGTTTTTAGTATTTTTTTAAAAATCTATAAATCTATTTATTTTCATAAAAAATCGATAATATAAAAAAAATAGATAAATTATTTAATGAATAATTTTTTGTGGTGTACTTAATATTATCTGTATTTATTTATATACACCCTCCACCCTCCCACCCCACCCCTCAAATTTTAGGTGAAAGGACATCCGATCCGACACCGTGTGGTGGGGCCTATAATTGTGAGGAGCCATTCATATGTAGCGATAAGCCCTACTGGGAGGGCCCCAATACGGGAATTACTAATTTTGATAATTTCGGTTTGGCAATGCTCACTGTTTTTCAATGTGTTACCAATGTATGTGTTTGTTTTCTTCAAATAATAATAATAATAATTAATTTTTGTTTATTAATTACTAAATTCAATATTTTCCATTATATTTATATATATATATTTAGGAAGGTTGGACTAATGTACTTTATAATGTAAGTTATATAATAATTTAATTTAATTTAATTAAATAATTTTATATTAGTTTTTAAAAAATTATATATAAATACATGTATTAAATATATTGTATTAATTTAACTATTAATAGGTAAGCAATAGATGAAAATAGTTAAATAATTTACTAACTATCCAAAAAAAACTATGTTAACTATTAAATTATTTAGTTAGTTAATTAACATATCTATTACATGTATTTAGTATTATTTATAATAAAAATAAAATTATATATTCAATTATATTATCACATATTATTTATTTATTTATTTATTAGATAAACGATTCGGTAGATAATTCGTGGCCATGGATCTATTTTATTAGTCTAATTATATTGGGATCATTTTTTGTTATGAATCTTGTATTGGGTGTACTCAGCGGGTATGTTATATATATCTCTCTCTCTCTCTCTCTCTCTCTCTCTCTCTCTCTCTCTCTCTCTCTAAAGTTTCTTAAAGTTTCTTATAATTATCATTAAAATAAATATAATCTAAAAAAAATTTAAATTATCTCATTGTTTAATATTGTAGTTAAACTCTCTCTCTCTCTCTCTCTCTCTCTCTCTCTCTCTCTCATTTATTAATTATAATTAATATTATTATTATTATTATTATTAGTAGTAGTAGTAGTAGTTTTTGTTGTTATATTAAATCATATTATATATATATATATTTTTTTTAAAAATAATTATTAATTATTTATAATTATATGATCCGAAAGTGAGTTTTCCAAAGAGCGCGAAAAAGCCAAAGCCAGAGGAGATTTTCATAAACTAAGAGAAAAACAGCAAATCGAAGAAGATTTGAGAGGTTATCTCGATTGGATCACTCAGGCAGGTAATGGACAAACACCTACATAAGCATACATACATAAGCTATATATATATATATATATATATTAATATATATTGATATTTGTTTTAATTAACAGAAGATATAGAGGCCGATGAAAAGGAGGCGTCCAATGAGAGACTTGGTTTGAATTATAACTAATTATATATATAAAAAACAATAATTATTTTTGATATATATTTATATATATTAAAAAAAGGAGGCGATAATGATAATGATCGACTAGAAAATGATCATGGTAATAATCATGATGCTAATAAGCCACCATCATTTTGGCAAACACAACGGTTATTATAGTTTTATTATAATTTTAATTAATTAAATTATTAAATATATATATTAGAAAAAATTATAAATTATTTTCTATATATATATATATTAGAAAAAATTTCGGACGAATTAACCGACGTTTGCGTCGGGTTTGCCGAAAAATATGCAAATCTCAGGCACTCTACTGGACAGTCATAATATTGGTATTTTTGAATACATTGACACTGGCCTCTGAACACCATCAGCAGCCACAATGGCTGGACGAGTTTCAGGGTAAAATTTTAAATTAATTAAAATTAAAATTTAATAATTTTAAACTAAATAATTTTTTAATTTTTTTTAACAAAAAAAATAAAATACACACAGAAGTGGCAAACATGATATTTGTGATATTATTTCTATTGGAAATGTTGCTGAAAATGTATAGTTTAGGATTTCAGGGCTATTTTGTTTCGCTATTCAATCGATTTGATTGTTTTGTTGTCATCAGTTCCATACTGGAAGTAGTCTTAACCACATCTGGTCAGTAGATTTATTATCACCAAAAAAATTAGTTGATTTAAATTAAATTTTTCTTTTAAAATACCAATACCATTGACTGACCGTAGATGTTATGCCACCTCTCGGGGTATCTGTCTTAAGATGTGTTCGTCTCTTACGGATCTTCAAAGTGACAAAGTATTTTGAGATTTTACTGTCAATGTCTTCACTGATGATGACTAATAATCTTCTCTATTATCTATTTGATTTGACCAGATATTGGACATCGTTGCGCAATTTGGTCGCATCGTTGATCAATTCAATGCGTGCCATCGCATCCCTACTTCTTCTGCTATTCTTGTTTATCGTTATCTTTTCGTTGCTCGGGATGCAGGTCTTCGGCGGTAAGTTTAACTTCAAGAAGAAGGAAAAACCCAGACATAATTTCGACACATTCTGGCAGTCATTGTTGACTGTATTTCAGGTAATTTTTTTAAAAAAATATGATAAATAAATAAATAATTAATTAATAATTACTTATTTTATGTTTTGTTTTAATTGATCCAAAACAACAACAAGATATTAACCGGTGAAGACTGGAATGAAGTCATGTATGACGGTATCATTGCCTACGGCGGTGTCAATAAGCCGGGTATATTGGCCTGTGTCTACTTTATCATATTATTTATTTGCGGCAATTGTTAGTCAAAATTTTTTAATTAATTAATTAATAATTATATATATATTTTTACAAAAAAAAATTAATTAATTATTTTTATATAATAACCAATAGATATACTGTTGAATGTCTTTTTGGCCATTGCTGTCGACAACTTAGCCGATGCCGAAAGTTTGACGGCCATCGAAAAAGATGAAGAAGAAGAAGACGAGGAAGGATTAGACGGTGAAGTAGAAGTAGAAGAAGAAGAAGTTGTGGTAATGTCGACAGGAATTGATGCTAACAGTGAACAACAAGATGGTCATCAATTAGATGATAATAGTAGTAATAATAATAATAATCAAGAAGATCAACAACAACAACAAAATCATATCAATTTTGATGGACAGGTTTGTTGGGCATTATATATATACAGTATATACTGTATATGATATATATTTTACTAATTAGTTTTAAATATATATATATATATATATTAATTAATTAAAAATAAATATCAATTAATTAATAATAATTTGTTTTTATATTAGGAAAAACTTAACGATAATAACCATCTAAACGATATCAATGGTAGTGGTGTTGACTTTGGAAAGTATGGTATCAGAGGAGGTAAAGTAGTTTTATTTTGTTGTTAAATATTAATATTATTTTTTTTAATTGATAGACAATATCAATGAAGACATCAATGATGGCCAAAACAATTCACTGGACGACGACGATGACGATGAAAATGAATTTAGCGGTGATATTGGCGATCTGGACGCCGATGGCGACGAATATACTGGTGCCCGACCCAGACGGATGTCTGAACTGAATTTTGCCACAAAAATAACACCGATTCCCAAACATTCATCGTTTTTTATCTTCAGCCACACAAATAAGTATGTATTGGATTAGATAGACATTAAAAAAATTTTATATACCTTTTTATAAGTACTTTTATAATTTAATTTAATTTTTTTTGTAAAAATTATATTTTAAAAAATAATAGCAATTATAAAACACTGAGAATATTAATAATTAATTAGTATATTAGTAGTAGAAATCGTTAGTTACTTATATTAAATAAATAATTATTGATATATTATACACACCTATGCTATATATTATATATTAATATAAATTATTATGTTATTATTAAAAATGGGTTAATTGAAGGATTATTTTTTTAATTGTCAAATAAAATATATATCAATATAATTTAAAAATACAATTCAAAAATTTCTATATATATATAAAAAATTTTAATTGTATTTTATAACTTATAAAATATTCTCATATCAATTGACAGATATAATAATAATAATAAAAAAATTAGTAAAACTAGTAATTAATTTTTAATTAATTTAGTTTTTAATTATTTTTAATTAAATTTATTTTTTTGTGGTCAGATTCCGTATACTGTGTCATCGTATTATAAATCATAGCTATTTCGGTAATATAGTACTCTGTTGTATATTAATCAGTAGCGGAATGTTGGCCGCGGAAGACCCGCTGGACGCCCAATCGCCCAGAAATACTGTATATTCATATATAATTTATATTTACTTTTTAAAAAAAACTAATTAATTAAACAAACAATTAATCCATAATTATATGAAAATTATATATTTTTTTAAAAACAACAAATAGATTCTCAATTATTTTGATTGGTTTTTTACATCGATTTTTACTATTGAAATATCATTAAAAGTAAGTACAATATATACAGTATAACCTTATATTCTGTATAATTATAATTATATTTTTTTTAAATGCGATAAAATTTATATACAATTTTTTGTCTTTTAATTAATTAATTAATTATTATATTTATTGATTTTAATTGTCATTATCATTATCTTAGACCATAACCTATGGTGTAATCCTACACAAGGGATCATTTTGTCGAAGTTATTTCAGTCTATTGGATCTACTGGTGGTTTGTTGTTCATTGATATCGTTTGGCTTTCCGTAAGTATTTATTTATTTATTTTTTTGGTGATATATTAAATAATTTAATATAATTTTTTTATTTGTTTAAATTACTAAATTTTTTTTAAATATTTTATTTTTAAAAAAAATAATTATAGTAATGGTACTATATCAGTTATTAAAATATTACGTGTTTTACGTGTATTACGACCATTGCGTGCCATTAATCGTGCAAAAGGATTGAAAGTAAGATATTTTCAATTTTTTTTTAAATAATTTTTTTACAAAAATAATATATAAATATTTTTTTTAGGTAAAACTGAATTTTATAATTTAGGATTTAGTAAACAAATCTATGTATTATAGTAGAGTATATTTATTTATTTAAAAAAATAGATTTTAAAAAAATCATCTAAAAATTTGTTTTAAAAAAACGAAACTAAAAAAACAATATATATATTTAATTATCAAAAAAATAATTGTGATTGTTATATAAGTTAGTGCATTATTGTTGAATTTTTTTTTATATACAATATATCATTGATTTTGATCATCAGTTTTAAATTTACATTGAGCATTTTAATATAATTAATATATGTGTTTTTATATAGCATTAAAGTCATACATATATCGATATACTGTATATACAGTATAAATATAAATTTATATGATATGATAATTGAATATTATTATTGTATAAGTAATGTTTTTAATGTTTGAAATTTTAAATATAATTTTTTATTTAATTTAGTAAATGTTTGATAAATATTTTTAATTATTATTATTATTATTATTATAAACTATTGAATGAAATGCCTGACATATATATTTATATGCTTTCTATGCCTCTCTCTCTCTCTCTCTCTCTCTCTCTAATCCCGTCACCTAATTGTGTCCCCAAATATCAAGCACGTGGTGTCCTGTGTTATTGTGGCCATTAAAACAATTGGCAACATTATGCTGGTATGTATTGCCATACCATCATCTATTAATTTTTGTTTAAAAAATTAATTAATTAATTATATAATATAAATGTCAAATAAAAATAGGTGACATTTCTACTAAATTTTATGTTTGCCGCCATTGGTTGTCAACTTTTTAAGGTAATTATTTTCTAACTAATTTAAAATAATATATATTTTTTTTAAATTAAAAAAATATAACTAATAAATCATTTAACATAATGTAAATTACTTCTAATATTTTTTAGTCATTAAATTTTTTTTTAAAAAAAGTAATATATATTATAGAATTTATTTCATAATATTCTGTATAATAAATACAAAAAATAAATTATCACTGAAATATTATTATTTGAAAATTAGGTATAATATATATGTATAGTAGTAGTAGTAGTTACTATTAATTTAATATTGATAAATTTCAAATTAAATTTCATCATGGTATTATTATGTATGGTGTGTTTGGCTGCTGTTTGTATTGTACTGTAATTACATTATTATTATTATTATTGGTTAATGTAGCATGGTGTTTTTTTATTGTTATTGATGTTGCTCCCAACAACAAAAAATTTAACTAAAAAAATTACATTGCATGTTTGTGTGTGTGTGTGTGTGTGGATTTAATTGTCAAATTAATTATTAATAATTATCTCATCAATTATCACATCAATTATATAAATACTCCCCGAAAAATATATTATTATTAATAAAACTAAACAACAAAAATCTAAATATAAAAAATAAAAAGTTTACTAAATCTATACCTGCAATAATAATTATTATTAGTAGTAATATAATATTTATTAGCATTTAAAATACTAAAATTAATTAATTAATACCTAGTTTGCTTTTATATATTTAATATTACCTTGCTTATTAATATACAGCACGTGGTTAAATCAGTTTTTGTGGCCATTAAGATGATCGGTCAGATACTGATGGTTACATATCTCCTGCAGTTTATGTTTGCAGTGGTTTCAGTACAGCTTTTTAAGGTATATGAAAAAAACAAAATAAAAATAATAAAAATATAACTTATTGTATAATACAATCCTATATATATTGGTATTATCTATGATTTATAATACTTTAATATGACATAATATAACATTATTGGCATAGATGAAAAAATTTTTTGATAAACATTATTATATATTTTAACTAACTTTTTGTTTGTTTTTGTTGTTTTGTTTAATTGCTTTATTATAACAAATTAACAATAATCATAATCATCATCATTATTATCACTATAATTTTATTTTTATTAAGTTTTTAATTATCAAATTGTTTTTATAAACAATCTAATAATTTAAATAATTTGTTTTTGTTTTGTTTAACTTAATTATTTATTTACTAGTAATAGCTATTTAAATATTTTATAATTTAATTTATATATTTTCTGTAAATTAAATTAAATAATTTTGTATAATTTATTACACCCTAATAATGACACAATTTTTTTAATATAAAAAATATATAACATAACAAATAACACTATCATTTATCTAGCATATTATTTATATTATTGTATTAATAATAATATTATAAATGTATTATAAATTTAGGGAACATTTTATTCATGCAATGATAGACTAAAGCATATAAAAGAGGATTGTCAGTAAGTGTTAAAAATTTAATTAATTATTAATATTTAGTTATTATTATAATTAATATTATTATTTTCTGAAGATATAATAAAAATCAAATATAATAAATATAATAAAAAAATTAATTAATTTAAAATAAATTAATATAACATATTAATTATAATCTAATATATTTGTAGATACAGAATATTCTGTACATTAACTGTATATGTTTGGTATTATAATTTCTAGTAGTATTAGTAATCAATAATTATTTTTTTTAATAATTAAATTTTTGTTCTAATATTTAGTGTATAATTTTTTTTTTGATTATTAAA